GCAGCTTTCGAGAAGCGCCAACGTGCGTCTGAAATCTGGCATTATTGACCAGATTTCTGCAGAATTTAGCGATAACTGTTAGTTTTCGTTATCGGTAATTTCATTCACGAACAGTGCAAAAACCTGAAGCTCGACGCACGTTGGCGCTTCTTGAAAGCTGCACATCATTCAAGGCTTGGCACCATGGTCCAGTCAGTTTCCGCTGGGATTTTGTGGAGCTCAAGCAATTTCCTGCGTCGTCCTCGAACAGAAACGTGTATAATATTAATCAATTAATCAAGTGTCGACTGCGATATTTAGTTACTCGCCGTGGAAATCGGCCTCGCCAGCAAAGTCATCGTCATCGTCGTCATCGTCATCATCGTCATCGTCATCGTCGTCATCGTCGTCATCGTCATCATCGTCGTCATCATCATCGTCATCGTCGTCGTCATCATCGTCCTTGGTCGCGTCAGCTTCCACCGTCTCGTCTTCAGCAACTTCGTCGGACGACTCGACCGGCAACCCCTCCGTCGTTTCTTCGGGGCTAGCATGACGAGCGTTGACTTTGGCTGGCTTGGAACGCCCAGCTCCCCGGCGAGGGTTCATGGCTTGCTCCGCACCCATTCTTGCTTTGGCAGCGTGGAGTCCAGCTTTACCTCCCGATGCACGGCGTGGCTTGATAGCGCCACCCGTAGAGACTGGCTGGGCGGGTCCACTTGCCCTCCCACCAGCTGCGCGGCGAGGCTTCCCCGCGCCGCCTTTGCTACCCGCAGGGTGGGAAGCCCAACCGGCCTTGCCCCCAGCATGACCACCAGACGAGGCTCTTCCCCCAGATGCACGACGAGGCTTGCCCCCGCTGCCTCCAGTGGGACCAACTTTGCCCATCTTACGACGAGGCAAGTCGGTCGCAGTACCGATGGCATCCACTCCGCCAACCGTGGCAGGTCGAACTTTCTTGAACGACTGACGCTTGGCAACACGGGATGGACCACCACCCTTGCGATGCTTGCCACCGGGCCCGCTTCGAGGCTTGGCGCCACCTCCCTTGCGTTTTCCGCCAGCACCCCGACGTGGAGAAGTCTCTTGGTCTGCGGTGCGAGGGCTGCTTCCCTTGGCGTTCACGCTAAAGTCGACATCCCCGCCGTTGCCTGCGCTGAAATCAATGTCGGCTTGCTCGTCGTCGTCCACGTCGTACGCCACGTCGCTCACATCGTCGTGCTTGCTCGAGGCCGACAGCACGCGCATGGCTGGCGAGTCGAAAGCTTGTTGGGAGAGCGCCACCGAGGCGAGAGCAACGAGAAGGGGGGCGACTACGCGCATGACGGCAAATCCAAAAATGACTACGAGATGTGGCCAGTTGCCCAACCAACGCACAATTGTCAAATCGTCATTTCGAAATGGACAGGTTTGGATCCAGGTCAAGCAACTATACAAACCTCAAGATAGTTGCAACCACGACACACACACTGGCAGGTCACGAGGAGTTTGGGTGGAGGATTTTATACTTGAAACTTGTATGCTTCAGTCGATGACATTGAACAGTTCTTTACATACAAGCAAACGATCGTACCTCGAAACTTTCGTGTTGGGCAAGCGATGTTGTGTTCGTCCTATCGAATGAATGCGATCGTGTGTCGATTGTGATGATTCAATTCATTCCTCTCACAGCCCTACACGTGCGATGGAAATCGCCTCGACGTCAGTTCCGAAAGCGCGTCATGATACCGACGCCAGCAATATCTCCAAGTTCAACAACACCCGACGAATCGATTTGATTGGCTATCATGTTAATGCTTGCGATGAAAAATATCCAATTGTCCGATTGTAGCCAATCAAAGCGCTTCTTTGAATTCCATGCTATACCATAAAGAAAAATTGGACTCGACTGGTCATGACCTTGGCGTTTGCACACGTGCACACCACATGCCCTCAGTCCCCTTGCTCGCATTCTAGTCTCACAGCCTTGGGAGGAGGTTGGCCAGGTCTGAACAAGCCGATGTGCTCATTGATTTCTCAGCGGTTCCTTCGTCTGGACTTCAGGTCGTCGTCCAGTCGAAGAAGTCAATGTTTGCTTGGATCGAAATCTCGTAATTGGGGTGGCCACAGGCAAGAGGGAAGCAGGATTGACGAGACTCCCAAGTTTTACAAATAGACTGGGTCAAACCTGTATTTACACGAAACCCTTACGCGTTGTCGACGTTGTGGATGAAGCGATTGAGGATGCGAAGACCATCCTTCATGTCGGTGAGCGAACAGTACTCGTTGTCACCATGGTAGACCGAACTCTTGCCAAATCCGGCAAGGGTCAGGTCCAGGCCAGCGCGCTGAAGGTCGCGCACCAGTGGCAAACTCCCCATGATCGCAAACGGTTCGCTCACGCCCTTGATCGCTTTCGTGGCTTCGTCGAACGACTTGAACCCGACAGACTCGAGAGAGCATGCAATGCCCTCCATGAAGTTTTCAGCGAGCGTCAGCTCAATCTTCCCGACCAAGTTCTCCTTGGGCAGCGTGTACTTGGAGTGCGGGCCACGCGACTCGAGCGAAGTGACGTTGGCATTTAAGTCATCCACGTACGATTGGAGCTTGTCGCGGACCTAGACATGCCTCCATGAGCTCAACAACATCATTCAGCTTCGTCCACGGTAGGCCTACGTACGTCTTGAATTTCGTAGAATGGCGACAGACGAACGTCACCCGTGATCTTGGTCCAGGGAGGACTATGGTGAAACGTGAGCAAACTAACGTATAAATGACGTCGAGCGGTACATTTGGTTGATGCCGTTGGTAGAGCTTTCGATCTGAAGCAATGCCATTAAAATATGCTCATGCAGGAGGGTCATGACATCCCACCGCACCTTAGTTGGCTTCATCGTCGAACCACAGGCAAAGTTGTACGGGATTTCATCTTTGTGGGTCGGGAAATCTTGGTAAAATCGATCTTGGATCACCTTCATCGCGTCCATGGCAAGCTCCAGCGAGTTGATGCCAAGATGCGGCAACCCGCTGTGGAAGAGCTTGCCCGTAGCCTTGATAGACCACGTCAACGCACCAGCTACGCCATTGCATCAGATTGTGACTAAATTCGGTTGAAGGAGAGAGATTCGGGCTGCCGTACCAGTGCCAATGCAAGGCTGGCTGTCCGAGCAATCGACCCACAACACCGGTCCGTTCTTCAAAAAGTCGATCTTTCCGGTTTCCATCAGTGCTTCGACACCAACGCCCGCGATTTCACCATTTTCCTCGGACGCGATCATAACAGCTGTCACGGTCTTTTGGGTCACAACCTTGTTCTTCGCCAATTCAATGAACAGTTCTACAAGCGAAAGGAATGTGACGACCAGGTCACCACGCCAAGGTGTCAGACGTACGAGTAACAAGAGCGACGTGCCCCAAGCAATCAGTCGTTCCGCGACCGTACAGCTTGTCACCTTCCACGCTCAACGTGAATGGATCGCGCTCCCAACCTTCGGGGTTTGCGGGGACAACATCCAAGTGGGAACCGACAAAGTTGATCGTTTCCGTCGACTTGGTCGACCCGGCGATTTGAAGGATGAGGTTTCCACGACCTTCCTTGAATCCAATGCGCTGGGCGTCAATAGGTCCGCCGTTTTGCTTCAAGTACGGCTTGAGTTCCTCCAAGACGAAGTCTGTGACGAGGTCTTCCTGAGGGACGAGTCCCAAACCGGGGGCATTTTGCACTTTTTCCTGACCAGCACCTTGTCAAACAGGTCATCTCAGGCATGGAGAGACTTACAGCGACGCTAATCAGCTTGCCGAGGAGCGCGACGTACGCTTCTTCGTTCAGGGTGATGTCTAGGAGCCCTGCCATGGTGATCGTTCCTCGTCCAGGGAAATACCAAAATAACCCCCAAGCTCCGAGGTTGTCGACACCTCCCAGACTGCGCTGCTAAATAAAATTATCTTGATATTTGTATGGAAATCCTTGATTTTATTTCACGTCGTAATTTTGCACGTCACAACTCAGTTTTTTGTTCTCGAATTGGGCCAATCAGAGTGCATCAAACGATTCAGTTTGAAAGGATCAACAACTTGGAGCCAATCAGCGTCCAGGCATATATTGATTTATAAAGTTTTTTTAAACCTAGTAGCCATCAGGTAAGTTCAACTTGTCCAACTTCGACGTATCTTCGCTGTCTGCGGGAAGACACTCGACGTCGTCGGTGAACCGACGTTGTGCATGAAGCGACCAAGGATGCGCGCGGTGTCCTTTATGTCGCTCGCCTAGAAGAGCTCGTTGTCACCATGATAGGATGCAGACTTCTCGAACTCAGCCAAGTCGGGTCGAGTCCAGTGCCACGAAGGCTACGGGCTATCGGCATGCTGTCAACCTCTTCGCGAGTACACCCAACATCGCTGTAGCGCTAGAACGTCGGCGGGGCGACAGTTCGTACCTGCCTAGTATGGAAAAGGGCTCGCTGACCCTCTGGGATCCTTGGATCGCTGCGTCAATTTGATGTGAACCCAATCGAGTCGAGAAAGCTGCCGTCACTTGCGTTTTCCACGAGAGTCATCTCCATCTTCCCTACCACATTCTTCTACTCTAGTGTGTCCTTGGAGCGCAAGCCAAGCGATTCGAGGGACGTGGTGTTGGCGTTCAAGTCAGCGGACCAAGTCCATGTGATGAGGTTTCATGAAGGCGAGGGAACAAGAGGGACACCTGACCCAATCCAGAATTGGCTGTCCGATGTGTCGACCCAAACTACAACGATCCGTTCGACATACGTCGATTTCGCCCTTTCCATCAAGCATTCGACCCGACGAGAGTGATATCGCACCCATGACAGCCACCACAGCGCTCTGTGTCGAGATCGTTCGCTTCGCCAACTGCACGAACAGTTCACAACGAACAGAAAGGAGGTGAGCAACCACGGTAGTGGGAAGGGGATTGGACGTATCCGCGACAATCGCGACGTGGTCCACGCAGTCCGTGGTGTAACTATCGCTTTGCACCATCAATGTGAACGGACCGTGCTCCCCTCCATGGGGATTGCCAGCCACGATGACGTCCATGAGCGACCCGACAAAGTAGATCGTTTCCTCCTTGGCAATGCTGAGGTTCTTGACGATCAGATGACCTCGCGCTTCCTTGAGTGCATGCGCTGCCAGCGGTAGGACCGCCGTGGTGCTTCAGTGACGGTTCGAGCTCGTGCAGGAAGATGCCGACACCCGGTCATCATGAGATCGACGCCTGGTGCGTGTGTACAATCCTGCAAATACCTGAGTGTGTGATGAAGGCAGAATGAAGAAGCGGGTATCACTACCGACACGGTCATGATCTTGTACAGAAGCACGACATATCCATCTTCGTCGAGCGTCCCGGCTGGTGCGGCATGACAGGGGAACGAACGAAACTAGCCAAAAGTCCACCGTTTTTTTTATCCCATCAATTTTGATTGGTTCGAAATTTGCACGCATAAATTTAATTGGCCCGAAAATACGCTGAAAATGGGCTGGGCGATTTTGCCATTGACGACTAGTCGCGCTGTCAGTACTCATCTTGTTGGACACCAGAGCCCTGAAATGGGGTTGAACGGTGCAATAGCTCGTGCTCATGTTGAGACATGCGGCTTTGACGCAAACTGGCGAGGTGGCGCGCAGCCGCAGCAACGCCACGAAAGAGTGTTTTGCGAGACGCGCAATCCTTGACACGATTGCAAGGGTTGGTAGTAAACCAAGTTTTCACAGCCAGCCCTTGGCATTCCTCCTTGTTCGGTGCATCCAACAATCGGACTACTGCACCATCCATCCTTTCCAGCACGCGCCCCAGCCAAGTCAACTCTTCATCCCGCGTGTCAAGGTTGTCTTGGCGGTTGATACACACCGCACGTCCTGCGAAGAGAAACGCGCCGTTCAGAGCACTCTTGATCTTCACGAGGCCATTGTCGTCCGTGCGGATCGAAACGATGCATCCACTCCACTGCGCGTCGAGGCGTGCGCAACTCCCTCGTCAACTGTGCAAACGCCGTCCTCAACGTTGGACGAGGTCCAGCATTTCGAACCATGTGTCCACCTCTTGGGTCCGATCAAGTGCACTGGACCGAAAGGCTCTTGTGGACGAGCCCACGCTACCTGGGGACGATGGATGCGATGCTCGCGCCCCTGGCCTTGTGCTCGTGCTGTACGTAGATACCTGTGCTGTCGTCGCTCTTGTCCCGCGATCTCGTTGCAATGGAGCGGTTTGTTGGAATGGAGTGAATTCGCTTAATACGTCCGCCCTCCATATCTCTATGGGCAAGCAGAGAGTCCACCGGCACCAACGCCAGACGCGTCGCAAGACGTTGTGCGTAGAATCCCGCGCCAGATCCAGCAAGATCACGGCCACGACCGGTGATGCCAGAGTTTCTGCACACATCGCGGTGGTTTTTGCGCCGCCGTGTGACCGCCCAGCGACACGATTGAAAGAAGGGAATTGTTTGAAACCCGTCGCTGATTGGTTCGATTTGGTCGTGCAATTGTCGTGTGCATATTACGGGTCGATTCCACGGAGACGTCCAGCTCCAGTGGCGAATCCATCGCACGACTGCCATGAGAGTTTGGTCGCTTGCTGCCGTCGCCATGTGCGCGGTCCTGCTTGACGGTGGAGTTATCGCCGAGACCCATCTTCGCACAACGAACGACCTCGATCCAATCCGTTGGGCCGAACACGTTGTTCGTCGAGGCGACGACGACGTGGATGCTGATCGTCGCCTCAACTATGGCCAAACGAAGTCCAAAGTGCAGATTCGAAAGGACAAACAGATCGCCCGCAAGAAGGCCAAGGCTGCCAGGCAAGCCAAGGCAAAGAAAGCGAAAGCCGCCAAACAAGCCAAGGCAATGGAAGCGAAAGCTGCCAAACAAGCCAAGGCAAAGAAAGCAAAAGCTGCCAAACAAGCCAAGGCTCTGGAGGCCAAGAAAAAGAAACTCCGACGTGTAAAGACGAAGAAACCCACAAGGAACGAGATGAAGCATATTAAACCCGCTACATCGAAGAAAGCGAAAAAGGCCGCCAACCGCGAACGCGCCGTCGGAGTCGTCGCCCGCTCCAACACCGCCGGGTTGACCACCACCGCAGCCCCCACGACGGCGCCTAAGAGCCCCGCGTCGCTTGCTGCCACCTCTCTGGTTGTCGCAGCATGTGCCATCGTCGCCATGCTGGTGTAGTAGTCAGCATCGAGTGGTCCACATCGTCAGCCCAAATTTCACGTTCTCCACGCCTCCGCCCATCGTCTTCCCAGCGTGCCGCCATGATCATGCATCGATTGAATAAGATTTGGAGTTAATACGCGACAAAAATATTTCCAACATCCAGCTTGAGGTCTACTTTTGGGGCACATGCGTCTCTCATTCATGCCTCCCGCCACCACCCACGGTGCTTCGCGACTTGCGCTGCCACGACATTTGCGAGAACTGCGGGCTCTGAGGCACCGTGACGGGGCGCTTCGGCTTGTCTTCCTTGTCCTTGTGGCCCATGGGTTGGGACTTTTGCACCATCGACGCCGATACGCTGGACGGGAGCCGCGCAAACGTTTTCTTGGTCAAGAGGTTTACGTAGTAAAGCCGACCGGTCTTAGCATCCGTGCGGCGCGCCCAGTTCTTAGGCATGACGGCAGGTGCTGTGGACGACGGTGTTGTGGACACAACGGCCGCGACGGGGGCGGGTGGAAGCACCTTCTTGAGGAACCCCGACAAGCCTGCCAACCCCGAGACAATGGTGGAGCTGGTTGTACTCATGTCGTTGGGCACGGGTTCCGACTTCTCCTCAGCGATCGGGGTGGACGCTTGGATAGTATGGTGTTTGGATGGCGGCGCAGTCGGCCGATCCCACGTGGACGTCTTGGTTGCGTGGTCCACGTAGTAGGTCCGGTTATACTTTTTGTTGAAGCGCTCTTCCCATCCTGGGGGAAGCGGCGCCGCGACCGCTGCGTGGCTGCAGTCTTCCTCTATCGAGAGTTCGTGGTCGTCGATGTCATGATGTTGATCTTGGTTCGACGGCGGGCGACCGATGTGGCGCGTGTCGGCCGCCGTTGCAGTGGCTTGATTCAGTTGCTGAATCGCTTCCAGCAACTCGTCGCGATCCCAGTCCGACGTTCCTGGCTGCGTGCTGTCTAAACTCGCCATTTTCGATTCGCCCTCGACGAAAATGTTGTCTTGATCGTCGTCCGAATCGAGGTCGGTGGGGTCGCCGTGGTGTGCCGACTTGCGGCGGTCGTTGAGTTGGGTTTGCTGCTTGCCGTCGGTGGCCCACGGCTCGTGATGGTGCTGCGCCTTTTCGGTTTGTGGCTGGTCCGCCCACGAGTCCCGATGGGCTACGTGCTGCTGTTTTTCATCGCTGCATTGGCCATCGGTGCCTTCATCCTGGCGACGCTCAGCTTTGTCATCGAGCGTAACGACGCCGATCGTCTCTGGCATCGTCTCGACATCGGCATTCTTCTGGGAGATTGTGACGCCGACCTCGTCCCGGTTGTTCACTGTACTTCGCGCAGCCAGGTTCTGAGTTCCGCTCAAACTGTCGTGGTTGCTGTCGACGGTGGGCTTGGCGACGCTGGATGGTTTCACCACAACGTCCCGTTGGTCGACGGGACCGTCGAACTCGTCCTCTTCGTCGTCCGACTCGTCGCCATCGCCCGCCGGGGCTTGAGCAATGGCTGCGACAGCAGGGGGCACCGTAGCCGCGTGGACACTGGCCGCGCCGCGTGCAAACAAGCGGACTTCGTCTTGAATGAGCCCGCGCAGCGTGTGGAGACTCATCTCGTTCTGGTCAAATTCAAAGTCGAACGCAGACGACACGTGGAACGCCATGGGTTCGCCTAGCTGCGCCCGCACAGCCTTGAAGTACGGGTGCTGGAGCGCTTGGTCGGCCGTGATGCGCCGCGTTGGGTTGATGCAGAGGAGGCGGCGAAGCAGACTGACCGCTTCCGGCGACGCTTTGCGAAACACTTTCGTCAGAGCTTGCGGCGAACAGCGTGGAAGCGACTCCAAGAACTTGAGCGCATCGCCCTCGACCGTGTAGCCCCTGCAAAAGCCCCAGAGTAAGGGGATGGACAGTACAATCGCTAGATTTTGCCGGAACGCACCGCTTTTCCTTGGGGGGCACGGGGAGGACCGAAAAAACCCGCGTGAGCTGGTCGATAAAGTCGGTTCCGGGAAAAAGCGGCTTCCTGTTCAAGAGCTCGGCGAAGATGCACCCAATGGACCACATGTCCACAGCTACGACCACGTTTGCCATGACATGGTAGTCGAGCATCGCCAGGATAAGCATGGCATGCACGTACCATCGGCGTAGGTTCCGTTGGGAGCCAGCATGATCTCGGGCGGGCGATACCACCGGGTCACAACGTATTCCGTCATGAGCTGAGAGGGATGCTTGCCCAAGGCCTGTTGGACGGACGTGCGGCCGTGAGGGACATACCGCGACAATCCAAAGTCTGTAATCTATCGAATGGCGTCGCCGCCAAGTCGCATCAGCCACACGTGTCGAGGCGCGACGGTCGGTCATTACCTTGACGTCGCAGTTCTTACTGATGAGGATGTTGCCGGGCTTCAAGTCGCGGTGGAGCACGCCGTTCTCGTGGAGCGCTTTGGCGCCACTCAAAAGCTGATACATGATGGCCCTACACGTGGTCGCCATGAGCTTCCGATCGATCCCACGACCGCATGACGCACGCAACATGGTTGTCTTCGAGCTTGGTTTTGGACTGAATCAACCGGTGCAAGTCCGTGTCGACAAGGCCCATCATGATGTACAGCTCGTCCTTTTCAATGCACGTGCTCAGGTTTTCCAACGACGCAATCTACCCCACACGGTTGAGGTCCCGTTGGCGTCGGCAGCGCTTACGTTTGGGTGGTCGCCAAAGTACCGCATGAGCCGAATCTCACGCAGCGTGTGCTTTGCATCCCACTCGTCGCCCGCCATCGGCGTGATTTTCTTGATGGCGACCGTCTTGTGCGTCGTCGAGTCCGTCGCCGAGCTGCAATACCACCACCGTTAGCCCGACCGAGCGATGATGCTAAGGCTGAAATGTACCACACGACACCGTACGATCCTTCGCCCAGCACGTGAATCGCGCGGTAGTTGGACGGCACATTGAACTCGCACCCCTTGATGGTGAAGCCGAGGCCGGCGGGGTAGTCGCCGTCGGCAGCGGTTGCAGCGGCCGGCCGGCTGGTCGTATCTGGTGGTGGAGGAGGCGCGTGGTTTTTGGTGGCGACAGCCGTGGTTGGCGTTTCCTGAGCATGGCCGCGGCCATCACGCGCCGTAGCCACTTCGGCCGCCGCATCGTCGTCTTCGGGCTGGCCAGCCGGCACGGCTGCAGCTTGAGTTTTGACTTGGAACGCGGCGACTTCATCTTTGATGTACTGACGAAGCACGTCGAGCGGCAAGCTCTGGTCTTCGAATGCAAACTCGAGAGAGTGCGCGAGTCGAAGCGGTCGAATCACGCCCCACTCGGCTTCGACTCCTTTGAAAAACGGGTGGGCAAGTGCTTCGTCTACCGTGATTCGCTTCTTGGGGTTGAAGCACAGCAACCGCTCCAAGAGGTCCTTCGTTTCCGTCGACGCGTTCTTCCCCTTGCATAGCTTGTCGAGAGCATTCGGCGGCGTCGCGGGCAAAGACGACAGAAACTTGAGCGCGTCCTTCTCGATGATGTAGCCGCGCTCGGCCTTGGGCGGGATCTCGATGACTTTGAACACACGCGTGAGCTGGTCCATGAAATCCGAGCCGGGAAAGAGCGGCTTCCGCGTGACGAGCTCCCCGAGAATGCACCCCACAGACCACATGTCAACGGCTACGTTGTCACGTGAGTTGCTGACAGGCGTGACCAACGCACCTCCATCGTACACGCCGTTGGGCGCAAGCATGAGCTCGGGGGGGCGATACCATCGAGTCACAACATCTACACGCGATGAATGAAGTCGCGACGATCGAGCAAAGATGTGTACATTCAGTCATGGGCGATGACACGCCCGCCGCAGCGCCGTCGTCGTCGCGATGTTGCAGATCTTTGGGCACCATGCGCGCCAAGCCAAAGTCAGTGATCTACATGGAGGAAGTGGGAATCACGCCAACTGGAACAACTCGTGTGCAATGGAATCGCCAAACCACAGAGCACCTCTTCGAGAGGAACGATCGACGGAGGGGGAGTGGGCGGGCTTACCTTGAGCTCGCAGTCCTTGTTGACGAGAAGATTCCCGGGCTTGAGGTCGCGGTGGAGCACCCCGTTGTCATGCATGGTTTTGACGCCGCTGAGCAGTTGGTACATGATCACACTACAAGAACGGTCTTGCGTGAGTTGCGCGAATCGAGTGTTGCGCGATGAGTAAGAAGGATCGCACCGGATGTGGCCTTCGGTCAATGGGCACGAGCTCTGGATGAGCCGATGGAGGTCGGTGTCGGCCAGCTCCATCATCATGTACAATTCGTCTTTCTCGACGCACATGGTCAAGTCTTTGAGTGAAATGATCTGTACGTGGCAAGTGAGCACTGCACTCGAACGATATGGACATTGGATGGAGTCTGTCGTACGTTTTCATGTTCGCCAAGACATCGCATGAGTCGGATCTCGCGGAGCGTGTGGGTCGCGTCCCACTCGTCGCCGGCCATGGGCGTGATCTTCTTGATGGCCACCTTTTCCTTGGTCGCCGTGTTGAGGACCGAGCACACGACGCCGTACGACCCCTGGCCGATCGCGTCGAGCGGCTCGTACTTGGGGTCGACAAGAAATGTGCACCCGTTGATGGTGAACCCGCCGTCTGGATGCTTGATCGGGGTTGCATGCTTGGGCATTCTCCACCGACGGCGACCTGCGTGTGGCTCAACTCACAATGCCACGAAGCTCACGCACCATGAAATGCCAACCTGCTCCATGAAACGGGAAACTCGTTCCGTTTTTGGACGTCCGCGCCTCTGATTGGCTCGCTCGTGAAATCCAAGCGCTGATTGGTCCGTTCCATATATTGGCGTTGTGAAACCTCCGCTAAATTTACCGCCACGTGACACGGCTCGGTGGCCGAGGCCGGACGAGAACGATATTAACATCGGGGCGACGATGGATGGCGTGGGACGGGACGTTGACGGGACTGCGCGGGCCCGTGGTGAGAGCTCGTGAGCTGTCGGCCAGCACGGCATCGCTCCACGCACGACGCAAACGAATTGGAGTTGGTTTGTTGTCAGGAGTTAAAAGGGAGACTTCCACCACGCGATGAACTCTTCCCAGTCGATCGTGCCACTGCATTTCGTGCATGAGCGGTGTAGTCGTGCATGGATTGGCGTATGTACCTCCCGTCTGCGTCGAATTCTTTGACGAGGTAGTCGAGTTCTTCCTTCGACAGTGGTTCGCCCAAATCATCGGCGATCTTCCCCAGCTCTTCGACGTCAATGTCACCGCTTCCATCCTACCAACACGCACATACACCAGACATCGCCGTGAGCGTTCGTGTCGTCGGCTGCTTCACGAGCGAATCAAGACCTCGTCGTAATCGTCAAAAATCTTTTTCAATTCCTACAACACAACACACGACGCAAGATGCACGTTGTGAGACTGCTTTGCAGGACAGTCGGACTCCCTGTACTTGCTCATGCTCCAGCGAGAGCTCCTACGTCCATAGATCATGTCATTCCAAGGTCGTCGCGGCCACTTGCCGCCAAATTACCATGGCCGATCCGCGCGACTCTTGGCCGGTGGGTGTTGAACTTCCGGATAGTAGTGGTGTTGCACTTATACGGATAATCACATACATTCCCCCTGGCATCATCATTCCGAGCGTGCAGCCAATCATCAAACGACATCAAGCAATCCTACGTTTTGATTGGTCGGTCGAAATGTCGACGCATGACGCTCCATTCAAGCGTCGAGATTCGTACATACAAAACCCAAGATAAACTATGATCGCAGGCGTGGAGTAGTCATCCCTCCATGTCGAACAGTTTGTGCCCGGTTGGCGCGATCTGATTGGAGGAATTCCCTTCAAGATACCGTAACGGATTGGGCCATCGCTTCTCCTCGCCATTGTTCCACATCTGCCGAGGACGATGCGCGTGAGCACTGTCGGCCTGGGAGGCATGCTGCTCGCGACCGCGACGCACACCACGTCCGCACGAACGTGTGGCGACAAGTCCCCTCTTGACGCAAAGTGTGCCGATTTGTTTCCCACCTGCCCCGACCGCCACTCCCCGGCTATCTTCAACGGATGCTACCATTGTGCGCACGACGTCACGTGCGTGATCAAATCGTTCGCCGTGGTCAATGTCAAGGAAATGGTCCAAGCTAATGAAGAGAATGACGGCGATGATGTGAAAGACGAGTCCGCTGCTGCGAAATCTGCAGGCGACAAGGACCGTCAGGTCTGGTCTGAAGCAGGAAGCCACTTGAACGCAGTGACTGCAACAACTACGGAATCCACGACGGGTTGGGCTGTGCTAAGTGTCTTGGCACTCCTTGGCGTCGGGGTTGCCGTGGGCGGCATCTATAGACACACACGAAGTCGGGGGCAATACCATTCGATACTGTCGCAGCAACAGCACCAATACGACACAGACGATGCTGCATTGGACGACCTCAATCCCTTTTGCCACGGCGGCGTCAACGAAGAAACACCGTCGCTACTCAAACCTACGCCGAATGTTCCTTCGACACCGTTGCCATTCCGCATCATGACTGCTTAACATGGTCTCGTTTATCGCTCCTCCATATTCCTTCTTCATTTCCCGTCGTGGAACAAGTAACCTGAACAGTTACATATTTCCGAAACGCCCACTGCAGCGATGACAGGCGGCGGCGGCGGCGGCAGCATCCTCGCCGCGATGACAGCCAACATGGTTTCTCGCGGCCTTGTCCCGGAAGGTAGGCACGCCGTATCTGTGTTCGATGCGTATTCGCCGTGGGTCCCTCACATACCATGAGCAGTTGACGCGAGCTCCCTCGCGCACAAACTGCAATCGGCCGTGCGCGATCTCCGCGTCGCGTGTCGCGTCAGCTACGCGTTCCAGATTAACGAAGACAAGATGACGACGTGGAAAGACGCGTCGCTGCGCAACGTCCTCAAATCTGTCCACGTCACGCCGGAAGTGCAAGCCAAGATTCACGCTGTGTACGACGAGGCCCTCGCGCAGATGCGCACTCTTCTCGATGAAACATACGACAGAACGGTAGCCGAGATGACGCACCGTCTCGACGGGTTCGAAAAGGTGCCGCGCGCGAGTGGCGCTCGCCATGGGCTGATACAGCACGTAGGAATTAACGGCCCAAGCCGCTGCATCCCACGCATCCCTCGTGGACGACCTCGAGCTGCGTTATGCGACAGTGAAGCTCGACCTCGAGCACGTCATCGAAGAGATGCATAAAGTACGTTCTCGATGGTCGAGCTTGGGTTTGCCAGTGACGTGTGCATGCGTGGTTCGTAGGAGCATGAGCACCAGCGATCGCACGTCGTCTACCTGGAGACACGTTTGAAAGCGCTCGAGGCGACCCCCGACCGAGGGGATGTCGCATTGTGCAACCAGCTGCGAGAGCGTGTGGCAAAGCTCGAGGCAGCACTCGAGGACGCCGCCGCTCGATGCGTGACCATCGAGAACGAGCACGCCACGGCGGTATGTGCCATCGGCGCATGTCGTTTACCTGACCACGCATCAGAAACGCCGCATTGGCCACCTCGAGTCGGAAGCGACGCTGCGCGAAGCCAAGTGGGCCATGACGCAAGGCATGCATGCGAGGGAAACGTCCCAGCTCTGCGACATCATTCGCATGAACGAAGCGCAGTTTATGCATGTCGCCACCGCCCACAAATCGTTGCCTGTCAAGACGGCCGCATCGTCGCCGACTCGCGTGCAGCGGTATGATCCGCACTCGGGCCGTGCTCTCGTGCATGTGACCCACCTGTCAACGGACTTGGTGGCGGCGGCGCCTGGCGTTCAGTACATCTCGTCAAGTCCCACTCGGCCACCAGCACGGCCTCCGTCGCCTCAACCCCGCCATCCCCGGCCGAACACAACGCCATCGGGCAATCCTCTTCCTCTCTTGCCCACGGCGACAGTTGAACGGCCCTATGTTTAAATACGAGTCGCTGGGTCGGGCGGTATTCGTCGGGGCTGGTGGTCGGTCTGCGGTCTGCGTTGATGCTGATGCACGCCATTCCGTGCCTTGGCCGATCTGGCATACACTTCGCACGTCACCGTTGCGGCTACGGAGGTGGACGACGGTGTGAGGTTGCCACGATAATGGAGAGAGTCGACTCACGCGAGTGCGATGTTGGGACCTTTAACTGCGCTAACGGGCGCAGCGCGGCACGGTCGGCTGCAAATCGACTCTGTTGATCGAGCGCCTTCATTCGAGTCCACTTGGCTTCCCTTCCTTCCGTAAACGCCTTGATTGTGTGGACGAACTCCGCCTCGAACGATGCCAAGTCATGCTGATGCTGTTGGGTTTCTACGGCGGCAGCGGTCTGCGCGCGTTGGCGATGGCGGTCCTCGCGTGCCGGTGCCATCTACACGCCGTCTCATGCATATTCCCTCGAGCTTGCTCAACATACACCGAGTTGACGTCGACGGTTCGCTTGCTGCTGGCTAAACGCTCTGGCCGCCTCCAAAGCTGCAGCTTTCTTGTCGGCGGAAAACTCTTCCAGCGCTCTCGCTGCTCTCTTGAGTCGGATATCTTCTTGGCGCTTTGCGTGCAAAAAGTCAGCAGCTTCTTCTTCAATGCGCTGATGCTCCGCCTGGGCGTACGCAAGCCGCTCGGTTTGCAATTCGAGCTCGACCGTTGCTGCTGTCAATCGGCGCTGAATCTACTCTGGACATGTCAGAGCTCATCCTGCACCGAGCGACCGCACATGATCTCGCTCGCGGAACGCCTGGTTGCGTTGAGTTTCCATGATCACGGCCGCGCGTTCGGCCGCCTGCCAGTCCTTGGTTCGCTGCGAGACGACGTCCAGCGCCGCGTTCTGGCTTTGGATAGCGTGGCCGCGCTGTTCTACGGCGGCATCACGCTCCAGCTCTGCTTGTTCTCGCGCCCTGTCCAGTCGATACCCTTCCATTTGACTGTCGTACAAGTCTTTCTTCAGACTTTCAACGTCGTGATGCAGTTGAGAAACAGCTTTCTCCAAGTTGGCGGCAAAGTTCGTGACCTTGTCGCGCTCGGACATTTGCGCGTTGCACGTGTCGACGGCCTCAGCCCAATGCGCATGCAACTCGACAATCTCGGCGCGAAGATGAGCTAGACTCGCCTCCTTGTCTCGATTTTGCCGCTCAACGTCGGCAAGGGACGTTGTAAGGTCCTCGACCTGCATCTGGAGCAACCCCATCTTTTCCTCCCATACGCTCGTGCCTCCTAGATGAGTGTTTTTTGAAGCAGTCTCGATCGATCCCCACCGTAGATCGATGATGACGATGCCTACCTCGAAGTCGGATGACCTCTGCCGTGGCTGAATGGCCCCAATGAATCGCCAAGTCTAGTGCAGTGCATCCTGTCTAGCGTAATCGATGATGAAACACGAGGTGCACGGAATTGCTTCGTTGCTCTCGACATACTGCGTTCTTTGCCTTCATACTGCCCCCTGTTGAAACATGTCAAACAACTCTCCGTAAACTTGACTTTTCCTTGCCTACCCAACGAAATGAGCACGCGGACCATTTCCGTGCGGCCCCAAAACGCTGCCAGATGCAGCAACGTTTGCCCCGCCTACAGTCATCCAGTCCAGAGACGTATGCAAAATGCATAGAGGTGGTTCAGCAGACCGAGTCCGTGTGGTTGACATCAACACGTCCAGATCGCATGTGGTGGTGAAGAAGTTCCACGTCGTCCGTCCATATCGCATCCCGCAGCGCGTCGTATGTGTTTTCGGCCAGCATGGTGCGGCGGTGGCGAACTGCGCTATATTTGGCGCGCCAAATCCGGATATTTCTATCCGGAGAACTTGATCTTGGCAAGAGGCACCGACGCGGCGGAGATGGCGGCAGCTCGGCCCTCTTCAACGTCTCCAGCACACCGCGCTCTATCGGACAGGTGAGCTCAACATGTCCGAGCGGGTACACGGACGACGGCCATGGTTTGACACACGGATGTAGGTTGAAGGCGCAGTTCCAAGACCCCGATTCCGACGACGACGACGCGAATGCGTCGCAAGATTGGTTTGTCAACGACGTCAGGGAAGCCACGCCAGTTAAAGACAACACCCACGTTCATGTGGAGCATGGTACTCACCAAGAACCCGCGCACGATAAGAAACCTCCAGTGTCCCCGTCCCTGTCGCGGAAGCACAGCTCGTTTTCCGAGACCGAGGCATGTTGTCCACCAGGATATCCACTTCCGTCATGCAGAATGTCATGCGTGTAGGAAACGGAAGCAGCTCTGGTCAAAACCAAGACTGGATTCATGCACCTGCGCCCCCTCGTACCAAGCGTACTCATCATGGAACTGTGCAAGTCCGACGCGGTATTTTCCCGCCGACTCGCCTTCCACACGCAATGCCGCCGCCTTCCTCCCTAGACCATGGCCAAACACTACGGCACCAAGTACTTTAAGATTTACTTACCCCAGATTGTCGACTCCCAAGTCGACTTTTGCCTCGTCGGTCGGAAGCGGCCCAACAAAAACAAGATTCGGTTTAGGTTGGGTCGTCCCGGCTCCACCATCGACCCATGTGTGTCTTCCGTAGTCTAAGCGAAACCAACATGTCCAAGTGGAGCAATCCGTCGTACGTGGGCAAGCTCTCGATCTACAAGACGCCCCGTGGCCACAAGTTTAAGGTTGGTACCGTCCTGCCTGTCTTCCTCGACTGAGACAGCGTTCGAGATCGTGTGCCCCAAGCGAAAGCAGCGCACCGTGTTTACCATCGAACAAGACAACCGAAAAGTCGAGCTCGTCGTGCACTTTCACGTCCAAGTACGCGATGGCTCTCCGCCGTCCATATCGTCCATGCAAGCCCCCATTGTACACCGTTGTAGCATCACCTAGCTCATCTCTTTCAACTGATCAAGCCGCCGTCGACGCCCAACGATCCTGCAAACCCACCGACCGTGTCGTGCTTGTTACAGGTAAACAGCCCTTGCCGTCGCCACAGTCTGTCGTTCCTGGGATTTTGGTGACCTTCTCTGGAGTAGAAGTTTATTAACCCGGTCGCGGACGTTCGCGCATCTTGTTCCGCGACTCCGTCGTTGCTTCAAATCGATCGGGAAGGGGTGCGTGCGCTTCGGCCAGCTCGCGTCAACGCCATGATCGCATTCGACGGATCATTGTGATGTGTAGGACGCGGCGTACGGGAAGCACATCATCTCGTACATGCGACCGTTCTCCATGTTCACCAGGTAGGACCAACGGGTTGTCCATGCGGGATCTTGTTGGGTGGCTAGTGTTTCCCAACGACAGCGCGATGGGATGTTGTTTTGATGGTGGAATCTGTAGCGCGTGCATTGCCGTCGCGATGGAGGCACATCAGCTGGACCCATAACACGTACGAGCCAATGTTCATCCCGACCTGTCGCCTTCCCGATGCGGCCGTACGTTGGAGCGTCGTTGAGAGCACGTCCAGCGAGCGCGCTCGATACCTGCTAGTTTAAGGACGTGCTGGTTCTGCCACAGTACGCGATCGCAATGACCTGCTCGAGGAGGTTCCAGCACAGCGCGACTTGGGGCGGGTCTTCTTGTGTGGCATGGTCAAGGGGCGTCACGAGTCGGAGCCCGACCGTCGTGTCTGCTGCCTTGTCTTCGATGGCTCGCACGAGCTGGTCTTTGGTGGTAGTCCACACCACGGACAGAAACGACATGGACAGCTCCAAAGTTTTCACCGTCATGGCGTCGCTCGGAATTGCAAAGAGCAGAGACAGCTTGTCAAATTGCGCGGCGGCATGTGGCGGGACCAGCCCCGCTTGGATACACGCAGCAGCGCAGTCGGCCGGCGTCGGGCGGCTCGACCTCGACATCTACAATCGAGTGAGCACCACCCTCGATCGGCCACGAGAAGCGTGGACCTGGATAGCAGTCGAGAAGGTCGTCGCGGCCGCGTATGCATGCACGCGCGGGACGTACGTCGAGACGACTTGATGGAACGTGTGGAGGGAATCCACTTTGAGCGCGTTGGCAAACCGCGTTTCGATCTCGACGCGCACGGCAAAGTACTGCGCCTCCCACTCGTCGACGCACATGGCCACGATGGTATAGATGGGGATCCATATCGCGCCGTAGATCTGCGATAGCCCGATCAGCTTGGTTTTGCACCGCTGAAAGACCTAGCGACAACGACCACGTCAGTGACCTCTGGCCCATGGGACGGCACGTCTGCGATACAGGTCGCCGCACCTCCGTCGGAAACGACGCAAACACAATCCCAAGCGCATCCCATGCTGACTGCTGCCCAATGTACTCGACGTCGTCGCTGGTCTCGGACGTGTAGTACCCATCGTGCGAACACTTGGCCAGCACGTGCAGCACGTGCAAGACAAACCAGAACGCAGTAGCGGGCAACGGGTCGACCCCCGCCAAGTGCAGCAGCCGACACCACAAGTAAATCTTGTCGCTTTGGGTGTCCAAGTGGCTCAGGCTCGTGACCAAATCCATCACGCGCTCGTTGGCAAAGAGCGGGACGCGAAATCGAGTCAAGAACACGCGGTACACTGCTTCGATCGGCGATTCCATCTCGGCCATGTCCTTGGGCATGCAAGCCTTGGTCATGTCGCTGTGGATGTCGACGCCGGCGGCGAGCTGGCCCACGAGCGTATTGGCGACGTACGTGAGCACCCGGGAGACGGCGCTGACGGTGTAGTCGTGCGGCACGTACGCAGCGCTGAGGCGGACGATATACTTTTGAAACGACGCCGGGACGACCTTCTTGAGCTCCGCATGGCGCTTCAACGAGACTGTCGCATCGTCTACACGTCAACATGAGTGGCCACGCATGACTGCCCGTGGCGGTCGTACGAGGCGTGGGTCGGCAAAAGCCTGCCGCGAGTTGGATGCTCCGCAGCGTCGTTTGGTGCGATGGGCTGGTATCCAATGCAAGCGTCGAAGGTTCCGTGCCCAGGTCGACTTGGACGCCGCGGTGCATCCGTCGGCGAATGCACCCGCGAGCCGCGATGCCGCGCTCGACACGAAGGATCATGTGGCGGACGCGGTATTCCATTTCGACGACTTCGTCTGGGGGCGGGATGAAAAACGCATGCTGCCACACGGCTTGGGCGTCCCATCCAAGTGTGCAGTCGGGGCTGCTGAGGGTCAGTAGCTGGGCGAGGCGTTTTTGTGCCGCGTCTAGCTCAGGCGCCATCGAGTCCACGTCAAAGTGAGTGAGCATCCGCTACGATCGAGCCGTCGATCGTCACATCGGGACAAGTTGCGAACGTACCGAAGCATCGTCGGCGATCGAGTTGACGTGGTGCATGGTCGAGAGGCGCTGGGGGTGTTTGTGGGACGCCGACGGCAAGTGGGACTCTGTCGTGGAGGCCGAGGCAAATTTGAGGGCCAGCGTCCGGGTCATTTCGTCGAGGGCTTCGGCGGCGCTAAAGTGTCTCGAGGATGGCGGGCACGCGGTGGACGACGTGGTGGACTTGTCGGGGAAAAACGCATGGATGGACTGGACGAACGACATGGTGAGGCGCACAAGCGACTGGTCCTGGTCACGGCGAGCATGAGCATGCTGCGGGGGTCGACAGAATCAAGTCGAATGTGTACCGCAGCAAGGTACCGGTTGAGTTCGTTGCGCTGGCGAATGCACATTTCCCGCGCGAGCGCAATCGCTTTGTGTTTCTGGACGAGCTTGGCGCGCATGGCGTCGACGACGGCCGCTTGCTTGGTGATTTTCGACTGGTACTGCTCGACTTCGACCTACACGCGCCGACAATCGATCACGTTACGATCGAGACGAGAACGGGGACCTTGAGGCAGCGCACAGTCTGCTGCAGCACCGTGAGCTCCTCTTCGATCGTTTTGTTGATAAAGGCCACGACGGTAAAGAAAAAGTGCCAGAGGCCGTAGAGTACGTTGGCCGACGTCGGGCACTTGTCAAAGAGGAGGCGGCACATTTCATACATGACGCTGTCCGTGTACTCCAAGTACAAATGCAGCACGACGTCGCTGTCGTGCACGCCTTTCATCGCGACCAGGTTGCGATACCGCGCCGCTTGCCACTGGCTCAGATATGCCACTTGGCTTGACGTGAGCGATGGCCGCGCCTACACGCGCGGGTGGTCGGGATGCCGCGGCTCGAGCGGCGAAACGCACCTTGGGGAATTCGACAACGATCCACGAACCTGCCACGTGCTTGGCCTCGTCGACGGCCATGTGCACGGACTGCATGTCAAACCGCGACTCGATCGGGCAATGCGAGTACGTTTTTTCAATCGCTTCGTCCTTTGGCACCTACGAAAACGGCGCGGACAGCAACAACCCTTCGCGTGGTGGGATGGCTTACCTTGGTCGGGGGGAATTGTCGGCACTTGAGGACTTGGCGGAACGTGTTGTCGCGGTGGACTTTGGGCAGCGGGGGCCCCGTCCCGATGTGTTCTTTGTGGAGGAGCGATTCGAGCTCAAACGGAGCGGATCGATGGGACGGGCTCGGAGCAATCTTTCGACTTGGTGGCGCCTTGGCCTGGTCGTGCCGGAATTGTTTGAACCGAGCTGTCGGCGACAAGAGCTGACTCGACTGGACGGACGTTTTCTCGGGGCTGCGGACTTCGTGCCGCGTCTGGCGGGCGATGCGATCTCGTACGACTTTGTCGTGGACGCAATTTTCGATCGTCTCGACCATCTGCAGCAGCACGTGGGTGTACTCGACATTGACTTGCGCGCCGGCTTCGTCGTGCAGTGCCTTGCCAATGTGTGGAAACAAGTCTTGGCACACTTCGAGAGCAATGGCCATGTGGTCCAACGGCGTGAGCTCTGCGTCTGCATCTTCTTGCTCGGCGGCGATTGCGTCTTCGATCCGCTTTTCGAGCGGACTGGGAACGCATCCGTTGGACGGGGTGTCGTCGGGGCCCTGCAATACACGGGAGGAAGATCCGTGATGACGTGGCGTTTTCAAATACCTCGACAGTCTTGGGTACGGGCAGCACCTTCTTCACATGCTCGAGTCGGACCTGGAGCCCCGTGCAAATGTCTTCGACCTCTTGCCGCTGGTTCAACAGAAACTCGTGGTGGACGTCAGCTACAGACCGCGACTTCTCCTTTGCTTCAGGTGCGTACAGACCAATGTCAGGAAGGACTCCGACGCGATTCAAGCGCGTGAATTTGCCCTTGGCAGCGCTCGCCTTGGGGTCGGCCATGCACGACCGTCCGCCACGGCCGAACCGTCGCGGAAAGGAGTAAATCCCACAAGTCCCCGGATTTGTCCCACCCGTACTTAGTGGAATGCCACTACAGGTGCATTTTGTTACAGAAAGGTCCTACGAGCGCCGCCCGACACCGTGGCCGGGATCACGCGTGCCGCCAAGAGATCGCTATGCATGTGTCCGTTGCGCAGATTGATTCAAGACGACTCTGCTTTGTCGCAGGGATTCGTGACGAGGAAGGCATGACATGCCCACCGCTCAAAGTGGCCGCCTCCTCGGACAGGCTCAAGCAGAGGGTTCGAACAGAGGTAGAGATGTCGTCGGTTCCACGCCCGACACCACCCGCATTGCCTCCCTAGCTCTGCCGCCGCCCTGTACGAATTAAACTACACGACGCTCCATGAAGCAGCGATGGCTCTTTGACGGCTTGTCGCACATGGCAGCGACGTCGGCGTCTGGGCGGGGGGTGTCGACGGCGGTGTTGACGGAGACATGACAAGTCGACCAATCAGAACGCGCGAATTTTCACCTGCCATGCCATTTTCGATTTTGATCGCAAGAAACGAAGCGGCTGCGGCGGAATGGGTCAGTCGGGGTCTTCGGACATCTCGATCTTTGAGGAGGGGGAAATGGAAGCCGAGTTCGAGAAATTTGGCGGGAAGGGCAACATCTCGGTGAAGGAGTTCATCTCGGACGGGTACGACTTGGTCATTGACTCGGTCATTCGCCCGCCTCGTGCCAAGTACTCGGTTGACGAACTTGGCCCGAGAGAGTATCAACTGGAGGACCCCGTCACGAACGCTCCCATCTTCGTAACTCGCACCGATCGAGTTGTTATGAACGAACGTCAGCTCAGTCTTGCTTGCTCTCACTGGAATCCCGTGGAAGACGATCGAGTGACCGTCAAGCCGGTATGATGCCACTTTCAACACTTGTTCACCTCACGCGATCGCTTCACCCAGGCCCCATGTTTAGTCTACCTGCATTCGAACGTCGGGTCGCGAAAAGATGTCCTTCGCCTGCGCGACCACGCCCTTCGCCTCGGGTTTTCCGTGTTTGCCTTCGACTTCTCCGGGTCGGGGGTATCCGACGGCATTTACGTCACGATGGGATGGCTCGAGTCGAGCGACCTCAAGTACATATTGGACGACCTGGACTCGAAGAGTACTGTGCTGAGCGTGTCGCTTTTCGCCCACAGCATGGGCTGCTACCCAGCACTTCTCAACGTTGCGAGTCGATTCCAGCAAACCGCGGAACTTGTCGTCAAAGGCGGCTCCATCGATGCGATTCCTCAAGTATTCCGTAAATGGAACATCGAGCCATACGCAAAGCGCATCACGGGACTCGTCCTCGATGGCGGTACTGTCAATTCCTGGTCGATGCCACGACTCATTCGTATTGTTGCATGCTGATTCAGCGTACAGCAACATGCACCAATGCATTGACGACCTTGTGCTCAACGTGAAGAAAGAAGGATTCGGCGCGCCCAAGCTCATGCTCAAGGCTGCCGCGCGCTTTGTTCAAAAGTCCGTCGAGAAGCGCACGGCCGTCCACATGGACTTTTTGCGGCCCGTGGACCTCGTCGCGTTCATCAAGTCGACCCCCGCGCTCCTCGTTTGCGGCGCCGACGACAAGTACGTTGGCCCTGCGCATACGCACGAATTGGCGGCGGCATACGGCGGGCCGTGCGCGAAACTCATTGTTGACCACGCCGACCACTACAGTCCCCGCCAGTCGGACGTGTACCAAGTTTCGCTTCTCTTCCTGCTGCAGCAAATCGACGCGACATCGCACGATGCTGCTGCGTCAGCGTTGCTGTCTCCGACGTATCAAGCCCACCTGCGCGACATTGTGGCACAGTCCTCTCGAACGCGCCGCTGATTGCTTCCACACCTTCTACGTACCCAAACACGAATGGTAGTCCGACCTCTTCCGTGTGCCATGGCCGCGTGCTTGAATGAACACTGCATGACATCGTGTAAGCTACCAATAATTCTCAATCAGAGGGCGTTCTGTTGGCAGCGATCCCATCGCGGCCGGCCCTCCCGCCGACGATCCTGTCCGCCACGACGAATCGGCGGCGCATCCGCTGCCACTGCTTGCGTTGGACGACGTGACGAGAAATTCGTAGTCGAGGTCGTCGGGCGCTTTGAAGTCGTCGACAAAGTCGTACTCGTCCGTCCTGCGCAACGCTTTGGCGGCAGCCCCGCTCGTGTCGACCGCGGCAGGCGACGTATCCGTCGCGTCGGCGGCGCGCGCAACTTCGCCTTCGACGTACGTTTGGTAGAACGCGCGAAGGTCAACGATCGAGCGATACGGAAACGGGCCCAGGAACGCTTTGTCAAATGCGAGGCGCAGCAGGGTGTCGCAGAAGCAGTCGTCCTGCTTCCGCCATTGCGGAGCTTTCCGGTGCGGCGCCATGAGCGTCGCCAGCGTCCGCGGTGAAAACTTGAGCAACTCGTACACGTCGAATGCTTCGTCCGCGGCAAGGATGTCGGGCGCGAGGAGTTTGATCAGCGTGAGGCCAAGGCGGTGGATCACCTTGCTCCCTTCCGAGAAAAACACGTCCCACACCCGCAGCGTCGTTTCGAGGGGCAGCGTGTTGACAAAGAGGCAGAGGAACCACTTGAACGTGACTGGGGCCAGGTGCACGTGGAGCGCCTGCAGGTGGTGCGCCACGTGGGGCAGCTTCTGTTCGATAAGCGCAGCAAACACATGCTGGTCGACGCGACTTCCAACCATCGACTTGGTGTGGTAGCCAGGCACGAGGTCCTCCACGATGCACGCAAGGACCCAGAACGCCTCTTCCTCGCCCAAGTACACGAGCAGCATCGCGCCGAGAAAGTTCATGCTTTGGCAGTACCCGACCTTGGGATTTCGCAAACTGTACATGGACAAGAGCCGCCGCAGCTCGGAAATGGACGCTTCCCGCTCGTCGCGCGTGTCCGGCTCATGGGGGAATGTTCGATACAGATCCTTCTCGATCTCGGTGCTCACGTCGACGCGGACTTCGTCGGCGCGCCACAGGAGCGACTCGTACTGGTCTGAGATGGATGCGGTCGATCGTTTCTGCGCCGCACCACTGCAGAGCCACCACACTTGGCCGCGATACTCGATGGGAACGCCAGACCGAAGCATCGTGTCGACTTGCCACTGCCCGAGGGAGAACCCCATGAAACCCATATGCCCTGCGTCCGATAGACTCCGCCGCCGAAACCCTGCATGCTGCTGGAAGTGCTGGTCGGAGACGCGTTCGGCCAAAGACGGCCGGGAGTGGTCGGCGGGCGGCGACGAGCTCGTGGACGGTACCGGTTCCTCGAGCGTGCGTTTGCGCCACTTTTGCAGCCAGTCGAGCTCCCATTCCTTGGACGTGAACTTTTCTTCCCACTTCTTCTTTTTCGCAGACACCATCGACGTCATTTCGATTTCTCGGTTGTGAGCGGATGCCACGTGGTGCGACAAAACCGACCCGCGGCCCCGGGACGGCGACGACGGACTGTCGCACCCCAACGACGCGTACTGACACCGAAGGGACTTGAGACCGACGCAGTCGCACGATGCGGTCGGTGGTTGACCGTGCTGGTAATGAATCGACGACGCACGAGTCCTTTCGTTGGAGAAAAATCGTCGTTTCGGCGTCGGAGGCGACCCGACTGCCGATGTCGTGTGGTGCATCGACCCTGCACGGGCCTTTGTTCGCGGCAAGCAAAACCGCTCTTTTGGCCGCATGCACTTGAGGAAGCTTCCATGGCTCCTTTCGTTGTCGCCGAACGCAGGTGCATGATGCTGCGGTGCCGCCGACATCGCTCGCACCTGGAAATAGTTTGCCCGATGGGCATTACTGCGACAATTGCCGTCGTGGTGGATGGCATGTGTTAAATATTCTTGGTTGTGATTTTTTTCTTGGCCATTCGATTTAAATACGGAGCTCATCTAAACCGTTAAAAATGTCACAATTAATAATGAGAAAATTTGACGGCGTTATGCATCATGTCCTGAGTCAACTTATACAAATATCAAGTTTAAATTAGGCAGAGTTCTGCACGACCACCATACGCGACGGAGAAATAAGCTTGATTAAAGTATACTGTCATCCAGCCTAGGTACCCACCAACGTGGGCTGTCCGTTACAAAAGGTGACGCTCTGTGTAGCAGCATGGTCACGCGCGGCGGCGACAAGGATGGCGGCGGGGGCTGGACGAGCATTCCCTTCAAGGAGCTCACTGTCGGCGACAAGATCGGCGGCGGGGGCGTCGGGATCGTCTACCGCGGCAGGTACCAAGGTAGACCTGTCGCGCTCAAAACCCTGGTACATCGACATCATTGAACGAAACTGCTCCATCCGTCGTCGACCTGTCTAGTTCGACCCGCGCGTCGACCACGCGCTTAAGCAAGAATTTATGGACGAGCTCCTTGTGATGAGGTACAATTGCATCGACGTCGTGTGGCGATGAACGTGACGACGCTGATTCGTAGTAAGCTCGTACACCCGAACGTCGTCGAGTTCATCGGAGCGTGCATCGAACCACCCAACCTGTGCTTCGTCATGGAGCTGTGCAGCATGTCGCTGTACGACCAATTGCACGGCACGAACGAGCCCATCAGCGTCTCGGCGTTGGTCAAAATGGCGGTACGGGCAAGAAGGCTCCACGATATGCCTCAACGCCTGTAGACGAGCATCGCGTCGGCGATGCAATACTTGCATTCGCTAACTCCAGCCATCGTCCATCGGTACGACTTCAGCGTCCAAAACCAGTTCGTTATCGCGGGCTTTTCAGCGACCTCAAGAGCCAAAATGTGCTGCTCGACGCGACCGGAACGGTGAAGCTGTGCGACTTTGGACTTGTCTGGTGAGGAGTCGCGCGCCTTCGTTGCGTTGCTTCGCTGACATCGGAATGCAATCCGTAGCACAAAGGAGGGCACGGCAGGCACGCCGGCGTACATGCCTCCGGAGTTACTCGCTGGAAAGCCCTTCTCCAAGGCGGTCGATGTTCACATGTTTGGCATGCTCCTCTGGGAGATGTTCGCCCGAGACATCCCGTTTCGAGGGTACGCCGTCGACGACATCCAGAGAAAGGTGCTGCATGGCGACCGTCCGTCTATTCCTACGATCGATTGCCCTCCGTCGTGCCAGGTACATGAGAACTACCATGGAAGTTGACCTTGACGGTGCTGGAGGACCTGATGCGGCAATGCTGGAGTGCGGAGCCGTCGCACCGCCCAACGTTCGACGCGATCCACCGAATGCTGAGTGCCGTGGACGTGAAGTCCGTCGTGCATGCTGTGGATAACATCATGGAAGAAGACGCGTTGGACTCGCTTATGATGGGGGGCAAGAAGGTTGGAGGTCGTCGAAAGTAATAAAGCAGGAATTTACATTTGGCGATCATGGAGGCGTTTGCGCAGGAACGAACAGATCCAGACCCAAGTCGTTCCATCTCTCGGGCGGCTCTCTCCCTGTGACAGGCAACATGCCTTGACATCTTTGTAAGCCGCGCTGTGGATCGATGCAACGTACCCAGGCGCAGCAAGCTGCCATCGTCGTCAAGGTTCGCATCCAACTCCTCCGGAACGCCAATGTCTAGACAGATAGATCAGGGTAAATCGCCCCACGGGACATCTATACCGTCGTCTGCGAGTGAGTCGCACATCCACTCCTTGTCCACAAGGTCCAGGATGCCTTTCCATCGAAACACAGACATCGCTCTGCTGTCCTGTTGAGACCACAACACACGATGGGATCGAGGATAAGACATTGACCTTTGTCATCTTGACCACAAGTCGTTCCCTTTACCTTGCTTTGGACGAACGTTGACATAAGCGGTCGTGGTACCGCCATTGGCGGCGTGCTTGGCATGCTGGGGAAGATTCACCAGGTAGAATATATATCCAAAAATGCATGAAATCTCTCCAACCTCTTTTGGCCAATCTTGCTGCTTACAATGAATTGATTGGCCAAAGCAACTTATCCAACCAATGAAATAACGAAAAAGTCGTGCTAAATGAAGATTATTGTCCTATCAACACTGTCAGATAAAATTCACTCATGAATTGGCTCCAATACAGTATACGAGCAATGCAAAAAAAGGCGAGAAAACCATGAAAACTTTTAACATATTACCAGTTTCTTGTCATGGAATGTGCGATCGATAGCTACGGGCAAGGCTGAGCCGTGATAGCATTGCATGTGGGAAGAGCAAAAAGTACCAATAGTGTATGCAAATACAACAATTCGACCAGTCTACACTGCCGGAGGACAGGATGTTTTCCTTCGATCCGCAACGACAGCCACACCAGGGTGGAACGTATACCTTCCAGCGCGATAATGCCCAAGATGAGTCGAAGGTAGAGACATCCCGCAAATGCATGTTGCGAGGACTCGGCCACCTCGATGACCACGCCACTCATTCCTTGCCATTTCTGCTCTTTTTCCTCGACATTTCTGGTCAGGCAACTTTCGCGTCAAATCTCCCATTCACCAATCCCTTGGGCAATTTCGCCCCAAGCTCAAAATTCCCAACTGCAGATTCAATTACCTTTTCCAAGTATACAATGTTGTGCTCTAAATTGATTATTTTACATCGTATAACTCGAGCACACGTTAGGTCACACAATGAAATATATACAGTGCAGGTAGGTCAAAATTCAATGCAGTGTGGAAATTTTGCTGTCGACCTCCGATCCCCATAATTTTTCAATATTCGATTCAAGGGACAGAAAACTCACATCCAAGCCTTTGGAATCCTGATACGAACGGCACTGCACCGCCTTGGTTGGGCTGACCGCGGTCTCCCCATCGAGAAACCCCTGCTATAAACTAGAGTGAAGTCGTGCAGGGAATGCATATATTAATGGGCGAGTTGAACCTATCTATGGGGCATGGGGGATGTGAGTCGTGTGACAAGAGGCGTCGTCGAGGTTAGTTTTCGCCGGACGGTTGGCTCTTCTTCTGTTCGAACTGCGCTGGCGTCCACGTCTTCATCTGGAGCGCATGGATCGAAGCCATTTCGTCTCTCAGAACCTCGTTCACGGCGCGTTGGCGTTGTAGCAACCCTTGGCCTTCAAACGCATTGCTGACGACGATGACGCTAAACTTGTTGCCACACCCGTCTGAGTTATCTTCCACCTGAACGTACGTGGCCTGGAAAGCAGCTTCGAGCTTCCTCGAGATGTCGTTGGTTGTGACCATGGCAGTGGACGAGCGGTAGCGGCGGTGAGGGGAAGGTTCGCGAATGGCGCCGATGGCAGTTAGTAGACGGTCTGAATTTGAGTCAAGTGCGAACTCGGATTATCCGGACGTCTGCTGGACAACGGACCAATGAGACAGAGCCACCGTATCAGCTCATAGGTCAAACACGTCAACGCGAGCTACGTTTCTCGGCCTGTTGCGCTGCATGCTTCGCCACCCCTGACGGATCAAGGCGAACATGGTAGTACAATCTTCTTTTCATGCACGGAGCCCTAACTGTTGCATGGCGTTGTTAGCTGCACCCATCCAGCTGCGACAACTGGCGAGATGGAAGTCCGATTTACCTTCAACATAAATGAAAATCATTTATCTATTTGTCGCCGTTGGAGACGCTCCAGATGACGTACATTATGCACATTTGTCATGAGCTCCCTTGACCGTTTTCTCTAAATTAACCCCATAGACCAGACCCAACGAGGTCAGTTAACCCGATATCAGTCCAAAACCCCTGCTGGCATCGTCGGGTCGTTTTGACCGCTTTCCAACTCGCGAAACCACCCGAGAATTCAACGTGGACATCTTTTTATCCAATCCCATCACGAATTTCCTCAATCTTCGAAATATATGCATCGGATTGGCTGTATTTTGACCAATCCAGTGTCATTATCAGTTGTTGGAGCAGCAGCTTTATACTCATTGGGTGGTTGTCGGCGCTGGACGGCACATGGAGATATTTTCCATTTAGCTGTGATCTGCGTGTGAGCTTCTTCTGACGAGATGTCCGACTCCGCCGTGAACCCGAAAGCGTACCCTCTGGCCGACGCCAAGCTGACTGTGAGCATCTTGGACCTTGTGCAGCAAGCAACCAACTACAAGCAGATCAAGAAGGGTGCAAACGAAGCGACCAAGACTTTGAACCGCGGGATCTCAGAATTCATCGTGATGGCGGCCGATACGGAACCTCTTGAGATCTTGCTCCACTTGCCGCTCTTGTGCGAAGACAAGAACGTCCCGTATGTGTTTGTCCCGTCCAAGGTCGCGTTGGGCCGTGCGTGCGGTGTGTCGCGCCCTGTCATCTCGGCGTCCATCACGTCCAACGACGCTTCGCAACTCGGCCCCCAAATCCGCGCTATGCGTGAACAAATCGAGCAATTGCTCATCTAAACCGTAGCAATTGCTCTTTTCAGTGCAGCACCTAGCGCATGTTAACTTATAACATGTACACTTTTCTTAACTGTGTTTACTCTTCGACCCTTTCGTGTCTTTCAGCAGCACGTACTCACGCGTGCTTTCGCCAAATGTGATCACGTCCTTCTCCTTGAGTTGGATGTACCGGGAATGCTCGATCTGTTTGCCGTTTAGGAACGTGTGGTTGGTGCTCTTGAGGTCCATGAGGTATGGCAAGACCTCCGACACGAGTTCAGGCTGGTCCAGTTCGTCGCGCCGCACCTCCTTGTGCCGCATGCGGAACTGTACCACCGCATGCTGCTTCGAGATAGACCCGTGTTCCAGGTATACGTCAGCAACCTTCTTCTCGCGGCCAAATAAGTACGCACTCTGTCGATGCAAATGGAGCGTTGCCACGTTCTCGTCGTTTTTGAACACGTACAAGCGCCACCGTGCGTCGGGCAATCGTGCTTCTGGCGGCTCGCACCACTTCATCACGATGCCGTTCTTCACGTTTCCCGTGGTTGTGTCCTTGGCCAATGCACCACTGAGCCCGAAGTTGGGTTTTTGCACGACCACGGGTTTGCCATCCTCGTCGAGTTTGGGACCTTCGTCCCTTGGCGGAGCGCCCCATCTCCATACTGCATCGTCACGTGTTCCTTCCGGCTGCACAAGATGAGAAAAGTCCTTCGCTCGTGCTCTTCCGCGATCATCTCGTCGATCTTCGCTCCTTCCTCGGGCGCTTCCCATGGGAATATAGTCCCTTTCACGGCTGCGGGACCTCGATCGCTCGCGACGGCTCATTCCTTGAGAAGTTAACGATGCCAAATCAAAGGTGCAATTCGATTGGCTAAAATTCTTCGCCTTTCGCGCTTTTGATTGCACGAAACAACAGTATTCTTTTGTCTGCAATGATAGCACCAGTGCCCAGCCGCCCCTTGGCATGCGCAGACGACAGCGTTGTCTTCGTCATGGCGCCATTAGTCCTGGCCATGGATGTTCCTCGCACTGCTGATCACATGGCACACCTGTGCACGACGCGGCAGTTCCAAGTGCTGCAAAACGAATTGGCGAACGTCATCGCCGTCGTTCCGTTTCCCGACGCGTTGCGGCATTTTGCGCTCTGCATCGAATTCCACATCCAGGTAGAAGTGAACACTACTCCAACGTGCTCGTCTCGAGTAGACACTTGACCTTGCACGTCCTTGTGCAGTCGGCATCCGTCAACTGGACAGCTTACCTCAACACATTGATCCGATTCCTCGACGACGAGTCCAAGCACAGCCCCAACAACATGCCCCCCGACGACGTCCGCAACGTGGCAACTTCAATCTTCCTCAAACATCTCGCCAATCTTCCAAGCCACGTGCAAGCGACAGTGTCATGGTGCAGACTCTACCATGTCGATGCGTCGCATCTCGTGGATGGTGTCATGACACTTCTCCACAAAAACTCGAGGGCAGCCTTGGACATGATCCAGAACATGTCGCTGGTGCCACATCTCCCGTCGGAAATCGTAATGCGCCATCTTCTCCGAAGGAACGACGTCGAGTGCGCCGACCGCTTCGTCTGGAACGATCCCGTCCGTCAGCGAGATCTCGTTCGCCTCATGATAGACATGCGCATCGACGACAAACTAATCAAGAAGCGGCTTACCAAGTTCAAAATCCCGCCCACCGACTTTCCCGATTTCGTCGAACGGTAAACACCTTTTCCCGCCCTTGTCTCGTGCCTCCATGTTCGCTGTAGCCGTCGCCGCGCCACGCTTCGCTTCCTCGTCCATGCCCAGCAGTACGGCGACATTCCAGACGCCGCCGGTGCGTCCCCAGCCGCACGGATCTACGCCGCCAATCTTCTATACGAGCAATGCGGCTTCGACAACCCTGTCACGCGCCACATCGTACACCTCTTTGGTCTCGGCAGACACTTTCCCGACGTCGTCGCCCTGGCCGCGAGTTCATTCGATCTTGGTGCGAATAAGGACGACCCCCCTCCGCTCCCTGGCTTCCTCACGCTGGAAACCTTTCACGCGACCGTGGAGTTTGTCGATACTGTCAAAGCCGCCACGACCGCAGCTGCCTACCTCTCCAACGAGCTGTACGTGGGGCTAGACACAGAGTGGCGATCTTCGTTCGACGCGTCTGAAGCAGCCACAACTCCTTGTGCCGTCCTGCAACTCGCCTCGAGCACCAGAATATTTGTCATCGACCTCTTGTCTCGGCAAAACGGTCCAGCCATTCTCGCCGCATTCAAGCCGCTTTTGGCGTCCGACAAAGTGCTCAAAGTCGGACTGGATGTCTCGGGGGACTTCCGAGCTTTGGGTGTTCGCCCCGCTCATCAAATTCTCGACCTCCAGACCGTGCACAAGGCTCTTCATGGTCACGAGGCGCCGTTGACTGGGGCCAAAACGTCGCTGAACGACCTGAGCATTGCGTACCTCGGTCTCCCACTGGACAAACGCCCACGCATGTCCAACTGGGCGCGGCGCCCGCTCACGACATCCCAACTGAACTACGCAGCCCTCGATGCCCTCGCTCCCTTGTGCATCTATTTCGCCATGAAGCAGGCGGCGGACCAGTCCACGTCCCACAAATCGCCCAAAACGTCGCACCGGGGGGCACCTCACAGCCTCTTTGGGGCACGTTGGACTTATTCGATTTCGTAGATGTGGTATGCAGCATTAAGGAACGCGCCAGCAGTCCAAGCAAGCCGAGCTTGCAGTGTTGTGCTCTTGTTACTTAACGGTTTGGGCCCACCGCTCACGGTCGGCCCCTCGACCACTGTCGGCGAACTAGATCATGTCGACCGACCAAGGCGCCGCCTTCACGACGACATATACCTTCTCAGGGCGTCCGAAAAACCAACTGAGCCGTCGCCGACGGACTCGAGATCGACGGACAGCACTTGCTCCTGTAGTCCAGGTGGCAACGCTGTGATTTTGACCAGCAGTTGCTGCCACGTTGTTTGGAGTTGGGCCTTCTCTTCCACGACAATGCGATGTTGCGCTATGGCGGCGGCAGTGGCGGCTTCGGCAGCCGCCACTGCCGCTTCCAGGCGCTTTTCATTTCGAATCGAGTCGGCAACGCTATCGACAAGGGCCATGCGAACCCGGTTGTCGTCTGCGATCGTCTCGTGCAATGTAGCGACCTGCTCTTGGAGTTTGGCGATTGTGTCATGCAGTGCTTCCACGTCACGCTGTAGCGTCCGCTTGTCCTCCTCGAGCGCTGCAATGGTGGCGGTCGCCGCCGCGAGATCTGCCGCCAGACGCTTGGCCTCGTGGACGTCGATGTTGCTCCGCGCTTGGTTGGCCACATGAGCTTGCATCCACAGCTTCTTCTCGGCGGCCAAGGCATCGCGTAGTTTTTGTGCCTCGATTTCGAAGTGGGCCGTGAGTTGGGACTGTTTCGAGTCGTATGCTGCTTGCAGCGCCTGTCGTTCCGATTCCAAATGCGCCGCAGTCCACGATGCCTTGGCAGCGACTTGCCGTTTGGTTAACATCGCAGCGACATCAGTGACAACAACGGTGGCCAACACCTCGTCGGCCGCCACTTGGCCGACTGTGGCGTCGCGAAAGCGCCGTACAAACTCCTGCAGGACATCCACGCTGACGTCGGGCATCTCGTCTGCGCCATCGGGAGGACTCAAAGCAGGCAGTATGCCCGGTGACAAAATCTCTTTCGGCGAGGCGGCGTCACAAGCCAAAAGCGCCAACTGCGACTGTGCCACGGCATTGCAATAGGCCCTCGACGACGCGATCAGCGCGTTGCGGTGGTCGTTGTGCTGGGATTGTAGCGCTGTCACTAAGGACTGCTTGTGGCGGCGGTAGGCAGGCGATGACTTGTACGTCTTTGCTTGCGACACGTACGTAGCGAGCGCAACGTGGTGCATTTCCGTATGCAGCTTGTCAAAGTCGGCCAGTTTCATGGGTGGAGTGCACGCGGCTGTGCCAGGCGGAGCGTCGGTCGCCATCACGTCTTCGTAGGCAATCCGTGCCGCTTCAGCAATAGCAGTACACTGCATGGCGACGACCTGGTCCCACACGCCAAGAAAGTCGAGCGTCAACGAAGGCTGCAGCGCAGCGGCATTGTCGTGGTGGGAATAGATCCACGAGAGGGCATGATCGACAAGAGCCACAAGGACATCCCCGCGCAATTCTGTGCCAAGGAACGTCTTGACCTTGGTGCGGTGGAGAATTCTCCACCGTACGCTGTCGAGAATGGACGAGCCTTGCAACGGATAGAGGAACCACCCGATGAGATCGAGTGTCGATAAATCGGCGACGGCCGCGAGCGGAAGCTCAAATGGCCACACGGAATCGTGAAACGCGGCGCCAGATGAAGCGTTCGCGGGAGTGGCCCACATCAAGCTCGGGAGGAACGTGTTGATTTCGTTCGCGGCGCAATCCGGCTGAAGCTGCCGAATGACTTGAAGTGTGTCCAGGAGGCGGGGAGGTGGCGTGGAGAAATCTCCGTCGTGGACGTAACATATGAGGGAACTGAGGAGTAGGGCGAGGTCCCACAACGGGATGTGTCGGTCATCGTCGTCGAGGTCTACAACGAGGGACACGGCAAGCATGCACCGTCCAGTGCGCATGAAATCTGCCGAACCGATCATGTAGATTCCGTTGATTGCAGGCGTTGGTGGCGGCACGCCATCCGACATGCCATCCTCGACAATGGCGTGGAAAATGCGATGTCGCGTGGGACTTCCGACTACACAAACCACAGCTACGGGGTAGTCGTAACTTCGAAGGAGCGCCACGCCCTGCGCTGTGAGATGCAGTCGGCGGCTGTCGTCCTCCACAACGAGCGCAACAGCTTCCGCTTGCCATTCCCACAGCACCTCCTCCCCTGTCGCCATCCTTGCCTTGGCGAGGTCGAAATTGACGGCATTACACTATTTAGTGTAGAATCGACAATACAACACTATTTAATATAGGACGGTTACATGACCCATTGTCGAGTCGGCAGCGGCGGTCTCTCTGATGGTGGATGCTGCACATGAGGGGCCGTCTCGGTGGCAGCAGTTGTTTGGCAAGCCACGTGAAGGAGGGAGCAGAGATGGCACAGCGCAGTCGCTGCCCCATCGCCATGGAAACCAAGACGACGATGACTCCCGGCCGACATGGGTTGATGACTGGGAACGCCAAAAGATGCTCGTCCAAGCCACATTGGATCCCGAGGATGCTGACAATGTGTTCTCTGCGCCCGTGATCACCAAGCAATGGGAAGCTGGTCGATGTTTTGCAGAACACAACAATCACGACGAGGACCTCGACACGGTACAAGACGTGCGGCAGCGCGTCCGAGCTGCGGTCCACGTTGAAGCGACGGCCCAGGCCATCAAGTCTGTCGCATGACCATCGTCCTTCCAGTGCTTATCGTTCCATTGCGGTAGGGCTGGTATCAAAACTCAAGCCGGGATCGGCCGAAACACGTTTCTTCCTCACGAACCGGCGAATCCTGCACCGTTGGCAGACCCAACACGAACGATGGCGGTGCGGCAAGAGCTGGTTCACGCCAAGCGTGCGGCTCGAGCTGCAGGTTTATCAGCCGCCCGGCCGATGCCTCCTCACGCAGTATTTCGAATACAAAACCCATTTACTCGAAAGCCAAAGCCAGCACAACCACCTGCCATCGACACGCTGCAGCATATCAATGCCAGGCATGCCGCTGTCGACAAGAAGCGGTCCGAACGGATGTTAAAGACGGCGGCAGTACCGCCGCCAGCACCCATGGCGCGTCGATCGGCGGACGCACTTCGGAAGCAAACCCTTGCTGTCGAAGTCCAGCTGCAGCATGAAATGAAGAAACTCGCTGCGCTTGAAACAGCGAGACAGAACCGACATGCAGCACGCGCAGTGCTCGAAGAAGCGTTTGCGACGTGGTGGAGCGTCGTGTCTCTGCACCAGACGATGATGGCGCAAGCAGCTCGCGCTCATGCATGGCATATTCAGCGAAGCTTCTTTGTAGCATGGAGAATATGCGTCCGACACAATGCGCATGCGCGGGAGGTGGCAACCGCAGAGGCTGCTGCAGCGCGCCAACATCGCGCGGACCTCAGAGCATCCTTACATTTCCGCAAATGCGTCCTCTTGAAGGTGTTTGCGCAGTGGACTACCTACATGACACGAACTAAAGCTACCAAACGCGCGGCTGCGGGGTTCGAAGCGCGGCAGTCCCGCGCCGCCTTTCTTCTCACCCAAGTCATGCAGACGACGGCTGCTATTGACATAGCGACGACGGCAATGTACAGGACATCATGCACGTCACCGTCGCTACCCACATCTGCAGCAACAACCGCGGTGGCCGTCGCGCCGACTCGGCGATGGACAAGCACTAAACGACCTCCGCCGCCACAACGAGACACGCACAAGGACGTCGCAACAAGTCCTCGGAAAGCAAGGCCCCGTGCCCCTCGAATACCCATCGTCCAGAATGAACTTCCCCCGCGGATCCTGGACATGCGTGCGAGGGAAGCCGAACGCAAGAAGCGATGGGAAGCGCTGCAGGTCAAGTACAAGGAAGCCCAAGCTGCACGAGAGGAGGCGGCGCGCGTGGCTGCAGCGGCCGCCCTCGCCGAGATGGACAAGCAGAAGGCGGCGGCAGCTGCATCCAAACTCGAAAAAAAACGGTACAGACCATGCTTGCTGCATCCGACATGACACGACGTTGGAAAGGGAACATGCACGAGCTGAGGCGGAAAAGGAGCACCGCCGTCAGTTGGCAGTGGAGCAATGGGCACTGGCCAAGCAGCATTACCTTCGGTCTATCGTGCTGTTTCAAGGGTGGCGGCCATGGAGACATCTCGTGGCGACCAGGAGGTGGGGGCGCATGGCGTTTCAACGATGAATCATGCCTCTCGATCAGGACAATGGCAATCAAGGCCATGCATTGGCATCACGACATGCTCCTCCAGCATCGATTCGTCGAGTGGGTGGCTTTCCGAGACACGTGCCGGGCTCAAGCCCGTGCGATCCTGGCGACGCGTCTTCGCGCTGCAGCGACGTGGCACCACCGACGACTCTTGGCCCACATCACGTCGCAGTGGAAGGTACCTCTACGCATGGTCGATCCGTTTCGTCTGGTGCTGGAATCATGAAGCGTCAGGGTCATCGCGCCACCATGATCCAGCGCGAAGAGTCCCTACGCTCCATCGTCCATCGACACCTCGTTCGCCGAGTCTGGGATGTGGTCAAGTCGTTGAGACAAAGGCGAGAATCACAGGCCCGTCAAGCTCAAGCCAAACACGAACGCGGCGTCAAGCGGCGGGCTCTCCATGCGTGGGTCCGTCGAGTCAACATTTGGACAAAGGAAGCTGCTACCAAGCGCGAGAAAGACGCCTTGTGGCAAAAGGTGCATGCTTCACAGCAACTCGATGCCATCAGTCGTCGACCATCCGTCGTGAACAATGCGCTGGTAGGTGCATGTCTGGCTCGCGGAAGACTAGACGATCGAAGGTGCACGACTCGGCGCACGTTGACAGGCCGAAGGTTGCTCCATAAGCACGCCACAAGGCTACGATATATACAATTAGCTGAACCGGCGCTTCTGATTGAATCGCCGCATTTCGTGTATTGCCGACCGCAGCGGTGCTTCGCTCGTCGACACAGTCCGACCCTACACACTCGATCATGATGCGCAGGCACAGTCGCACGCGTACCCGAATCCAGGGATGCTCGAGCGCTTTTTCCGCGCTGATTCGCTGCGTGGGGTCGACATTTAACAAGCTCCTCAAGAACGACTTGGCTACAACAAGTCGAGAGTGCAACCACCATCGCGTGGGAAAAAAACGAGAGCACGGTGGGAATGGTGCCACGTACCGACGTCAGACACGTTGGTCCAGTACGGATCGGGGAACTCGAGCACGCCGGACGTAATCTTGCGGTACACCGACTCCATGCCGCCCTCGTCCTCTGTGAACGGCGGAAAACCACACAGCATGATGTATATCACGACGCCCAAGCTCCAGATGTCGACCTTGATGTCGTATCCATTCCCGTTGAGTACTTCCGGCGCGACGTAGTAGTCTGTGCCGCAGCTCGTGTACGCACGGCCGCGGCAGGCGGCACTCGAAGCGCGCCGTGTCTGTATGCCTTGCATGTCGTCGTCTTCCATGTCCTCGAGAATCTTGGCTATGCCAAAGTCGCTAATCTTGATGTCGTCCGGGCGCTCGCTCGTGCCCAAGAGAAGGTTCTCCGGCTTGATGTCGCGGTGCATAATATTGTGATCGTGGAGGTACTCGAGTGCGAGGAGCAGGTGCGTCACAATGTCGGCGGCCTGGCGCTCCGAGTACACGCCAACTTGGACGATGCGGTCAAACAGTTCGCCGCCCGTTGCACTGCACGACTCGTCAATCTCATGTGGAAGAAGAAGCAAAGCGTCCGCACCGACGTACCGCTCCATCACGAGGTAAAGTTCCTGGTCGCTTTCATATACGGCCTCGAGGCTGATGATGTTGGGGTGCTTGACGCGCATGAGGACCGAGATTTCGTCGCGCAAGCTCTTCTTCTTGATGCACAGTTGTTTGTTGATGACTTTGACGGCGTATTCGCGGAGGGTAGATTTATGGCGGCATGCATACACCATCGAAACGCTGCCGCGTCCAATCAAGTCTCCAATGTCGAACGCGTGGTGGAACATTGCGGGTGAATGCACGTCAGCCAGGCCATGCGTGACGAGTAGTTCTTCTTCCTTTTTGAAGAACGCCGACAGCGGAGGCGCTATGAGACACATGAGGAACCGTGTGCGCCCTCGTTGGATGCAGCATCGCGTCGACGTACCGTGGAAGGCCGGCGACGTCATGCGGGTCGAGATGCCGAGGGAGATTGTGTCCAACAGTGGCAGAAACCTTGACATGCAAATAAATAGGAATTCCACCAATCAGAGCGCGATATCCGGATATAACCGCCTCGTTGGGGTGTTCGTTATAAATATCAAGGTAAAACCAACATTCAGATAGATCGACGACGGCGGACTCTGTACCGTTGTCCGTTGTACGATGAACGTTGTACGTGCTGAACGTACGTACGAAGGTAGTACATCGTTTGGAATTGCATCTTCGAGATCGTGGTGCCACATGCAGACGGTGCTGCACCGCGTGGGACGCTCCAGCGTCTTGGCAACAACGAGACCGCCATGGGCACGGATTCCACTTAGTCATCCAATGCACAGTCGACATGTCTCTAATGGTGGATCCTGGTTTTCCCAACATGGCGAGAAACTCAAGCAAGTGACCAAGGAGTACGGTCAAGTCGCTGTGGTGTTTCATTCGACCGTGTTCCTCGCGACCCTTGGCTCCGCGTATGCAAGTATTCGCATGGGCGTCGACATTCGACATGTCAAAGTGCCATTTATCAACCTCGAGGACATCAATCCAGACGCAGGATCGTTTCTCCTTGCGTACTTGGCCACCCTCGCAACAGGTTGCACACACGGCCGCACGTTCGTACGCGTAATCGTCTCACCATCTCGTGTAGGTCCGCTCCGCGGCGGCATCACGATCGTATCGACACCATGGATCGCCCGCATGTTGCGAAAGCACTGGTAGTGCATGCGTTCCCGCAGCGACACCCCATCGCCTCGTTCAACGTTGTTCGAATTCGACGGTTGGGCAATTCTTGGTATCCGGTAGATGTATCCGGATAATGATCCAAATACAGTAGTCCAAGCGTCGAATGGCATCTTTCGGTTGTATGTGGCACACAACGGCGGAAGAAGGAGTCGGCGACGAGCTCTTGCAGGAGCTCCTTGGCCGATGGGAGACGCTGGACACTGCCAGTGTATTCGCGCAAGACCAGCTGGCGGCATTGTGGCGCGTATCGTTTCCAACTGCGCCCGTGGAATCCCCAATGACTCCTCACCCGAGGTGGCTCGAGATTGGGTTTTCATCCCCGGATCCGTGGCAAGACATTCACACATCGATGCACCTGCACTGCCTCCTCTACGTGGCAGAACATCAGAACAAGCTGTACATGCGTTTGCTTCGGCGAAACATCTTTCCTGTCGTGCAGACGTTGCTCCTTCTCCTCGACACCCTCGTGGCCCATGTCGACGGCAAGGGACCGTGTCCGTGCTGCTCACGCCCCACTCAAGGGGATCTCTTCTACGGGCTCGAAACACTTTATGAAGAGCGCCGTGGCTCCGAGCTCGAACTTGTGTTCACAAGAATGGTCATTGAATTTGACAAATCGTCGTCTCGTCTGCCTGGTCGATTCGCCGAAACACGTCAACTCATCGAGCGCCTCATGCGACAGCGACCCACGTGCCAAGACATCCTTACCCTTCCTGTCGTACCAACATGGTGCGATATCCTTCTCTGTCGAACGTAGCTTATTTATCTGTCACCTCGTTGAATATGACGCACATGCCATCTTGTTCTCTTGGCGCGATGGTGGCGACGTGGGACCTTTGCGTCCAGGTATACCGATCAAGGCCTACAATTCATATACGCAACACGCAGGGGCAAGCAGGCACCGCTGCCGATATCGCTCTAGTCGGACGAAAATTTCCCTCTTCAACAGCCTAGTCATTTTTATCTGGGCACGTGTCGAGCTAGGTCGGAGGGATGCACGGCCGATAGCTGGCTTGGATTCCTGCAAGTCGTCTCCATTGCCTGGCAACGGCTCATGCCGTGCACGCTCTCGGCTTTGATGCAACCACCGCTGAGCTCAACATGGCAGTGTCACTGAGCAGCCAACTGTATGCTCCGCCGAGCGCCAACGACTCATTGGCGCTCCAATATACCAGTCGTTAGGCCTGTCCTTGGCCCGCCGATAAACAATCGAGTCGTGGTCGACGCCATGCCTGCCGACGCATGTCGCCAGCCAGACACTGGAGCACAGGAAGACTTGTGTCGACGCAGGACCTTCCCAGACCAACGGGGCGCACAGCGGGGGGTGTCCCCAACAAGGGTCTGGCGACACAGAGTGTCGGGCATGCGCTGGCGCTTCGACGACGTGGAAAGATGGATGCATCAGGCAAGCCAGGTTTGTCACTATGTTGACAAGACGCTGGATGCTTGAAACTTCAACTCGCCTTGCGCCGCAGGCGGCGTCGCGACGGTCGTGCACGCAGTAAATGCACAAGAGAACGTACAGGAGGCCGCGTCCAGGAAAGGACGACGTGCGACCCACGTCGAGTTGAAGTTGATGTGGATGCGAACGGTGCACGGTTGTAGCTGCGGACGCTATGTCCAAGTCGGCATCCGTATCACTTGTACGATAGTCGACCACAACGCATCTTGCTTAGAACGAGTCCCATCTTGTCGTGTTCAAGGGTGGCAACTTGTTTTCCATTATGGAGCGTCGCGCGCGCCGCCCGAGTCGATTCGGCATGAATCGTCCATTTCATTGTTGGAGGCAATGCGTTCAACTACTTGTCCTGGTGCACCCAACGTGGGTGGTGGCCACATTTGCGCCACCCGGGTACAAGTGTTTGCAAAACACCGGTCGTTCAAAGCGCCAGAGACAGCCTCGTGGCTGCGTCGCCACTGCAGCTCCAATTCAAATTCGTGCCGCGCGGACAATGCCCCCGCCAGGCCACCGTAGCAACGACCAGCCCGTTCCTTGGCCCTGCGCACGCGAACCTACAACGATGGCCAGTGGAGCGACGAGCCCCAATCCCACTCCGTTGCTGCGAAAGGTTGGCGGTGTGCACGTTATGTCAAAGTTGAACTTGGCTGATGCTGGTGCCGATGGACGTAACTTTCATGGAAAGGGCAAGTGTATGCAGTTTGACAGGTTTGACCGGTGAAACTGATAGCTCGCCCGATGTAACATTTGATTTGGGAGGTTTGCATCGCTGACCCCGACACTTGATCACTTGATTAAAGTATACCAGCAAACGCCAGATATTCAGTTTCACAGGTCCGCGCCACCACCCACACACGACGACGGCGGATTCGAGACACGCCTTGGTCGACGACTTGCCCCATATGCGAGCACACTCTACCGTTGGAACATAGCAGACCTACTGTGTCATGAGGCTTTACGAAGGTGGGGGGCATCATGTAGCTGCCAGCCCTGCTATCTGGAGCGGGCGGTTGAAGCGGGGGAGAGGGGCAAGTCAGCGCCAAGCCGCCCTGCGACGTAGGTGGTCTTTCAGGGGAGGGCTCGGTCCCTGCCAGGGTGATTCACGTGGCGAATAGAGGCGGCGACAATCCACTGTAGCCTGGAGTGCTGCCGGGTCGGGCCATGTGTCAGCAGCATGTATGGGTGATGTTCATGAAAACATGACGTCCGCCACGTGGTGGTCCAATGCCATCGACTTGGGGTTCGTATCGAGGCGGTTCTAACGGGAAAGCGGTGGGCTGGTACCAGTAGTACCTGAGAATCGTTGCGCCCGCCACCCGCCGTGGGTGTGGCTGCCGTCCGAAGCTCGTCGCGCGTGCAAGGCGTGACCATACTTCATCTCGTATGCGACTGACCTACCTTCGTGTTATCTGACCATGTGGCGGATGTGGGCGGCAGTGCCAGCACACGTCGCACTTTTCATTTTGCTCGCAACATGTCAGCGACGTCGCTGCCACCCTTCACGCGATCGGCACACCAGATTCCCCCGTGGGGCGAAACCAACGGCCCTGTCCTGCCCTTGCTGCACAGCGGCCAACCTCGCCAGCCACAGCTGCCCCCGTTGCGACCCCTCTACTCCATTTACGACGACTCGAGGTATCGTACGTGCAGCCGAGAGCAGTGCACGAGGTTTGCCAAAGTCCACGGTGTGTGCCTGGCGCATGGCGTCGCACCGCCTATCTCATCTCCAGCCGCGCGCATGCCGCTGACCGCTTCTTCGACGGACACGACCCCCAAGCGTCGGAAGAAGGCCGCCACCCGACTGTGCACGTTTGAAGGTTGCACCAATGCTGCCAAGCGAAAGGGCGTGTGCATGGACCACGGCGGCCGCCACATTTGCAAAGTTGAGCATTGCCAAAAGTGCGCTCACAAAGGCGGGTTCTGCATCGGTCACGGAGGTGGCCGTCGGTGCTCCGTCGATGGCTGCGGCAAGAGCGCCCAAGCCGGCGGTACGTGCTATAGCCACGGAGGTGGCAAGCACGGCAGCCGCATCTACTGCAAGTGGGAAGGGTGCCAAAAGTGTGCCCACAAGGGCGGGTTCTGCATCGCCCACGGCGGAGGCCGTCGCTGCGACGTCCAAGGTTGCACACGGAGCGCGCAAGTCGGTGGGTCGTGCTACAGCCATGGCGGTGGGAAGCGGTGCCGCGTCAACGGCTGCAACCACGCCGGTCGTCTCAGCGGGCTCTGCATTCGCCACAAGAAAGTGAGCGACATGGACTCCCTCGGCGCGAACTTTGTCAATGGCGAGCCTATGGCGCGTTAGAATCGAGATCTTGTCGTTTAACTTAATCGGTGTGTCCATGTAAGCACCACTGGCGCCACCAAGGAATGCGCGCGTTTGTAGTACGTCCACGTGCGCAAAGGTGGGCCATTGTTTGGTTGGGCTGCTCCAGGAGCACGAGCATGGACACCCACCAACGCGGCAGACCGCAGCAACAAAATCGTGTCACAACCGCCACCCCATCACAACGATGCATCAGGCTGTTGGGTTTGCAGTGGAAAAGACTCCGGACGCGACGCACCTGGCGTTCCATCTGATGGCTGGCGATCCCTGCACGAGTGAGTCCATCATGGCACCTTGCACGCCTTCCACTCAAACAACCTCATGCGTCGTGCAGGTGGCTGGCTCGACAAGAACAACTTGCAATCTGCCTTGGCTACCGCGATGGGGGGGCACACTTGGACCTCATCGACGTGACGATGACGGGAGCGGTCGGGTGGCAGGAGCATTGCCTGGGCTGCCAGGCTCAGGGATAGCGGATGTCAAGTGCGTGCGGGGGAGGGGGCAGCACCGTGCGAATGCAACTGACGGTCGACCGATGGTAGCCAGGCGTATTCCGCGCACTCGCTCAACGCGACAGGCACTTGCCACGTATGAAATTGCCCACGGAACATTCGCGCCCACTTGGACGGAACGATCTGACCTGATGTGGCAGCCTTTGCCAGACTCATGGGCGTCCCTCCATCGTCCAAAGTCGCGAATGTTGTGGTTTGTGCTCCAACTTTCGACACAACTCCGAGTGATGCCCGATGGACCCGCGAGATGAGCTCGGCTTGGATGTGGCTCCAACCAGCCCAGACGTTCCAGTGGATTGCGTGGTCGTCTGCATCGTCAAGTCGTTGCAAATCGCTGCCTCAACTATGTCGAGCCCCGTGTGTCGCTTGGAAATGGAGGACCGGCAACTCGACGATGGAGCCACCTTCCCCGGCAACCATCGCCCCGTTCCCTTCCGTGCATTCTGCCTGGCGCACGGGCCACAGACGAGTGGCACGGTGCAGTTCACCACCAGCGCATGAACACGAGGAGAGGGACTCGAACGGCGCGAGATGCGCATGGCATCACCAAGGCGTTGACGCACCTGGCTCAAAAGCCAAGCGGGCTGTGCACCGGGGCTGGCGATGCATACCAAACTTGTGGACAACTGCCTCAAGATCTCCCTTCGCAGTACACCAGTCAATCGCTCTACCATTTTCGACGGGGTTTCAGGCGTGCCGGGCTCTCGTCGGTCGCATCCACCCTTCCGGTTGGAATCGTTTCAACGACCATGGAACGTTATCGGCGCGAAAGGACGTGGAAAAACCTCCTGGTCGAGAGCAAAAGCTTGGCATTTGGTGTTGCGCAGCCTTCCGAAGCATGAGCATCCCTGAAGAGCCACGGTCTCCGCTGCGCCCGATGGACTCTCCGCATGGGTGGAGCCGTCGACCTCGTTGCCGCGGCTTCAAAGTCGGCCTCGCCCTTCTCGCCCTCGCTGTGGGAGCGATATTCTTGTGGCATGGCCCTTGTCATTGCCACCATCGTCACCACCCGCACCACCACCACGATCGCGACGGCCACCACCATGGCCGACATCACGACTGCCCCCCCCGCCATCATCACCACCATCACCATTCTCATCACCACCACGACTACTGCTCGCATCATCAAGGCCACCACCATCATCATCCTTGGGGTGCCATCGGAGACAAAATGGTGGAACTCAATGTGGGCGGCACCTCCTTCGTCACAACCACCACCACCCTCATGGCATGCGGCCACTCGGTGTTCCAGGGCCTTCTGGACGGACGCTCTTCAGGTATGTGGGTCGATGGGAAGCTTTGTGGTAAAGCCATGTGTCAGGCCCGATCTTTGTCGACTGGAGCCCTCGCGCATTTGCACACGTGCTGAAGGGGTTGCGCACACAAAGCTTTCATTTCGTGGACAAGCTCGCTGACGCCGACCGCGACGAAGTGTTGGATGCGCTTGCATATTTGAAGCTCGACGTGACGCAGTGCGGATACACGGCCCCGAACGACGATGCCAAGGTTGGCGAGCCCATGGTGTGCCCGTCCAAGCGTCGTGCAACTGAACGCTTCGAAGAAATGCCCGCAGTTGGGGATCCTGAATCCGGCACTCGGTTCTCAACTACTCCGCCTCCAGATGCCATCGCCCGCAAGCACAAAGCCCGTGCGCGTCTTGAAGAGGCTGTTCGTTTGGAGAAGCAGGCTCGCAAGTTGCGTAAGAAGGCTCACATCAACTACGACGACAACTTGGACTAGATGTAGATTACAACGACGTAGGCCGGAGAGCTGTGCATATGTCCTGTTCATGAATGATGTCTCTTCCGTTCTCTCGTCCATTGCCCACTCGTCGCACTCGCCCGTCGATGACCCCGGATCGGGCATGGCACCTTCCCTTTCGACGTTTCTCGAAATTTCGTGTTGGGCAGTTGAATTCCCCAAATACTAATTTTGAATTGGACAATATGTGGAAAAAGAAATTTCATTGGCTAAAATTCCGGCCGATATGTGGAAAGGGGTGGCCCTGTCGACCGCAGCATTTTCGTATCAACCGAGAAAAGCAAAGCACCATGTCTGCGGAGGTACACGCTTGCTCGATGGGGCATGCAGGAAGGTCATGTGTGTGTGTGCATGTGTAGGCTGAACAATGGAAGGCAAAGGGCAACGCCGCTCTGTCGGCAAAAAACAACGCTGAAGCGATTGAATGCTACACGAAAGCGATTGCGTTGGATGCGTCGAATCACGTGTACTTTTCGAACCGCAGTGCAGCGTACTTGAGCGATGGCAACGCCGAATTGGCACTGAAGGATGCCGAAAGCTGCATTGCTGTCAAGGGTGACTGGGGGAAGGGGTATGCACGCAAGGGTGCTGCGTTGCACGCTTTGAAGAAATACGACGATGCGTTGGCAGCGTATGAAGAAGGGTTGGCGAAGGAACCCAACAACTCTGCCTGCGTCGGAGGTTTGGAAGAAGTAAAGAAGGCGATGGAGTCTTCGAACCCAATGGCCGCTGCTTTTGGCCCCGACATGTTTGCCAAGCTTGCCATGAACCCTCGCACGCGTGGATTCCTTGAGGATCCAGCATTTGTCCGCAAGCTCCAAGATATCCAACAAAACCCCAACAAACTCAACGAATACATGAGCGATCAGCGTGTGATGACTGTGTTTGCTGAACTTTTGGGCTTTGGTGGCATGATGCGACCCGACGAGCCGGCCGCGTCGACCGACTTCACACCGCCACCGGCCGCGCCCAAGCAAGAAGCCACACCGACGCCGCCGCCGGCCGAAGAGTTTGAAGAAGAATTGACCGAAGAAGAAAAGCAAGTCCGTGCGAACAAGTACGTTGCATCGTGCTGCCGTGAAGTCGTCGTCACTTGATCCTTCCAAATGCATGATAGGAAGGCTGCCGAGGAATCCAAGGCTCGCGGGAACACGCTATACAAGCAAAAGCAATTCCCCGAAGCGATTGCGGCGTACGAGGAAGCGTTGTCGAAGGACCCAACCAACATGTCGTACCTCTCCAACTTGGCGGCGGTCTACCTCGAACTGAAGGACTATGAAAAGTGCATTGAACAGTGCAAGTACGTCCATTGCTCCCACTCGACGTCGACTGCATACGATGTTTACCCTCGTTTGCTTGCAGGAAGGCCATCGAGATCGGTCGCGAGCACCGCGCCGACTATTCGCTGATTGCCAAGGCATATGTGCGCATTGCGACGGCATACATTAAGCAAGGCGAAACGGAAGAAAACCTGATGAAAGCCATTGAAGCATACGAGCATGCTCAAGTCGAACATCGCACGAAGGAAGTGGATTTGAAAGTCAAGGACGCGCAGAAGAAGCTCAAGAAGGCCAAGGAGTTGGCGTACCAGGACGTGGGCAAGGGCCTGGAAGCCAAGAACCTTGGCAACGACTACTTTAAAGCAGGCAATTTCCCCAAGGCCGTCGAAGCGTACTCGGAAGCAATCAAACGCGACCCGACGAACGCCGTGTACTACGCGAACCGCGCCGCCGCGCTCACCAAGCTGACGTCATTTCCTGACGCCAAGGCCGACTGCGAGAAGGCGCTATCGATCGACCCTACCTATGTCAAGGCGTACAGCCGCATGGGCGCAATTCAGTTTTTCATGAAGGAGTACCACAAAGCGATGGAATCGTACCAAAAAGGGCTCAACTTGGACCCGAACAACCAAGAGTGCAAGGAAGGGCTGTACAGCGTGCAGGCAAAGATCCAGGTACGAACGAGCGCGGATGTCGTCGAATGCTGACGGATCAACCTGTCGACACAGGCCGGTGAATCGGACCAAGAACGCGCGGCGCACGGGATGGCCGACCCCGAGATTCAAGCGATTCTGCGCGACCCTGTCATGCAGAACGTCCTGAATGACTTCCAGACGGACCCGAAGGCCGCCCAGCGCCACTTACAGAACGCGGGCGTGATGGCCAAGATTGAAAAGCTGATTGCCGCCGGCGTGCTGCAAACCAAGTAGACTAGAACGACCACTGCCGTAACTACTTCGCACATGATGATTTGACTTGATGGGGCACCACCACCGTCGTGGGTGCACGCACCGTTCGTCAAGGACAGGTCTGTGTCCACGGTCACAGGGGCCAGCTGCAACATGTTGACGGCAGAAAGCGCTTCTCGCCTAGCCTTCCGCTCATCCCGTTGATACGATGCCGACGCTGACGTGGCGATCGCCTCGACAGGCGCGCGTGCCTCGATCGCATTGTCGCAAGCGCTTGGTCTGTCGCACATTCGACCAAATTTTCACGTATATTTTGGACATTTTTCTGTTGCATGCAGTCTCGAAAGCTCAATTTTCAGCAGTATACTTGAAATTTGTATACGACTCAGGGTAGATTTTGCGTGAACGGCGCAAGAATCCTGTCATCGAAATTCTGCAAAGACGGAGGCGATTACCTAACATTCATGGTAGCGGAAAGTTTATTAAATGACACAGTCTATTGAAAGAAAGGGCTTTTGGACCATAAAAGTTCCCGAAATGCTCGACGTATCTTGGCGAATGTTGCAGGGTATTTGTTGTGACAGGATATACCATGCACAAAAAGTTCAGGTGGGCCCTGCTAGGGGTGGCGAACTCTCCGCTCACAACTTTCTACCGACCGCAACGATATGAAAGCGTTCACCGCCGCCGCGATGGCGGTGTTGGGTGCAGCAGTCATGGCCGATTTCGCGCCGTCTAGCCATGGAAATCAGCAGATGCCGTCAGAGCATGTCTCGTTTGCTGCCATGGACAACGCAATACCGACGACAACGTCGCAACCGTCGTCAACACCATCCACCACGGTCGATCCGGACACTCCGAGCACCACATCCGCGTCAGTGGCAACAACAACCCCCACGCCAAGTGCCACCTCCATAACCACTCCCGCCCCTACAATAAAGCCAAATGGGGTGACGCCAACCAGCACAACTGCCCGCCCGGCGTCGTCGACCCCATCGACAACATCCAGCAACGTCGTGGCCGCTGTGCAATGTCCATTTATCTTCACGTCGGCCATTGTCACGACCGAATTTAACGCCGTGCTCGACGAAATCCTGGCCAACAACGCTGCCAAGAACTCGTCCAACACGACCGACACCATCGTCGGTCCTCTGACGACTACGAATCGCCCAACGACGTCAGTTTCCTTGACCACCGTACGATCTCGCCGAACCATGACATGCTCGTGACCACCTTTTCTCCAGAGCAACACACCAACGTCGGCGGCCCCATCGACCACCGTGGCACCAGGCGACGAGAGTGTACCAAACACCGCAGCGCCCACCACAGGGACGCCAGCCGCGAACGCTCGTGCGACCACGACATGGCGCCCCACCACCACCACTGCAACGCTTCCTTCGATCGTCTCGGGCGATCGCCGGCTCTCGGATCGAGAAAACAACGTCGCATTTGCGTGCGACGCGAGTTTTTACGGCAAATGGATCACGAGTGGGCTGACGTGCGGTGGAGCAGGTGCACTCCCTGTACATGAACGCTCGTCGTCACGTCAAGTGCCGTAGATTTGGACGTGGAAGCCGCCGTTAAGCACGCCGCGTGCGCGACATACCGTGGGGATGTGTCGTTGCCCGCGGTGACCGTCGCATCCTGCCTCACAACGTGCGCATTTCCATCCTGCATCAACAACTCGTGGGCGTACAAGTCGGCGCGTCCAGGGTTTGGCAGCGCCATCTACGCCAACTTTGACTTTTCCCAGTGGTTTACAGCGTCCATGACGAGCCAGCTCAAGGCACGCACCCAAGACATCGTCAACTTTCACAATTTTTCGATGGCGGTCGTCGATGCGTGTCGATCGCCCGCGCAGTGCACGTGCCCCGTGTACATCCCGCCCTCGGACACGGCCACCAACCCCACCGACGACCTCAACCACCGCATTCAAGAAGCCAAGAAGCAGCAAGTGCGCGCCGCGGACTTTGCGCCACAGACCGACTGGGTCCCGCACACGCCGCTCGAGTCGGTCGCGTCGTTTACGGCGTCTGTTACGCAATATGCCACCTTCATTGGGGTTGCCACGTCGGCGTCCGCCGTGGCCGTGTCTTCGATTGTGTCGTCGTCGGCGGTGGTGACGTCGAGTGGTGCGGCGGCAGCGGCCGGATCAGCGGCATCGCTCAGCGTCGCTGTGAGTTTGCTCGACATGGCGAGCTTCGTCACAAGCGTGAGTCAGTTGAACGTGGAGCGGTTGCCGCCGCCCATGGGGATCGTTGCGGCGTCGATCTCGCCGTTCCAGTTTTCATTCTTCACGTGGGAATCGGCCAAGTACACGCCACCGTCGTCGAGCGCGCAGGGCCGATCGTTGGCGACCGCATCGGACAACACCATGTCCGGCATGGAGCGGTACGCGGCGACGGTCGGGGTTCGGCCAGATCAGTTGTTTTACGTGACGTTGACGGGCATATGCGTTGCGGCTGGGGCCATCGCTGTCGTTGTCGCGATCGTTTTCGTGGGGGCGTTGGCCGTCTCAAACGACTTCACGCGGCTTCGCGACCAAATCGTCGACCGCGGCGTCGGTGCGTGCATGTTGCTCGCAGTGGTCGGCCAGTACGCGATCGGTGTCACTGCGACATTTGAAATCACGCAGGCAGTGGACGTCGGTGGCGACGCATGGGGCGTCAGCGTGTTTGTGGTACGCGATTCTCTCTCTCCATGGACGTCACGCGGGTGTAGGCCATGGCCGCGCTGCTCGTGCTCTCTGTGGGCACGATCGTGTACGGGTACTTGGTCGTGCGGCAGCACGAGCACGACCTCCGCGACATCGGGACAAAAGATCATTACGACAAGTCGGTGCATCGGCGGTATGGGTGCCTCTACGACGAATACAACTTTGCCAACCGCTTCTTCTTTGTCGTCAAGATGCTCCTGGCGCTGAGTGTCGGCATCACGACGGGCCTGTCGACCCTCTCGGGCCTCGCGCAAGTCGTCGCCCTGGTCGGCCTCCACGTTGTGTTTGTCCTGTACTTGGAAGTGCGTCAGCCGCACTTGGCCAAGTTTGTCCAGGCCGCGACAACGCTCATCACAGTCCTGAAGATTGCAGCGCTTGGCTTGACGGCGTTTTTGTTGTCGGCGGTCGTCCAACTGCCGCCGACCGCGCGCACCGTCGTCGGCTACGTGATCGTGTCGCTCCAGGGCCTCGTCGTCGTCTTTCTCGTCGTGCGCCAAGGCTTTATCGTTTACCGTCAGTGGAAACTCAAGCAAGTCCCAGACCCAGCACGCGTTTCGATCACAGACTTTTACGGCGGCAGCAGCACGACGTCCGCGATGGCCAAACTCGACGGCGACCCCACCTGCGCCGACATTGAAACCAACCAAAGCAGCACTCGGCGCCTTCCCCCCCTCAACCACCCTGGCAAAGAGTACACTTTCTAGCACGGACGTTCAACACAGGGTGATGTTTTTGGGTCGACGATGGCAAGGGGCACATGACCACCTTCGTGAAGATCACGACGCCGCAGTGCATTCGACTCGACGAAACGCGGCCATCTAGACAAAGCAACGAATCGGACGGACGCGGGGATCGAGTGGGACGTGTGTGTAGGACGAGCTGTGTCGCATACGTTGACGATGGAAAGGGCGGCGACTGCATCGAGTGAGTCGAGGGATAGATTAGTAGAGGGGTGTTTTTAGCAAATGGACATCTTGCGGGCAAGGAGGCTCTTGCCGGTGCTCCACCCGAGCGTCGGCATCGCATAGTACTCGCCAATGTGGCAAATCTCGAGCTTCTGGACCTTTTCCATGGCCTGGACGAGCAACACGGCGCACTTGATGTTGTTGATCAAGGACACACCAAAGTCGACCGACGCGCGGCGGATGAGGTACCCATCCGACACTTCTTGCTGGGACCCGCCGTCCGGGACGTTGATGACCATTTCAATCTTGTTGTTCTTGATCGCTTCGACGGCGCCGTCGACCGCGCCCTTGACGTCCTTTCCGCTCGGTTTGTACAGCACGTTGCACTTGACGCCGTGCTCTTGGAGAAACGCAGCCGTGCCGGGCGTCCCAAACAGGCTGTACTTGAGCTCGTCGAGAATCTTGGCGCTTTCAAGAAACTCGCGCTTCATGTCGTCGCTCCCGATCGAGAGCAAGATCGTTTTTTGGTCCTTGGGCATTTTGAACCCGGCGCTGAGCAGCGCCTTCAGGAACGCTTCGTGCATGTCGGTGCCAAAGCACGCGACTTCACCCGTCGACGCCATTTCGACGCCAAGCGTCGGGTCCGCGCCATGCAACCGCGTAAACGAAAACTGCGGCGCCTTGACTGCAACGTAGTCAATGTCGATGAGCGCGATCGGGACCGGCTTGACGGCGAGGCCGAGCATGGCGCGGGTCGCGAGCGCGATAAAGTTCAAGTCGAACGTCTTGGAGATGAACGGAAACGTGCGCGACGCGCGCAGGTTGCACTCGATCACTTTGACTTCGTTTTCCTTGGCCATCAACTGAATGTTGAACGGGCCGGTAATGTTGAGCGACCGCGCGATCGCCGACGCAATGCGCTTGACTTGCTTGATGGTGGCCACGTACAGCTTTTGCGCAGGCAGGACGAGGGTCGCGTCCCCCGAGTGCACGCCGGCGTTTTCGACGTGCTCCGAGATGGCGTAATTCAGAATCTGACCGTCCTTGGCGACGCCGTCAAACTCGACTTCCTTGGCGTTCAAGATGAATTTCGAAATACAAATCGACTTGCTCGCCGACACGTTGGGGCTGTTGAGGTAATCGCGGAGCTCGGCTTCGCACGACGTCACAATCATGCCGGCGCCCGACAGCACGTACGACGGGCGGACGAGGACAGGGTACTGCACTTGGCGAGCAAAGTCTTCGGCGGCGGCGGTGGTCGTGACCTCGGTCCACTTGGGCTGGTCGACGCCAATCTTGTCCAAGAGCGCGCTAAACTTGTTGCGATCTTCGCACTTGTCGATGCTTTCAGCCGACGTCCCGAGGAGGCGGACGCCCATCTTGTGGAGCGGCATGCTCAAGTTGTTGGGAATTTGGCCGCCCACCGACACAATCACGCCATGGGCGTTCTCGCGGTCATAAATATCGACGACGCGCTCGAAGCTGAGCTCTTCAAAGTACAACCGGTCGCTTTCGTCGTAGTCGGTGCTGACAGTCTCAGGGTTGTAGTTGACAACAATCGCCTTGTAGTCGAGTTCGCGCAGCGTGCGGACGGCCGAGACGGCGCACCAGTCAAACTCGACCGACGACCCGATGCAGTACGCGCCGCACCCGAGGACCATCACGCCATGATCGTCCATCGGGATATCGTCCTCCATGCCCGAGTACGTCATGTACAAGTAATTCGTTTGAGCCGGGTACTCGGCGGCGAGCGTGTCAATCTGTTTCACGAACGGGACAACCCCGAACGACTTGCGGCGGTTGCGCACGTGCAACTCGGTGCTTGCGACTTCCGTCGCGATCTGGCGATCGGAAAACCCGTACGTTTTGAGCGTCTTGAAGTGGTTTGTCGTGAGTTTGTCCAGCGCCCCAAGCGATTTCATGCCCTTGCGGAGGCTCGAGATGTGGTGCAGCTTGGAGAGGAACCACCGGTCGATCTTGGTCAGCGCGTGCACTTGGTCGATCGTGTACCCGGCGTCGAGAGCAGCAATCACGTAAAACAGTCGCTCGTCCGTCGGCTTTTTCAAATTGGCTTCAATCTCGTGCTTGTCCGACGTAAAGTCGACCGGGCGCGCGTTCAGGCCGTCCAAGTTGGGGTTCACCATGCGAACAGCTTTTTGAATGCACTCTTCAAAGTTGCGGCCCACACTCATGACTTCGCCGACGCTGAGCATGGAACTGCCGAGGTCGTTCGAGACCCGATTGAACTTTTTCAAGTCCCATCGCGGCATCTTGACAACGCAGTAGTCCAAACTCGGTTCAAAGCACGCCGTCGTCGTTTTCGTGATGCTGTTCTTGATGCTGACGAGGTCGATGCCGAGCGCGATCTTGGCCGCCACGTACGCGAGGGGGTACCCCGTTGCCTTGGACGCGAGCGCCGAACTGCGCGATAATCGGGCATTCACTTCGATGATGCAGTACCGTTCCGAGTGCGGGTCGAGCGCGTACTGAATGTTGCACTCGCCGACAATGCCCAAGTGGCGGACGACCTTTTGGGCCGTCGCGCGGAGCTTAAAGTACTCCGAGTTGCTCAGCGTTTGCGATGGCGCGACAACGATCGAGTCGCCCGTGTGGATGCCCAACGGATCGAAATTCTCCATGTTGCACACCGTGATGCAGTTGTTTTTGGCGTCGCGAACGACTTCGTACTCGACTTCCTTCCATCCGCGGAGATCTTGGTCGATGAGGATCTGTCGGTCGCCGACCTTGTTGCCGGCTCCGTGCAGCGCCTTCTTGGCCAGCGCACGGAGCTCCTTGTCGTTTTCGGCAAAGCCAGAGCCGAGACCGCCCAACGCGAACGCGGCACGAACCAAAACGGGGTACCCAATCTCGTTGGCGGCTTCGACGGCTTCTTCGACCGTCTTGGCGGGCTTGCTCAGCGCAATGGTTTCGCCAATCTCGGCCAACTTTTCGCTAAAGCGTTCGCGGTCTTCCGTGTCGATCACGACCGAGATGGGCGTTCCCATCACACGCACGTTGTGTGCTGCCAACGCGCCGCTCTGTTCAAGCTCGATCCCGACGTTGAGCGCCGTCTGGCCACCCATCGAGACCAAAATCCCATCGGGTCGCTCCTTCTTGATAATTTCCAACACGGTGGACGCGCGGACAGGGACAAAATATACCTTGTCGGCCAACCCCTTGGACGTTTGCACCGTCGCAATGTTTGGGTTCACCAGAATCACTTGGATGCCTTCTTCCTTGAGTGCCTTGATCGCTTGCGAACCCGAGTAGTCAAACTCCCCAGCTTGACCGATGCTCAACCCGCCACTGCCCAAGAGCACGACCTTTCGAAACACGGGGCGGTCGTAAAGTGACGTGTCCATGAGGGTCAGCTTCGACGGCTGGCCCTTGACCTTGTCCAAGAACATGTCAAACAGAAACGCCGTGTCGGTCGGGCCACCGCACGCCTCGGGGTGGAATTGCACCGAGAAGAACGGCTTGAATTCGTGGATGATGCCTTCGTTCGAGTGGTCGTTCGCGTTCATGAAGAACGTCTTCCAGCCTGTCGGCAAGCTCGCCGTGTCGACTGCGAACCCGTGGTTCTGCGGGGTGATGTAGCAGCGCGTCGTGCGCATGTCAATGCAAGGCTGGTTCATGCCGCGGTTCCCGTATTTCATTTTGTACGTGGTGGCGCCAGCGGCCAAGGCCAAGATCTGGTTGCCGAGACAGATGCCGAAAATCGGCTTGAGCTTGTCGCCTTCTTGCTCGATCGCCCAACGGATCGACTTGATCGTGGCATCGGCCATTTCGGGATCACCGGGACCGTTCGAGATGAAAATTCCATCGTAGTTTGCGTTTGAGTTGGCCAGGTCGAAATCGTACGGGACGACTGTGAGCTCGACGCCTTTGGACAGCAAGTACCGCACGATGTTGTGCTTCATGCCGCAGTCAAAGGCAAGGATCTTGGGCGATGCGCCTTTGTTGTACACCTTGACTTCCTTTGGCGAGACTTTCGCGACAAGGTTCGTCTTGTTGGGGTCTTCGATTTTGATGATTTGGTCGGGGAACTCGATTTTCCCGAGCAACGACCCGTGTTCGCGAATCTTCTTCGTGATCATGCGCGTGTCCAGGCCGTAGAGCGCAGGAACGTTGTGTGCCTTCAACCAGTCGCCCAACGACGTGACGGCGTTCCAATGCGAGTGTTCAAACGAGTACTCGGACACAATGAGACCGGCAATTTGGACTTTGCTCGATTCGAAGTTCTTGGGCAAGCCGTACTCGTCGATCTCTTGGGACGGCACACCATAGTTCCCAATCAATGGGAACGTCAGGACAAGGATCTGACCGCTGTACGACGGGTCGCTCAATGCTTCGGGGTACCCGACCATGCCTGTGTTGAACACAACTTCGCCGCTCATGGATTTGTTGGCGCCGAAGGAAACCCCTTGGATAGACATGCCATCTTCAAAGTGCAGCGTCCCTTTCTCAACTTCGTCCGCCGCCAAGAGGGCATTGGTGTGGGTGGCCTTCTTGGCAGTCGTGGACGTCGCGTCGGCGCTGTCGCTGGCGGTGCGCTTCCCTCGTGGCATTTTGTCGAATGAACACACCTCCACAAGATCACCGCCATGGATAAATGCCGACATCCTATTTTCGTGTTGAAATTAGGTCAGCAAAATCCACGTCACAAGATACAAGTCCTACCCCTACTCCAATTTCGAATTATACACTTTGACATAAGCAAAGCGGAGGCCGTTCATCCTTGCGCCTGCGGATTGTTGCTAACCATCCCATATATTCACCCAAGCGGAGTGAGTATGCAAGGTAATGGCGACACGAGCAAGGTCTCCCAGCTTTGTTCAGGAATCTTGCCCGCCTCAGATGCATCTTTCCTCACGTTATCTTTCATAGGTGCTGCCTAGCGACGCAGGGACACATCCGTCCGTGTTCTCGCAGTTCTTCCATTACCAAACGGCATGAACAACGGGCGGCCAGCGGCGCTGTTGGCAAAGCGTTCTGTTGCAGGTTGCATTCTTTCAAGTGTGAACTGACTTGCTGAAACACTGCTATATAGTGATATTTCCATTATTCTTTCAAGACACATGCAATTTAATTAATTATCTTTGTTTTACATTGCATGTTTATTTCAATTTGACGCTGCTACCATGACACGTCCTTCATACTAATTCCAAGTGAAAAAAGGCCCCAGCCGGTACTTCGACAACTTCGTGGAAATCGAAGCAGTCGAAGCACGAATCAGCCAATCATGTGGCGAGAGCTAATTGTGGTCACAGCACGTGCACGCGGGAACTCACAAAGATGTCCTAGTCTCATCATCCAATCAAATGATGTTAAATTGTGTGGCGACCCTTATGCAGCCAATCAGATTTTTGAATTGCTTGAGCGGACAGCCACCAGTGTCCGATCCGTTAGCGACCAGTGGTTAATTTGACCGGTAGCCAAGTTTTTTTCTTCTCTTTTTTCGTTTTCGCTCTGAGCGCACAGGTGCCCGTGGATGGCCGACGGCGTGAGCGACTCTGATCGACGACGACGGACAGGAGCAGGTTCAGAACAGCACAACGACAACAGGCAGATGAGGAGTGCCCTCGCGGACACAGGTGCTGAGAACAGAGGCGGAACCGCCACGACGAGAACTCCCTGCCCGCGAGAAATTTGCATAATCGACTCGTTGTATTGTCTGTGTGGTTCTCGTCTTGAAGGACGTCTCGATGTTGTGTTAGAGATCAGGTTCAGGCAGCTGCATCGTGTCACCATTGTGCGCTCCATCCGATGCTGAGGCCGCCATCCGCTCCTGTGTTCGCATCCACGCGGCCAGTAGCTCGTTCCGCTGGAGCGCAGCCTCTTGATGGCCCATGTCTGCCGCTATGTTGAACCACTCTAGGGCCTTGGATACCTCCGTTTCGATCATGTACTGATACCCGAGTTGGGCGGCAGTGTCCGCATCCGTTTTATCGAGATCCCACGCATCCACGAGCAATGTACGTGCTTCGGCGAAGCCGCCTTCTTTCTGCAGCACGTGGGCGAGCGACACCATCGCTGGCGGATACAGGGGCTTCAACGTGAGGACCTTACGATAGTGCTACGTAGTCCAAACACAGATAAGTCAACCATGTCGACGATGTGGCTCCGCCTTTCGTACCGCTTCGGCGACCACCCACTTCTCCTGGCGAACGCACAGGTTGGCGTAGTTGTAGTGCAGCTCAGCGTTGTTATCGTCGACATCGAGGCCATGCTTGTACCACGTGGACGCCTGTGTGTCGTTGCCCAACTTCACATACGTCATGGCCATGCTGTTGGCCAAGTACGCTCGCATGCGCTTGGATTCGTCGGACGTCGCGGATTTGTTCCGGTCATGCTCGGCGGCCAGTTTCAGCGCCTTGTGGTAATAGACGAGGGCCGGCTCCAAGTGGTTGGCGTTGACGAGTATGTCGCCGCGGTGCTTTTGATCGGCCACGTCTGGAAGCCACCCGGTGTATGGCGACGGATTCAGCTTCGCCACCATGTCGTCTACCAGTCGAGCGGTCCAATTCGACAAGAGCGACGCCGTGTCGTCCGAGAGAGTGCTCAACCAGATTGCAAACAGTACGATGGCGACTGGAAACCCGAGAGCGATGGCCTTGGTTCGCTTCGCCTTGGCCTTTTTCGCCGCTTCTTCAGCTTTCAGTCGGGAGGTCAGCCCTTGCAGCGTCGGCGTCATGGCAGCGTCGTCGTCCGAAAATGATGAGCCCTTCAACGCTCCCGAAATGCCATCCTTCTGTCTTTCTAAAATCGACGAGTTGGTTACTGCTGCCACATTGCCCCGAAAATTTCCACTACACAAGATCGTCGTCATGCGTCATGGATTCGAACGTCATGATTATTGTATCTCTGCATGAGGATAGCTGTCGACATCCCGCGCTATGGGTGGCGTCGGTGATCCTGCTTTTAATCCCAAACCTCCTAGTGTCGACGCACAAAGCCACCAAGTCTCCTCTGCTAGAAAAACTACCGCCACCACCGATCATTGCATTCAGTCAGTCGCTTCAACCGCCTTTCATGTCGAGCATGGCCACTTTATTCGATTGCCAAGCCTCCACAGCGCTATGCACCGAATAGAGAGGGGATTCTGCTATGCTTTCAAGAAAACAATATCGTTCGAGATCGTGCTTGCGCTTAACAAAACAGCTTGAACCGGCAGGCATTGCCATGGTTCCAAAGGTCCTGGAATACTACATGTGGAAGGGTCGTGGGGAGCGTCTCGTGGCCTTTCCAGATGCGTGAAACGAGCAAAACACTGTGGATTACTTCATTTACGTGCACCGCAATCACTTGGAAGCTGCGTTGAAGCGCTCCTCGACGTTCTTCCAGTTGACGATTTCCCAAATCGCCTTGAGGTAGTCAGGGCGAACGTTCTTGTAGTCCAAGTAGTACGCATGTTCCCATACATCCACGCCCAAGAGAGGAATCAGCCCAACCGTGCTCAACGGATCTTGGTTCGCCAGCGCAGCAAATTGTACGCGCTTTTGGGTAGGGTTGTACCCCAACCAGCCCCAGCCACTACCTTGGACAGCCGCCGTTTGGGCATTGAACGTAGTTTTGAACGCTTCGAACGATCCAAATTCCTTTTCGATCGCCGACTTCAATGCCCCAGTGGGTTCACCTCCCCCACCCTTCTTCGGGGGAGCCAAGTTCGTCCAGAAGATCGAGTGGTTCACGTGTCCACCACCGTTGAACTTGATGCCTTGTTGCAAAGCAATCAACTTTTGAACGTCGTTCTTCGCCTGGGCTTCCGCGTACTGTTCCGAGAGCGCATTGTAGTTGGCGACATACGCAGCGTGGTGCTTGCTGTGGTGCAATTCCATGATTTTCGCCGAGATGACGGGTTCCAACTCATTGTAGTCGTATGGCAAGTCGGGCAGCACGGCCTTGCTCGAGAACGCGCGCGTGCTCGCTTGCTTGGTGGACTGGCGCACTGCCTTCACAATGTGGTTCATGGCGACTTGGCGATCTTCGAAATGAAGCCTTTTTCACCACAAGGTCGTTGGTGATCCGGATACGACATCCGAATAACAGGACTTCGCGAATGATCGGGCTCGGATCTCAGCGAATCCGTCTCACCTCACTGGCTGCGAGGTCTTCACCGAGCAAGCCACGCAAAGGTAGGAGCTCCATCGGCTTTCCAGCTCTTTGCAGCAACCCCACCCATAATTGGTCGCGAGATGTTGGCGATGGCGTTCTCCAGTGAAAGATCTATGGGGAGTCCACGCCATGACGGCATGCAAGTCCATAACACATGCAAGTCCATAACAGTAGGGTATTTCATTTTGACTTAGAAGGGAAACATATTTGATATTGAATCTAGTACATAAGACTTGTAAAAATCGGTATTTCAATATATTTAGGGCTTTTGTCCTTGCACTTGTTGAACACACACTGGGATTGGTTGGATATGATGGAGGGAATTGATTGGCTATAGATTTTGAGAATACTTGGATTTTAGCCAATCACTACACAACAGCAAACATTGTACTTCGACAGCCTCAGTTTCCACAGCAGCCGAAGATGGGTCCAGGAGCACATGCCAGCGGGGGGGACTCGCAGTCCTTGACCGAGCCAGCCTTCCTGGAACGCGTGTTTGCATCTGTCGGCAGGTATGCACGCACATCCGTTTGATTGTGGCGACCGCGCTGACCTTCTTCGTGCAGAAAATGGCAGCATTTGTTGGATCAATCGACAATTTATGTGTATGGCCGATGGGCGGCATCTGCGTTGCTGCTCACCGTGTACATTCTCCGAGTGTACTACTTGAATGCATTTCACATCATCACGTACGGCTTGGGCATCTACTTGCTCAATCTGTTCATTGGATTTCTCTCGCCCCAAGTACACGCAACCTTTTCGCCATCACATCCACTGACAATGGGGTGCAATAGATCGATCCCGAAACCGAAGGCCCTGTGCTGCCTTCGACCAGCAGTGAAGAGTTCCGCCCGTTTAGCCGTCGCGTTCCAGAATTCAAGTTCTGGTACTCGGCCACGAAAGCGACGTTCATTGCGACGTTGTTGACGTTCTTCGAAGTGTTCAACGTCCCGGTATGTCTCGAGTCATTCACCGCTTCATGCAACAATCTGACGGTCGCGCAGGTGTTTTGGCCGATCCTGCTGATGTACTTCATCTTGCTGTTCACGTTGACGATGAAGCGGCAGATCAAGCACATGTGGAAGCACAACTACGTGCCGTGGTCGACCGGCAAACAAGTGTACAAGGGCAAGGGCGGCGGCAAGGACTCCAAGTAGATTTCTTTCTCGAGTGACCCACTATCGGTTTCCATTCAGTCGTCGAACGGACGTTGCATAAATACTTGACTGCTTCCATGCTCTTATCCATCCCACAATTCGCTGCCGTACCCACTGGTCGCGCCACGGGACGGCATGTCTCGATATGAAGGCGGTGGTGGTAGTGTCACGGCGTCCTCTACGATGTTCAGATGATGAGTTCGGACTAAAATAAATCGTTGGGCAGTTCACTTGCCATCATGAGCTATCGGCCATTCACCTGCTATCGCGTCAACTTGATCGAAGTAGTCTGCGCCGTCTCGAACAACGCGGTCGGCGCTCACGTTTTTACTCTGCACATTGGGAGGCTTCTCCACGTCGTCCTCGAATTCGCGTTTGCTGTCACGGTCGCTGCACTCGGGCATCTCTACCATCGACAGGGCTGACAGCAGCGGCGGCAGCTTCGTCTCGTTCGGTTTGCTCCGAGCCTTCCCCGAAGCAGTCGCAAGCTGGACAGTTGGAAAATGCTGTGCTTCGAATGTTGGTTCGATGTCCACTGCTGGAGCTTCGATAAAGACGGTCGACGCTTCTGTGGGCGGCCGCTGGGTTGGACCCCGGGCGTTGGACGAGATGGGGCGAGTCAGCATGGACAACTTGGTCAACTGCGGCAATGTGCTGCAGCCATGCGGTCGCTGTCTACTTGGCGCGGCATATGGGGATGCAAGGACCTATGCCCACGCCGTTGCACGCGGTCTCGCAGCGGGAACGACGACCAACCTTTTGCTGGACTTGTTGAAGGCGCATGGGATCGATTCGCCGTGGTGGAGTGGGCTGATGAGATGGCATGGCTGGCGGCAACTTTTCTACATCATTTCCACCGCATTCCAATTTTAGGGCGTTGTGAACATCACAACAGCACAGGAAGCTCACCATGAAGGGCTTGTAGATGGCACTCCTTCTCACGCTCTGCACAAGTGGTCATGTGAAGGACATGGAAAAGTGGTCCGAGACGTACCCCACGCCGCTTCGAGGTCACGCTTCCGCTGTCTCTCCCGCCGCCTCTCATCGTCTTTCGTTTTCTTCCACTTGAGAAACTGCGCATCTACCATCGCCATCCACACATACGTGACGAAGGAAGCACCTTCAGCAGCAACGGCCTTACGCGACTCCTCCGCGGTTTGCTCGACGAGCGGCGTGAGTTCCTGGTCTGACAGAGGTGCGTTCGCCTGGCGGCGCCGTCGCATCTCGGCGTCCTTCGCCGCTTTCCACCTCCGCCATATCGCATTGTTTTCTTCGTCGGACAATGTTTTGCGCTTCGACGTCGGTCCCTGGCCATTGGACGACTCGGTCAACTGTGTCGACTTGGCTTTTGGCGGCGACAAGTCAATGTGCTGCAGTTGCTTTCGGGGAAGCAGCAACACTTGCTCGTATTTCTTTCGCGCGGGCGACGGTCGGCCCAGCGGCGCAAGCATCACCTCGACAGACGGTTTCAGTATGCACGACGGTTACAGAGAAATTCCCAGTCTAATTCTTTATTTTGAAGGACTCGACGGCAGCCTGCGGTGCTCGACGTGACGACGGGCGAGGACGCCGAACGGAATGCGACGCAGCATCATGTAAGCGCTCTCGAGAAGCGCAACGGCCTCGACTTCAAACTTGGCGCCTTGAGTCCAAAGATCCAAGCCCAGTTGCAGAGCTGTCCCAAAGTCACACTCGTCGCATGCAATCGTTGCCCGAGTGATGAGGTCGTCGACAGCTTTATCTCGTGTCGGCGCCTCCAGGAGCTTTCGCAACTTGCTGTGTGTCACCGGGAGGTCACGAAACCCAATGCGGGATATGGCATGAACAGGAACGACGATGCCAAGCCCGCTTAATGTCGGAGCCACCTGTTCTGCACGTCGTCGACACTGGCAACTCTCGCGACTAGCAAGTGATGAGGTCGAGGTCTTCTGTCGCTTGTGCTTCGGAGTACTCGCCGGCGCCACACAACAACCGTATTGCGTCGTTAGGAATGCTCGAATGGTTGTGAGGTGGGGATGCGGCTTGGTTGCTCCTTCCAACCGGTCAAAGAGTACGTGGGCAAAGCATTCGTGGACGAAGTCGAACGATCCCTACAATCGCCGTCATGAAAATACGACAGATTCAAGGGAGTGATTACTGAGGATTCTCTTCCTTTGACGACGTATTTCGGAACATCGGATGGGTCATCCCTGGTGGCACGTTGTTGTAGATGCTTGCTCGCGACAATGGGATATGTCCACCTCACCTGAAATAGCCAAATGACATGGAGTCGCTCCGTGCGACTGTAATCACTTCGGGCGGGTCGTAATAGCATCGCCCGTGAAGGTATTCCTATATGCACCGATCAATTGCAACCGTTAGAGCAAGCGAGGGGAATGGTCCAAACGTGAGTAGGAAAGTCAAGATGTGTCCACGCTGCCGAAAGCACATCAAAAGGACCCGTGAGCTCCATGCTAAGCGCTTCAACAAACGCGCCTACGTGTCCATGTTGTATGTGCATGATTCGGCAGGATGAAAGTCGTACGAGATGGATTGGAGTGGTTGAGATGTGCCGCCAAGCTGTGTATAGCAAAGAACTCATCAGGAGCGTCGAACAACCAGTCCTTCTTCAGTTTCTCTCTCCACGCAGCGATCTTATCATGTGGATGGATCTCAACGGCGTCAACCAAATCCGTGCTCGGCGCCGACTCGCCGTCGCACCCGACTCGAGTTGCCCGCTTTCCCATTCGCGCCATCTTGATTGTGTCTCCGGTTACATGACGGAGACATCCGGACATGAATCTATGCATAGTGGTTGGATTAAATCATGCACAATTTCGACCAATAGAAAACATTATTTCCATAGTTGGAATCGTTCAAATGGATCCCGCGGCACGATGGAGAGGCACCGCTTCGATGGTGCTGGGTGTAATGGACGCAGAACGAAGTGCTGGGGAATGAGGCTAGTGGGTCCATCACTGCACGTACGAAAGTCGTCAGGTTTACGTGGCGCATTCTAACGTGGGTGCTGTTCCACGCCTTGTGGTGTCAACACGAGAAAGGTACGAGGCAAATCATGTTGCTCTCTCTCAGTCGATCGCAGATCTCGCTGTCGAAATGCGCAATGCCTGACTCGTCTGTCTGTGCATTGGTGTTTTACTTCAGAAGCGGGGCCTTTTCGCCCGTTGCGGCGTCTGCTGCGTTCTTGGGATTCATCGTGTACTTGATTCCTTTCTCGAGCATCGCTTGGTACCCGCCACCCAAATGCGCGAGTGCGTTGTACCGGAATTCAGCCATGAACGCCATCTCGACAATGTTGGGCTCGATCACAAACACGCCCTGGGCGCGAGTCGACAGCAATACGGCCTTCCCCACGTGCTTGTAGCACAAGCTCTTGACAAAGTATGCGAGCTGGACAGATCGCTTGGGCGCGCCGACGATCGCGTCGCCGTCGTTGCACACTCGATACGCGTTCGGGACATAATGCTTGTACGCCTTGGCAAACTCGTGGTTGCCGACGCGGGGCGCCCCGAACGAGTACATGACGACTTCTTCGTTTAGGTTGAAAGTGGCATCGGTCGCAATGTCAAACGCGGCGAGGGTCGCGAGCGCGCCGCCCAAGCTGTGGCCAGTAAAGTAAATCTGGACGTCGCCCATGTTCTTGATGGTGTCGCGGAGCACGCGCTTGAGCTGCTGCTGCACCGTGATGTAAGCCGACCAGAACCCGACGTGGACGCGGGTTTTGTTCAGGTCGTCCCGGTTGCATTCCCAAGTCGGGACGGCAAAGCGATACTTGAGGTCCGTGACGGTGTTGGCAGCGCTCTGCGTGCCGCGGAACGTGACCACGATGCGCTTGTCGCCGCGAGCAACCCACCCGTACGTATCGGTTCCCTTGTCAAACAGCTCCGACACGAACTCGAGGCCGTCCTGCTTGAAGTGGTCGTGCGTCGCCATGACGTACGAGCCCGTGGCCTTGTCCAGCACGGGCTCGTCGTACACTCCGATGGCTTGATTGTACATGGCACACGCCGTTTCGATGCAGAACGCTTGAGGCGCCTGCCACGACAGGGTCGACAGGTGGTACGTCGAGTTGTGGCCGCCGCTTTGGTGGGCTTGCTTCAAGTGTGCGAGCTCAAACTCGCGGTGGGACGCATGCGTGAGGCGCGGCAGCGCCGACGCGGCGCAGGTGTAGTACACGTTTGGGTCGACCACGAGCGGCGGCAAGAAAATGACAAGGAGGGCCCACGTCGCGCTGCGCACAATCACTTGGATCGACGTGTCGGTCAAGAGGGCAGTCTTGGGGAGGTAGCTCGTGACACGGGGCACCGGGTCCGCGAACAGCGCGACAAAGAAAAATACGTACGTGATGGCGATCGAGACCGAGTAGAGGAAGCGCGCCGTGAGCTGCTGGGGACGCGAGTCCGCGTACGATTCGTACCGGAGCTTGTTGCGGACGTCGACCATGACGCCGCTAAAGATGGCGCCGGCCAAGATCGCGAGGCAAAAGTTGAAGAGCTGAATCCACTGGGTCGGGTACGACGAGTAAAACAGGAGCATGTATGCCGTGAGGACAACAGCGCCAAGCGTGAGTTTGACGAGGTAGAAGCGGCACCCAAACACGCGCTTGCGCTGCATGTCGAGCGCAAAGAGGAGGCACAAGAGCCAAATGCCGCTCGCACACGCCGACCAGGCGTGCATGAAGAAGTACATGTTTTGCCACGACGCAGTCGGGTCTAGCTTCTGCGCGACAAACAGGACCGGGAACGATCCGAGAAAGTTGACGACGAGCATGACGTACATGAGGCGGCGTTCGGGAAGAAAGTTGGCGGCGCGCGTGAGGCAAATCCACGACAGGAGTGCAACGACGTCGATGAGAAACACACCGAGGTCCACGAAACTCGTGAGCCGCTCAATGTACGAGTGGTGCGCAATAAAGGCGAGGTGCGGGATCGGATGGACGGTGCCGAGGCGGTTGAATTTGGACTTGATCTGGAACACCCCCGTGAGCTCAAACGTGTGGGGTTGCGCTTGCAAGTCGAGCGGGTGCAGCGCGTCCTGGTACCACGGAAAGTACACGAGCGGTGCGTACCCATCGTCGGACTGGGCTTGGTCGATGCGGCAAGCCCCGCTCTCGCAGACACATCCGACGACCTTGTGGCCGTAGATCTTGTCAAAGACCGCGTTTGTGTCTACCGTGAACGACACAACGTACGAAATGTCGAGCGTGGTTTTCCCGTTCGGGTCGAGCAGCGCCGCGGACGAGTTGCCACAAAAGTCGCCTTGAATCGACACGTAGCGGATGCCAGGTGGCACGGACGTCTCCGAGTGCGACGCGATGCGGTATGCCGATCGGTTGAGCTGGATCGTGGTGTCGCGGGTGAGCGGGTACAGCGACTCTTCCATTTGGAATGGCGGGATCAGGAGCGCCATCGACAGACAGAACGAAGCGATCAAGCCGTAGCAGAGAGATTGGACCCACCGCTTGTTCATCGTTTCCATAAAGATCTTGGGCGCTTGGTCCAGTCCAAACACAGTGTCTGGAACGACCGTGCGGAACTGCGCGAGGTTGATCATGTACTTGCGCTGCCCGCTCGACGCTTCCAGCGCTGTTTGAACGTGATCTTCGCGACCCGTGATGGCTTTGGCATTGCTCTTCTTCTTGAGCAAGTGGATGAGGAACGCGATGATCGGGACGACGACATTCAACGCGATCGCCGCGACCAGCGCAATCCATCCGGTGTCTACAGCATCAAGCAAGTGGAGAAATCAACTGCATGATGGCCGATAGAGTGGCGCCACGTACGAGAGAGACCACATTCACCGAGGCCGTCGCGCGCAGCACCATTGCATTCGAATAGAATGGGAAAACAGTCGCAGTTGCCAACAGCGCACCCTGCTTGGCGACGGTATAGACTGAACGCGCCACCACCGCTGCATGTTCCAGCAAGCGATGTCGTCGCATCGACGACACCTGCGATGGCCGCGAAGGCAGCGACCACCATGGCCATCTTGGAAGCCGCCATCACACGTTGTCGTCCAGACGTGAAATGACGCTGGTCGCGATCGCCTTGGAGGAAAGAGGAGATGAGTGGGAGGAGCGAGAATCTCACGACTACGTTGGACAAATCTCATGTTCAAACATGCATACATTTCAACCTATTTCGGTCGTCGTGCGTGCTGTGAATGCGCGAGACACGTTTCAGAAAAATACTATCGGCAATACTGCAAGAATCAAAGTTGTGTCTACCCTCCGAAGTGTACTTATTAAGGGTAGTTTAGCCCGAGCCCCGAGCCAAGGCCAGGCGTCAGTACAATTTCGATACAAATCGACACATGGATTGGCCAATCGCATCGCTGGATTCTGATATCCCACTGTACTGATGGCGTGGTCGACGCAGGCGACACGCCTAGTATTCTTCATTGAACACGTCGGCCAGCAGACGCTAACGACGGAAACAGTCGACGCGAGGGTCGTCGGCGCGCGTGGGATGGAGTGTGCTCCTTATTGCAAAGCCCATTTGGATCATCAATACGAGGGGAGGGGGGCGGCGTGCGCGAGCGAGTCAAGAACCGACGCGATGCGAGAGGAGTCTCCGACGATCGAACTGTACCTTTGCCCGCCCAACGCAGCGGCCACTGCACATGCATGCATTGTTCGCACGCATCGGCTCTGGTCGGTGCATTGCAAGCTTACTCCCGAGAGACTCTTTACGGTTCAACATGCAGCTTCTACTTGAGCAAGGCCGTGGCTTCAGTGTTGCGACTGCTCTCGGGCTTCATCGTATACATGACTCCCTTGTTGAGCAAGTGGCGGTACGTTGGCGGGAGATGCGCGAGAACGTTGTTACGGAACTCGGCCATGAACGCGCGCTCGACAATGTTGGGGTTGATCATAAACACGCCCTTGGCTCGGGTCGACAGCAGCACCGCCGTCCCAATGTGCTTGTAGCACAAGCTCTTGACGAAGTACGCGAGTTGGATCGATCGCTTGGGGGCGCCAACCACGGCGTCGCCGTCCGCGCAAATGCGATACGCGTTCGGGACGTGCTTGTTGAAGAGGGTCGCAAAGACGTGATTGCCGACACGGGGAGCGCCCAACGTGTACAGCACAACTTCCTCGTCCAAGTGGAACGACGCGTCGGTGACGAGGTCGAATGCAGCAAGCGTCGCAAGCGCTCCACCGAGGCTGTGACCTACGTGGCATTTGAAACCCATCCGAACCACACAAAATCCGCACGTCGACCCAACGAACCTGTCAGGTACACTTGGACTTCGCCCATGTCGTGCATCGTTTCGTGCAAGATGCGCTTGAGATCGTCGCGGACAGTCAAATACGCTTCCCAGAATCCCGTGTGGACGCGGGTCTTGTCCAGGAGCCCGCCGTCGTTGTCGTCCGTGGCCCATTGCGGAATGCAAAAACGGTACTTGAGATCCGTGACGGCGTTCTGGCCGCTCTTGGTGCCGCGGAACACGACCATGATCTTCTTGTCGCCTTTGAGGACCCACCCGTACGTGTCGGTGGCCTTGTCAAACAGCTCCGACACAAACTCGACGCCGTCGGCGGCAAAATGCGCATGCGACGGAATGTCGTACCCGCCCGTGTCAGGGTTCGCGACCACTTCGTCGTACACGGCAACGCTTTGGTTGTACGACGTGCACGCGGTCTCGACGCAGAACGCGCGGGGCGCGCGCCACCCGGCATAGTTGCTCGTCGAGTGAAACAGGTTGCGCGAATGGACTGCCTGCTTGAGCGATGCCATTTCGAAATCGTGCATGGAGCCGTCCGTGAGGCGCGGCAACGACGTCTTTGCGCGCATGTAGTACACGCTCGGCGCGGTGAGTGTCGGTGGCAGAAAGATAATGACGAGAATCCATGTCGCCGTGCGGATGATGACTTGGATCGACATGTCGGTGAGGTGCACTGTCTTGGGCAAGTACGCCTCGACGCGGGGGACCGAGTCCGCCGTCAGCGCGACGAAGAAAAACACATACGTGACGGCAATCGCGACGACGTACAAGAGGCGCGCCGTGAGCTGCTCCGGGCGAGTGCTCACGTAGCACTGGTACCGGAGTTTGTTGCGGACGTCCATCATGACGCCGCGGAAGATGGTGCTGACAAGGATCGCGAGGAAAAAGTTTAGCATGAGAATCCACTGGTACGGGAACGACGAGTAGTACACCCACAGGTACAGCGACAGGACGGCGACGCCAAGTGTGAGCTTGACGAGGTAGAAGCGGCACCCAAACACGCGCTTGCGCTGCATGTCGAGCGCAAAGAGGAGGCACAAGAGCCAGATCCCGCTCGAGCACGCTTGCCACGCATGGCAAAACAAGTACACTTGATGGAGGCTGACCGACGTCGGGAAGAAAAATTTGGTCACAAACATGAATGGAAACGTCGCGACAAAGTTGACCCAGAGGATCACCGACACAAGGGTGCGCTCCGGCAGCTTGTGCTCGACCTTGCGCGTCATGTAGGACCAGACAAAGATCACGAGCAGGTCCAGCGCGAACACGAGGACGTTGACCAAGTCGATCACGTGCTCAATGTACGAGTAGTGCGCAAACAGCGCGAGGTGCGGGATCGGCGACACGGGCGCGGCGCTCTCGTAGCTCGACGTCAAGGCAAACGTAGCACGAAGGGTGAACGTGTGGGTTTCCGTCTCGGACGTGAGCGGGCGAATGAGGTCTTGGTCGGCATCTTGGAACCTACAACGACCGTGGCGTCGACGTCAGTTGGGGCAGCACGTACCACGGAAAGTAGACGAGATCCGTGAGGCCGTTGTCCGACTGATCAGGGACCATCGTGCAGGCCGAGTCGACGCAGTTGCACCCGATCGTTTTGCTGCCGGCGACGGTGTCAAACATCTTTGTGGATTCCATGTCGAACGATATCGTGTAGTTGAGCTCAACGATCGTGATCCCGTTCGGGGCCAAGATCGACGGCGACGTTTCGCAGAATGCGCCTGGAGACGACAAGGGATGAGAATCGGGGGACGACGACGAAATGGACCTTGGATCGAAATGTACCGCGTCGATGCCGGCAGCGGCGTTGTGGCAATGCTCTCGACCGAGTACGACGTGTCGGACGATTGAGCGGTCGACACGCGCGTCAGCGTGAATGCTTTTTCGTTCATCGGGAACGACGGAATCAACATGAGGCACGACAGCGCGAACGAGAAGGCGAGGCAGTAGCACACGAGCTGCACCCATCCTAGACCCAGACGTGACGGGCACGAGAGGGGACGGTTGGCAAACCTTTGCTCATTGTCTCCATGAAAATCTTGGGCTCGTCGTGCAGACCGAACGCGGTGTCGGGCACAACCGTCTTGAACTGGCATGGAAAGACATGGTGATAACATGCGATTGCAAGGGATTCAACACACCAGATTGAGGTCGATGAAATAGGACCTAGATATATCAAGGATGCATGAGCAAGGGGCGCGCACAGCAGTCAAGGAAGCGTACTTGTACTTGGCGCTGGCGCCTTCGGACGCTTCCAAGTCGGCGGCTTCCTTGGCCAACGCGGCCTTGGCCTTTTCCGTACGCTTGCGATGTACCAAATGCGTGACGAACGCAATGACGGGCACGATCAAGTTGAGCGCAAACGCGACGATGAGCACCGCCCAGCCGTTGCCTGTCGTCGCATGAGATTGAATACACGACGTCATGATCGTACCGGAGAGCGCGCACTGCCCCAACCCGTCGACGAGGGTATCGTCACATCGAAACAGGGTAGGAAAGCACTCGCAGTTGCCTACAGCACACCCCGCCTCGCGTTGGTACAAACTGAACGCGCCACGACCGCTGCACGTATTAGGGAGACTCGTCATGGCAGTCGCAGACGTCGCCAGGAGCGCCGCGACGACAATTGCCTTTGGTGCCATCCCAAGAGTCAAAAGAACGTAATGTGACATGGACATTGCGCCATTCGATAAAGTACCTCAAAACATTCGTGGGATAATCCCACAAGGTCATTCCGGTATTAAAATTTCGAAATACTTCTTTCAACATGTACTATTGAGGTGACGGCCATGTCGATGTCCCTTTGTTATTTTATAATTATCCACGCTGGGATATACTTGAATGCCAAGGCTTCATACGAAGGTCCATACAATTTCAATTGTAGCAGGGTTGTGCAAATACGTTACTTTTCCGAATGGCTACGACAAAGCTGATTGTCAGGTGGCATACTTTATCGAATGTACCATCATGTTGATGGTTATCAACGAGTACTTACTTGGTTGGGGAATGCCATACTCCGCCAGCAAGTGGCCGTCACTGGCACGACCTTGGCTGCGTTGAAGCGAATGCCAGTGCTGGACTCTCTGTGCAGATTAGCAGCGCCATTCGACCTCAGGGCCGCATTGTTGTCGTCACAACAACGCAAAAGACGGTGACATGCAATTTACGTCGCCTTCGACAGCACCGCCCAGTCGACGAGTCGTTGGCTCTACCCGCACTTGGGCAACGGCTTTTGCATCGCTTGCTGAAGATGTCGACTCCCGACGTACCCTGCAACTTTGGTCTTCCAGGACGGTGGTGCCCCCGGGATGCACGATGAAACGACTTCCATGCGGTAATTACACGAAAGAGACTTTTGCCAAGGATTTGTCCACCCATCGTTGATGCCATCGCATTGGCGAGAAGAAAGCAAAGCGATTGATACACGGAGCAAGACACTCGTTGGCTCCAGCCGACGCAATGATGCCGTCGCCATGGGGTTTCCTCCCGCGACGGGCTGCAACATCGTCGCTCGAGTTTTGGTTGCCGACAAAACCTTGTCACTTGAACCCCTCGTCGAACAGTTTGAACGGAAACCACGAACATGATGAATGAAACAAGCAAGTTAAGTGACTCGAGTTTGTAGTACGTGGGCGTCGATGTTGCATTGAAACCGTTTCGAAACGGACCGAGAACACACCACAAACTCAATCGTTGGCATCGGGATGGACGATCGCCGGGTCCGGACTGTGGAAGGCGCTGCCCGTTCTCCGCGGGTGTCGATCAAAGCTGTCAACACCGAGGTAATACCATGTGCGCGTCTTGTCAACGTCAGAGTACTTTGCAGACACCGGCGGATCCCCTGGCACCCGGAGCTGCGTTGGATGCGGTGAATTCCACCACGACAACTGACAACGATAGCATCGCGTCGCCCAAATCCGTAATGTCCTCGCCGAATCTCACGGGGGGCATTGCGTCGTCGGCAGTGCGACGCGACTCGCCTTCTCCATTCAAGCTCTCGAACCTGCTGCACTTTAAAGACGATAAAAAATCGACAGAAGACCGAAGCGCAGAGGTTGCAGGGTTGACGGCCGCGGATGCCATCGCCGGGACGTTGTCCATGCACCTCAAGGACCCAGACAAGAAGAAGCTCTTCTACGTCAAGACGAAGTACCGCGTTGTGGTCTGCGCCAACAGACCTACCATGGACCTCTTTACATCGTACGTGTACCTTCATTCTATTTGATTCACGGCAATCCGTTCGCTCGCAGGCACAACAGCGATGCGTCGCCGGCATACATGTTGTCGCTGTGCAAAAGCTCGCTCGTTCACGACCCCAAGGCCGCCGCCGACGGCACGTTTGCTCTTCATGTGCATGCATGGACGAAGCAAGCGACGGTGCACTACCGCCCGCAGTTGTTTGTCTTTCATGATGAAAAGCACCATCGCGTCGAGGCGTGGATCGCGTGTCTTCAACGCGCGATCGCCGCGTCCGCCGACATGGATGAAGGGCATGTGCTCGCCGCTGGGCTCGCGGACGCTCTGTCAACGTGCGTTGACGAGGAAGTGGACGATCGGCCTTCATCGTACGTTGATTCCGAATCGGCCATGTCGGCTTCCAGTGGCAGCGACAACGACGACGACGACGTCGGGGAAGCTGTCGCGCGCACACTAAAAAAGCTGAATCCGTTCTCCCCCAAGGCATCTTGCGCACCTGCGACTTCACTCGAGTCTCAGCACCGCGCCAGCACCAGCGATTCCAAGCCTCCAATGAACCCTTCCACGCCACAAAATCCCCTCGGGCGATTCAACCGCGCGTTCCAAGCCAAGAAGCCGCCCCCGCTCGACAAAGCAACGTCGCACCCAGTGCTGTCGCTCGAAGAGCGATGCGAGCTCCTCCGCCAGCACAACTTTGATAAAGTCCAAGACAAACATCCATCCGACCATGCTCGTCCCGACGCCGCCTCCAACGTTTCGGACGCCGTGCCACCACCCGTCATTCGACCCCGCGAATCCAAGCCCCATTCGTCGGCTACGACGTATCCATCGTATCGACAGCTCCTACGGAAGGCTCGCGCCGTGTTGCTGCATCCCTCTGGTGGAATGGGTCTCGTCCTGAGCTTCACGTCGGGATATGGCAATGCCTCGGTGCTCTGTCCGTTGGCACTCGCTGGCTTTTACGCCGCCCAGCTACCCACGCACAACTCGGATGAACCGACGTTGGTTCTGGGTTACCCCGGTCTTGTCGCTGCGTTCGTCGTCGTCCACGTGATGGCGTCGTCCGGGTCGATTGCAGGAGGCCTGGCCGTCGCGTTCGTCGTGATGCTGTTGGCCCACAGCACGACTCTAGAAGCCAAGCGCCAGCACCTCAGGTCCGACATGCGGCAGCTCACGATGGCCGAGAAGTCGAACTTTGCCAACTGCCCCACCGTCGAGGTACCGAGTCTGGTAGGTGTATCGAGCGCCTCACTTTGGCTCAGTTTCCTAGCTGGGTCAAGTTTCCAGGTACATGTGTGTCATGGACCAACGATGTGTCTGAACATGCCGCTTCAAGATGTCGAGCGAGCAGAGTGGCTCAACACGGCGATTGCCAGGTGCGTTGGCGGGACACGTCATGGACACCGATGGCCTGGATCGTGTAGGAGCTGGCCGTATGTGAAGGTGGCCATCAAGGTGGGGTCCCTTACCTGGAGCACCGAGAGAAACCTTGTGACAGGACGGGTGTAGAACTCGGTCATGTACTACGTGAACCCAATGCTAGAAACAAACACCCCAGCGATGCTGACGTCGATGGTGCTGACGGACCTTGACATGGGCGACACCCCGCCGTCGTTTGGAGGTATCAAGTGCATCCCGGACGACTCGATGCTTGCCCGTGGCCCTGTCACGGAGGTGTCGTTCGACGCTGAAGTTCGCTTCGTCGCGGGCGACGACCAACTCGCCGAGCTCAAGTTGATTTCGCACATGGGCGGTGCCACCGCGCGCGTTCGGCTCAAGGACGCTGTCATCATGGGCACGATGCGTATCACGCTGCGTCCGATGGCATCCGTGTGGCCGGGCTTCAGGTATTCGTGCTCATGTACTCAAGCGAGGTATGCTCATCTGATGGTGCATGGGGCAGCGGCATCTCGCTGTCGTTTATAAGGTACAACAAACGCCACCCACGATGCCAAACTCTCATCTCCTCCTTAGTCCTCCGCGCATCGACTTCTCGCTCACTGCCGCCAAGATTGCCATCACGAGTGTGCCGTTTGCGTCCGACTGGTTCGGACCTACGTCCATGATGTTTGGCGGCTCCATTCGTGTCGTCCGTAGGCTGCAAACTTTTATCCTCGACATCGTCACCAACAACTTGGTCTGGCCCAAAGTCCTGGACATCCCGTTCTGGGACCCTGCGCTGTACCCCGTCGAAGGCGTCGACGATCTGCCGTTAAGGTCGCCGTCCACGCAGGGACCTTCGACCCAAACGTCGGATGAAAAGAGGAGCGTGTTTGGTCCGGGCGTCGTCTCGCTCCACGTCCGCAAACTCACGGTGCTTTCTCCCACCACGACAGCGTTGCCGGCCGAATCGATCGCGGTGCTGACGGCCGCGGAGATCTACTGCATCGTCATGCTTGGCCAGAGTCACAAGACCGAAATCCGCGTCATCGACGGCCACGGACTGTGTACGCTGGATGAAAAGTATGAGTTTTACTGGGACAGCGTGGCAGCGCCGACGCTCCAGGTCGAAGTTTGGCAGCACCAGCGGGCGGTTCCAGACCAAGCGCTCGGGACCGCGACGGTCCCGCTCGGGTCCCTTGCCGCCAAAAGGGTATTGTCCAAAACCGACCTGGGAGATGATGAATCGAGCACTCGATAGGATCATGAGCTCCAAGTGAACGTCGAGCTGGGCGACGGCGTGCGCGGCATTCTGCATGTTCACGTCTGTCGGCGGTTGTTCAGCACCGTTCAAGTGGCTCGCTCAGTCACGTCGCAGCCCAAGAAATCGCGTACGTGCACAAAACGGATGAAACGAAGTCGACGTGGTAGCGGCTGACTTCGGTGTGCGTAGAGATTGAAGGGCTCGGGCATGACGTGTGTGTGGGCATGCTGTTTGTGACGTGGGTGTCGGTGATGTGGGCCAACGAGGACGACGCCCGAGCGATCCATGGAGTGTTTACCTGCGAGAAGCAGCGAGCCAACTCGACGACGCAGGCCAAGGTGAAAGCGTCGACATGGCAGGAATTGTATGGCACGTGCAGCGTGGAAGAGGGTTCATGATGCGTGTTGTGCAGGTTCAGTTTCTTCGTGTACTCGGTCGAGACAGCGACGCTTGTCGTCGAGATCTTTGAGAAGGCGCCATCGAGCCGCACCGAGAGCCTCGGCACCGTCACCATGTCGGTGCTCGAGTTGCGCAAGCGGCTCACGACCAACCAAGACGCGATCACGGAAACGTTTACGCTGCAGCCGCCAGCAACAGCCGCCAGCGCCACGTCCTCGTCGGTGATGCTCATGTTTCAGTGGCGCCAACTGATGAGCTGAACAAGCAGCTTCGACTCCAACTAAATAAACACACGCGACGCTTGCTTTGACTGGATCCCAACTTAATTCGCATGAAACTCTGACACAAAAACGTTGAGTCGGTCAAATAGAACGCGCTGGAAGCTCAATGTGGACTTGGCTGTCAACGCTTGATGCAGCACCTTGCCCTTCGGGTGCGAGTAGCGGTCGGGCACCACCACTTCGACGTCGTAGTCACCGCCGCTGTCGGAACTCATGTCGAGGAACTTCAGTGTCGCTTTCAGCGGCGGGACACTGCCTGCGGCTGTTGGCGCCCAGGTCACTTCCACCGAGAAGTTCAAGTCAAAAATGTACCTAGGCAACTACGATGAGTAACAACATGACGAGGCATGTCCTACCGCTTGGCGCCGCGAACAACGGCGATGGAGGCATCCCCGGCCATGTCTTTCACTTCGTTGACAGACAGCAACCCAGCAGCTCCTTCTAGCGTCATGGGTTGAGGGGGGACGTCGATGACAAGCTGGGTTACGCGGTCCCGCGCAAACGCCGACAAATCCTTCTCTTCGAACGAATTCCCTTGGTTCCACGCCGACCCACCCTCGACGTTTTTGATTTGGACGGCCTGGACATCGTCGATCTTCTTTGGCGCAATGCTCCCAATGAGAGCTTTGTCTTCTGCAGTGAGTTCGTTATTGAAAAAGGTCGTGACACGGCCATCGGCGAGCTTCTTGTACCCACGGACACCCTTGAGGTCTTCTTCGCCGTCCTCTACCACGACATGCGCAGACTTGGCTTTTGGCGATCGCGATGACGATGAAGAGGACGTTGGGAACGATGGCGTGTTGTAGACAGTGCGCTTCTTCGGCGAGACTGGGCGTTCAATGGGTTCATTGGATACGTGTTTGGCCTGGAGATCTTTCGCTTCCGCGAGTGCCTTCGCGACACTGGAATTACCAGACTCCAACGAATCAGCTCGCGTAAGGGCGTCAATGGCACGCTGGTACTGCTTCATCGCAATCAGCGCCTGGCCTTGCCGGAAATATCCTTTGGCAAATGTTGGGAGTGCCGCAACGGCAGCTTCCGCATCTTCCAACGCGAGTTCCTTTTTGCCCATCTTCAATCGCGTGGCGCTCCGATTGCTGTACAGAATGTGAATGTCCGTTTGGGCGACGTCAATGCCACGCGCATAGAGCACTTCTGCTTCCTCCATGACGCCTTTCGAGAACGCTTGATTTCCCCGGCGCTTGAGTTCCTCGACAAGGGCCGAAAGTTCCTTGGGTTCTGTCGGGACAGGGCAGTCCAGGACATCAGAGTGGCGGGACATGCCGCGCGAGCCAAACATGTTTCCGCGTGTGTCGATTCGGTTGTGGCGGGGATTGTTCATTTTAGCTGCGAGTTTTCTAGAAAAAGATTCCCGCTGCGTGGAAGTAGCCGGATACTGCGCACTCCTTCCGGATGCGCGCTCTTTCCGGATCCGCCCCAAAGTCCGGATACGCATCGACGGATACGAACCCCGTTTGGATGGTGCGGCGCTGTGTCCCGGATAGTCGAGGAAATTATCCGGATGGCGGAGATGATTGGAGGACAGCATTGGTTGGTGCGGTCGGCGGAAGGCGGAACTTCTTACTTTTCGGTTTTAGTGTGAAAGTAAAGCAACATGTCTTCCACCGGTATTGCTACTGGTTTGTCCAAGGGGTACCCCGTGACCAAGCGAGAGCTCGCTCCTCGTCCTGCTTCGAAGAAGGGTGTACGTACATGCATCTGACAGGGTGGCGTCCGTGGAGCTGATCAGGTGTGTTTTGTGTCGAGGGTAGCGCGCCGGCAAGAAGACCACGTTTGTGCGTGCGATCGTGCGTGAAGTCGTCGGGTTGATGCCGTACGAAAAGCGCATCCTCGATATGATCAAGTCCGGCGGTTCGTCGGCGGAAAAGCGCATCTACAAATTCTCCAAGAAGCGCCTGGGGACGCACAAGCGCGCCTTGGCCAAGCGTGAAGAAATGAAGGCGTACTACGCCGCCCAACGTGCCAAGCAAGCCGGTGTCTAAGCGGTCTTTCTGGTGGAGTTGAAATTCTTTGGACACCTAATGACATTGCACACTAAACCTTGGAGTTGCGCGTTGAGTCGATTAATCTGAATCACAAGCTTCCGAGCGTCATCCAACGTGTTCCATCGGTCTGTGCATCACGACCAAGCTACCTGCGCACATCAATCACGACCACGCCGTCGACCGACTCCAACGTCGCTGTCCACGAGGCGGCTGGGTGCTGCTGTCAACGAATGCCCCATCTAGGTCGTCTTGGGACACACTCCTGGACGTGCTATGTACATGTCCTCCTGGAGTTTCCTTATGGATGGGGGGACGCAATGACGGCGACGCGCGTTCGATGTTGGCTTCCATCGGAAGCGCACAAATTGACAGCTTGCGTGGAGAGGATGCTTGGACCACTGCAGCTCCATCTTGCTTGATCGCCCCTAGTGGAAGTGGCCCACATGGCAAATCAAGCCACCGTCCGTGTGCACACGGCAATCGACAAGTGCAACGCTGCTGACCGTGGCGCCTTCTGTGACGCCCTCCATGCATGACGCCGAATGTGTGTGTCACTATGCGCCACTCATCAGGTACGTGCAAGGAGGTGCCGCGCCGTCCTTCCATGCTTCACGGCACAAGTTCCATCTGGAGAAAGAATGAAGAGCCCCAATTCGATCCCTTCGAGGAAGCGAAGCGCATGCGAACAAGTTCCTTCAGCGTCACGACGACGTACCAAGAATCGCTTCACCAGTACGTTGGTTGAAGATAGCGTCATCTGCCAACCTGACAGGGACTCACCCACCGGACTGTGAATCATGCACGTGTGACCAAACTACCGGTAGACAGCACTGCCCCCTTGCCGCGACGAGAATTCAATGTCACCCAAGAGGTACGTATCGATGTCGTCCCCTCCATTATCTTCCGCATACCCACACAGATGCTTGAGATCGATGACGCATTCGGGTGAAGGCGGCGATGTTCGCGTCCGGCTGTGTCAATGATGTTCATCTATTACGGAGTAAATGAACCAAAACACCAAGAGTTAATGTTCTACTAAGTAGTACAAGGCAAAAGGGAATTCTTGTCTATTAAGGGAGAATCTACGGGGATAAAGAAGGATTCATGGAACAATTCACACGACTTTCATCCGTCGTGACCGCAAATCACAATTAGCAAGACGATGGAGCGGCGCAGGTCATATGGGTCGAATGCAAACCCCGCACGGCATTTCGACTTCTCCGTCAGGGAAGAGTCCCTCAGTGGGCGTAGGTACAGCTCTCCATGATACCCACTCACGACTTCTTGTAGCAAGTTGGTCGTATGCATCGTATGGCCACACGGAGAAACTTCACGTTTCGTGTGAATCACTCGATGCAGTTCGAACGACGATGCAAAAGCCAAAGCACCTCTTGTCGGAATGGCCATCGACAGCTATCAGCGGGAACGACTTGCTCTCCAGCTGCCTGTACTCGGCGGGCATCGTCGCGTCGAAGGCAGGGAAGCTGTCCCCGATTCCGACTTTTCTCGTCGTGTGTGTCATGTACCTTTTCCGGTTCATCTACATCGAAGTCGTGAGTGCGATCCCGCTGAATGGGGGGTCGTACAATACGATGCTCAACACGACGTCCAAGCGGGTTGCGGCGATGACGGCGGCCCTGGCTGTCATTGCGTACTTGGCGACGGGGGTCGTCGGAGCAGTGTCCGCTTCCGACTACCTCCGCGCCCAAGTGCCGTCCATCAACACCGTCGAAAGTGCCATCGGCATCTTGTTTGTGTTTGCGGTGTTGAACGTGCTGGGTCTCAGCGAGAGTGCCGTACGTCGCCCCTGGTGCGTCGTCCACAGCTCCGTCACGACCGTCCGTCACGTTGTAGGTGATAGCCCTCGCTATCTTTGTTTTGCACATTATGACGCTGTTGGTGCTGATTGTCGGGTCTGTCATGTTCACGTTCAAGAACCTCCAAGTACGTGTCTTTCCCTACATGCGCATTCCCTCAACTCGTCGACGTCATCGCCGTTGATGCGTGTTGAATATACAGATCTTGCATGAAAATCTACAAACGCCGCTGCCGGACCTCGACGTTTGCGGCACTCTCATCAAGAGCGACGTGTTCACAGCCATCTTTTTCGGTTTTAGCTCGGCCATGTTGGGTGTGACGGGGTTTGAGACTGCGGCCAACTTTGTCGAAGAGCAACAGCCTCGCATCTTTGGCTCGATCCTTCGGGTGCGTTTCGAGTATTCTGGACTTCCTGCCGCTTGAACGCTGCCATCGTGAATAGAACATGTGGTTTCTGTCATCGTTTTTCAACTTGTCGCTGTCGATCTTGAACCTGTGCGTATTGCCCCTGCTCGGGCCGTCTGGCACGATCGCCAACAACAATGTCGTGCTCGCCCTCATGGCGCGCGAAACCCTCGGGCGGCACTTTGAGCTCTGGATGACCATCGACGGATTCATCGTGCTGGCAGGGTCCGTCCTCACGTCGTACGTCGGGATCACGGGTCTCGTTCGCCGACTGGCTTGCGACCGCGTCATGCCCGAGTTCCTCCTCACGGAAAATTCATGTCGTCGCACAAACCACTACATCATTTGGCTCTACTTCGTCGTCGCATCCAGTCTCGTCGTGTGCTTGAACGGCGACATCGTCATGCTGTCCAGCGTATTCTCGTACGCCTTTCTTGGCCTCCTCCTACTCTTCTCGGGCGGCGCCATCTTGTTCAAGTTGAAGCGAAGCCACATGCCCCGCGATACGAGCGCTGCCTGGTACATCGCCGCCGACTTGTTTCGTTTGATGTGACCGCCGCGACGTAGGTGGAAGTGTATCGTGGCGTTCCTCATGGTGTTTTGCGGATTCCTCGGCACCCTGCTCGGGGACCCGATCGTGTCGGTGGTGTTTGCGCTCTACTTTCTCGTCGTGGGGTCGCTCATTTTCGTCATGCTGGAGCGCATCCTCCTCCTTCGCCTCTGCATGTTTATCATGAAAAGCTTGTGCCCGTCCAAGAAGGACAAGAAGATTGAATTGGATGCGACCAACTTGTCGTCCGATAGCGATTTGGACGAGCCGCTCTTGCCTCGAACTGGCGCACTTGGTGGCCGGACGATTCGAAAGGTAACATGCAGTCGCGCCTTTTTCGTGGCTCACGGATGTCGTTGGATGCAGGCTATTCAAGCCATCAACGCGCCGCCCGTCGTATTTTTCCTCAAGCACATGTCGCTGTCCCTGCTCAACAAGGCCGTGCGGTACATTCGCGCCAACGAACACACGGAAAACATCAAGATCGTCCATGTGCATGCCCCGGGCACCCCCGACCCGTTGGGATTTCCCGATCTGGTCGGTGTCTTCGACAACATGTACCCTGAGACCAAGGAATGCTGGAAAATATTGGCATTCTTGACGACATGACTAACAACGTCGCACTGTAGATCGACTACGTTTCGATTGAAGGCACGTTTGAACCCGCGCTCGTGCAATGGCTGGCGTCGTACTGGAACATCTCGACCAACATGATGTTCATTCGGCAACCAGATAACATTGACGCCCACAAGGTGTCGCTCTTGGGCGTCCGCGTTATTGCAAGCTAGAAAGCAATCTACCCTTCCTAACCTGACATCCAATGCCACGTTCGGTTTCCACTTGAGCATCCCGCGCTGCCCCTTTGCATGGCCCATGGACGGCAGCAGGCTGTGCCTTTGCCTCCAGCAGGACACACACGGCAAAGGACACCGTCGCCCACTTCTTCGCCCTCCCATCGTTCGGGCAAACGTCGTGCCCAAATTGATGCGGGACAGTTTGAATCCAGTGATTTGATTGGTTCTTTCGATTTTCATGTGATGTGATTGGTCCGTTCCCATCCAGTGCATCTGTGTCGTGCACTTCAACGATGCGAAGGGAGATGGCGGACGAGAGCGCGGCGTTCTTGGACCTGGGTGACCTTATGCCCGCCCTGCCTCCTCGCGTGGAAGACGAGCTGAGTGACGTCATCGAAGGCATCCCATGCGAAGTCACGGACCCATTGGAATTAGCCGCGATTATTCGCAACTTGGGCGAGGTACCGTCGAACCTTGTCCGGGTCGCCGCGATGTACACGACCCGCCAAAACGAAGTCGAACCTGCCGTGCTTGTGCTGTACCCACTACGAGATTGCATGAATGACTACAAGAAAAACCAACGCGCGGCTGCTGAGCCATTCCCCACAATGTATTGGCTCGCGAGCCAAGAACTACACGAGCGCGTGTCTCTCTTGGAAGGCGCAGGGCGTGTTGCTGCGTTCACCGATCGGCTCGTTGCATCCTCCGACTATCTCCATGTACAACAACCTCAACGTCCCTTTCTCAAGTATTTTCATCCGTCTCGTCGAACGTAGGCCATGACAAACATGCACGCTGAGTACGCAGCGGACCGGTGGGCCCTCCTCACCCCGGCCGATCGCAGCCTCGTCGAGAAAAAGCGCTGGGTCCGAGCTCTTCGCGACGTCGGCATTGCTGGCATTCGCAACCCAGCCTCGGTCAAGTGCCTCCATACGCATTATGCGCATTACTTGGCAACCCACAACAACCTCATCGGACAATGGGTGCATGAAGAATTGGAAGCGGCGGCAATTGGCATGTCGCGCCCGACCGGCGAGCCACGTGCGAACGCCTCAGACGGTCACACCGGCGACGTTTAGAGCCGAGAGATCGAGAAAGAAAAGTTCGTGTCGAGGCAGAGTCCACCGACTCGACAGGAATCATTTAAGTATATACACGACCATGGACGCTGTCTCGACCGTGGACGTCGACCCCGCGGAAGCTTTCACGACGATTTGGCTTCAACGTCGATGGTGTAGTCGTAGTCGATGGTGGGGATCACAGATTGCAAGAACTTGAGAAAGATAAACATGTACTGGTCGCTGCGAACTTCTTTGCCGCCGGCCATCAAGTTGGCCACGATGCGCTTCATGACAGCGCCATGCTGGCACGGATGAATGGATGCATGTGGGATGCCGGTCAAATGGGGGTGCGGGTCGATCGTGACCGTCTTGTTCGCGTAGTCCTTTGCAAATTCCGTCAGACAGTCCGGAGAAGTCAACTGAGGCACAGTACCTGCATGATGTCTTGCAGCATGTCGTCTGGCTTGAGCGGCGCACCGCTCTCCTCGTACCCAAACAACCACACGCGGGGGGTGCGATAGTACTTGTCGTAACTGATCGAGACGTCGTACGTCCGTGTGTACACGAGGTTGCCATCAGCATCGAGTTCGGTCGGTTCCGGCTCGGACGTTGCAATGTACGTGAGGGTGGCTTCGTCCGTGTCGTCGACGAGGTTGTCGTCGTCGTCAAAAGCACTGAGGTCGGGTGGGGACGACGCATTGGCATGACCCGTGGGTGGTCCACGTGCCGCAGACACTTGAAAATGCTCGTCGACGAGGGCACTAAGTATGTTTGTTTGCGATGCCGACGTCGGCGACCCGCCGTCGAGCGAGATATGATGCATGCGTTCAGCCGTGTCTTCGACGTGCTTGTTCTGGTTGTGGGTCTCGAGCCAGTCGTTGTCGTCCTCGACCGTTGTTTCTCCAATGTAATCTTGTTCGAGTGACGTCACACGGCGGCGGCACGGGACCCCCGTCGTGCGAAGAAACTGTTTGTGTGGAGGCAAGTACGACCGACGACTGCTCACGTCACCGCCTTCCCATCGCCACGTCGGGCACTTGTAGCAAAGCTGGTCCCCCGCAGCGACAAACTCCTCGGGCGTCAATACACCATCCGTCACGAACCCCGACTCGGACAGCACCGGCGTCAAGTACTCGCGGACGTTCTGGAAGATGTTCATATCCAAGCGGCGCAAGAGAAAGAAACTGGGAACACCGGCTGGGTGTGACATAAAATATTAAAGGAAGTATATATTAATTATAGTAGGTTTTGGGCCAATCGTGTGAGTGATTGTCGTGCCGCGTGTGGAGGATGAAGATGGAGGAACGCAAGAAGGACGAAATTGCATTTAGACTACGGCTCATGCGGCCATGTCGTCGTCAAGCAAAACGATCGACGGGTCGTTGATGTTCTGGCTGAGCAAGCGGGCCAGGCGACCTTCAAGCTTGGGTTCGACCTTCACGTCCTTGCTGTCAGCCGATGGCGGCGCACCAGAGTCGACGACGGACGCCGCGGCGTTGATTTCCAGCACTCCCTCGACGATAGCATCAATGTGCGACTCGATCGATTTGGCCAACGAGTTCGTTTCGTCGCGCACGTCGTACCCGCCTTCCAGTACAGATATAACGCGGCCTTTGCAGAACTTGTCTGCAAGTTTCAGCACTTCCTTGGTTGCCCACGCATAATCCTATCCGTGTTCATGTATCATACGAACAATGCTTGTAAGTCCTCACGTCTTCCACGTAGCCCGCGGGAATGTCGTGGTTCGACACGGCGGCGCAGCCACCAAGGATGTCGTCTTTGTGCCCGTCAAATCCGGCAGAAATAAAGATGATGTCAGGTTGGAACAGTTCCATGGCAGGAAAGATGTCGTGGGTCAGTGCGTGGCGGAAAGCCCTACGCCACAAAACCCCATGAGCGTCGACATGGAAGGACGGATCCAACTCACTCGGAGCCAGAGCCACGACCAGAGTTTTGCAGACCGACGTTCACAATGTTGTCATCCGACGCGGACGGCCCCGTGCCCGGGAAGAAGTCTTTGTGGTACAGGTGAATCGACGCAAAAAAGGACCGCGGGTCGCCTCGAAGAAGCTCCTCCGTCCCGTTGCCGTGATGGATATCCCAGTCGAGCACAGCGATTCGGGTCACGCTCGGGTGCATGCGGGCGTGCAGAGCGCCAATCACAACGTTATTCAAAAGGCAAAAGCCCGACGACGGCGCGTTGGGTGTGCGGCCGTTGCGGCCAACATGGTGGCCTACGTCCCCATTGCCATGACTACACTGTTCGCAATGCGCTCTCCAATACGAATGCCCACCTGGTGGTCGCACCAAACACACGGCGTTCACAAATTCGCCAGCCAAGACCTTGTCCACTGCGAGGCAGACCGTACCGGCAGCAATGCGGGCCACGTCCCACGACGCCGTGCTCACGAATGTGTCCATGGCGGAGTCTCTCTTGATCGACGCGGCGACCTTGAAAGCGCCACCGATGGCTGCAAACGGACGGATCGTGTCTGGGGCAACGGACTCGATGCCATCGTTGTCGTCACCAGGGTCCGTTTCAAACACGACTGCTCCGCTCGTCACGTCCTTGGATCGTTGTTTCAATCGATCCAAGTAATTCGGCGAGTGCACTAGCAGCAAAGTCGTTTCGGGCGGCGACAAGTCGTCCGCCGTGCCGGTCAGCGCCTCCACCGACAACGCATCGGGGTACTTGACTAGCAACGGTTTGAGCACGGCAATCGCTCGCTAATCCCGTGGAAGTTAGCAGGGTTCTAGCGCAGTCGAGGATGACAGCCAACCCACCGTCAATCGTTCAGGACACTCTGGGTGCTCCGGCGGCGTTTCATGGTGAATGCACAGGGGGTGATACAACACAAGCGTGTGGGGCTTGGTCACTCGTGCTTTCGAGTCTCCGCGAGGGCTGTCATAGACTAGATGCACATCCACGAAGGATTTCGTGAGGGGTAGCGCAGATGTGGACAAACCGGTACCTCGGTGAGCCAGCGTGGTTTCGAATACGACCTTGAGCTCGTCCACCGCAACGGTTGGTTCCGACTTGACCTTGGCAAGGGGGGACCTTGGGGTGGTGGTCAAGTATGGCATCGTGTCGACAAGGTCAGGCCACTCGAACGCTTCCCACGACGCAATGGCAGCACGAATGGACGATTGCATGTCATCGGCGTCGGCGTCCTCCGCGGCAGCCTTGGTCATGGAGCGCAGCAACAGGTACAACACTTCTAGCGAGGCAACCTTTTCCTTCCACAGCACGTGCAGCTCATGGGTGAAAAACGCAACGTAACTCGCTTTCAACGACGGGAGGACGTCCTCCGCTCCCACGACTTGATACAACGCCGACGTGTAATAGTTGAACTCGGACGTAAATTGGTCTCGTCGTGCATCCAGCGTGTCCATGTACGTCTTCAAGTGCAACATGCACGTGGCCAAGGCGGTCGTGACTGCCGGAATGACGACGCCGTCGACGGTTGCGAGCAACGCAATGTCCCGCTCTGCGTTCTGCTGAACGACATGGTTAGCTTTCGAATTGTGTTCATACGCAGCCTTCGTCTTGGGATACCCCTCCATGAACACGTTGAACTTGGCTTTCAGCGCCGCCAACTTTTCCGCCTTCTTACCCTTCACCTCGACTTCTTCCCGGTTGCGCGCACGGAGAGTCATTTCATGCACAAACGTGATGCACAGGTAGGGGACAATGTCGTCAGCGGATGACGGACTAATGTCAACGCCATGCGTGAGCGCGTCCACTTCTTCGATCTCGTGGGCGTCAACTTGCTCCTTTGTCCATCGCAGCGGGGTCACTCCATCGTCAAGAACCACACGCTCCAGCGTCAGCAACGGATACAGTTCAAAGCAGCCGTCCTGCAACTCGATCGCCAAGCAGCACTCGTCCTTTGATTTCTTGGCCAGCGAGCAGTCCTTCCTGTCCGAGATCGCACATTCGCCGGCATCGTTCACCATCACAGCGTCGGTGTCAAGTGTTGTGTGAGCCACAAATTCGCCAGGGGTCCGCTCGAAAAAGGTGGACGTAGCCATGAGGTCAAGCCCTTCAGACTTGATCTTTGGAGTCGACGTGGTAGCTTCTTGGTTGATGGGCAACTCAGGGGTCGCAACTTGATCGATTTCCACGACGCGTTTGACGTATCTGCAGTTGGGAAAGTATGCAATGTCGGACGGCGGAACACTGCTCGGCATGAAAGATTTGATGGCGGTGGCCATGAACTCGTCCAACTCGTCCAACATGGCGTCCTCGCTCACCTTGGCCTTGAGGTAGTCCTCACGTGCCGTCAACACAACTGCCAGCGCTTTGGTAAGTTCAATTGTATCGTCCATTGCGCACTTGGAGAATTCGTTGATCGCTTCACAATACGAAATATATGCCCGCGCGGCCACTAGCTCGAGGAAGCACCCAGCTGGGGGCGGGTTCAGAAACATGCCATTTGGCGACTTTTCTTGGTAAAACTTGGATTCCTAATTTGAACGCATGCATCAATCAGCCTTCCTTACATTGCATTCCCAATCGTTCAAACCAACACGAAGGCCTACCTGGATGATGCTGTCGACGCACGCAAACACTGCCAAGCACGAATTGCGTATCTACATCTCGACGAGCGTCAGAACATTTGTCATGGCTCTCGGTGCGAACATTTTTATCACGCCGGGTAAAGTCCTCCTTAATAATCGGCCCCTTCTCAATGGCGTCCATATCGAGTGACGGCCAATGCACGCGTCGCGATGCTTCGATGAGCCTGACCGATTGTCCGACAACGCGCATCCACGCCTACAGATACAACATACCCATGAAAAATCGACAGCAATCCATGTCAAAGCAACGAAACCCACCGTCAGCTTGTCGATGTTTTTGTTGTACCGATTTTCAGGTACGACGAGGATTTTGCCGTGGGTGACGTCGGCGACGGCGGCGGCCTTAGTCCATTCGTCGCGGCGCTCGGGAAAATTCAATGGCGTGCCGCGGCAGTAATGACGGACCGCTTCCCGATCGTACGCGAGAGCGGCTTGTTCAGGGGTGTCAAAGCGTCCGATAAACACGACTTTGTCCAGGATTTTTAAGTGCGCGACCGAGAAATTCGCGTGCACGTGGACGCCCAAGTACGAGGTCGGGATTTCCCCCGCACTCAATGCGGCATCGTCGAAGGACTTGCGAGCTTTCTTCGCCATGTCGTTGTCGTCATTGTCGGTGACTTTGTTGCGCGATCTCTTTGATGACAGTTTGTCTATCGCGTTGAAACTGTTCTTGCGCAGTGCCTTGCGCAGACGAAGCGGCCGTCCTGCCCCCGACGATTCGTCATTGTCCGAGTCGCTTGGCGGGGCAATGTACGTGGCCAAAATAATGTCCTTGTACTTTTGAATCTTGCCAGGGTAGTTCAGCTTGAGCTGCGTCACGTCGTCGGCGCCATGGGATCTCAGGATCGCGCAGTCGTATGCTTCAGCCGCAAGCTCTTCAGATCGGTAGAGCCCTAGTCGAATCGGACGTCCCGAACTCGACTCGACTTGCGCGACGAATGGTTTGTAGTATACTTTATTCTTGTTTTTCACATACCATCGCCGAAACACGCCGAGCGACGATGTCGACTCGAGAACAAAGTTGTCGGTATCATCTTTTCCCTCCTTGGCTGTTCGGATCTCGTACTTGTCTGTTCCACTGCATGCAGGACAGAAAAAGTCACCGACTGGGACCTCCGCCAACGGTGGCACCAAGCAGTAAGTGTGGTATTCCGCATCACACTCATGGCCGTCACATAGCAAAATACTTCCTGCATTGTTGTCCAGGCCGCATCCCATGCATCCAGATGTCCCTGCTACTTTCTCCGCTGATGGCGCCTCGCCCGCCGCATCGACCTGACCCAGTTGACATTGGAGAGGTCCAATCAGGTATAACATATTGACCAATCCCAATTCACATCGACAACATTTTCAACCAATGCAAAGCACCCAAACTAAGCCAATCACAAATCACGGCACGCCAAACACCGCAGCAAACTTGTCAAGTCGTCAAAGAAAACGAGCACGTACGTTCATATCGCGAGTGGCTGTTGAATCTGCAGCACATAAGGATCAGACGACGACAGGTTCGAGGGAGGACGACGTACCGGCCATGACCAAGTGCTCGCCTCGTGTTCCAAGTGTTCACGTGCACGGTTTGGCAACTCGCTGCAACTCGCAGGTTTGAAAAATGGCCCAGATATCAAGGTATTCGGAATTCCGGATAATTCGCTTCATATGAACTTTTGTATGGTGGCCAATCAACGGGGGCATCAACAAGTCCCACCACTTCGTTCCGATAAGCTTGCATTCGTCCCATCAATGGTGCGCCACCACCTCGCCACGACACTAGTCAGCGAGAGCTCAAGCGTATACTAAATGCTACCTGGATACACCTGGCCATGACGATTTGGACGAGAAACCTCTCGATTTTAAATTCTCTAACATTCGATGAAATGGGAATTGTCCACCCGCCATTCGACGAGGAACAGCACCTAACAGCTCGATGACTAGTTGCCTGCACTTGCTGCCTGCACTTGCTCCCTGCCTATCGTTACCCCCGCCATGGAGTGCGAATTGGGTGTGGCTTCGCTACAGTGCTGGCATCAACTCCAACTGCATGAAATGAGGGTATCCGGATAATGGCAGCGGATGTCCACTCCTGCCGAGAATTTGGACGCTATTTTTATGAAAGCTTGACCATTGAGCTTGGAATTTGTATGGCATTTTGTTTCGAAGTATAAATGCATGCATTTTGTACTGGACAACCTCGACATATCCTTCCAGTGTCTCCATGTCGTCCGTCGAACCGAATGCCGCTGCTCTGGCGTCGTTGAGAGAGATCGTGGGACCGGAGGCTTCCGACGAGGTATTAAACGCGCTGCTGCTTCGAGTGGGTGACGATGTGACCCGCGCCGCGGAACACTACTTTGGTGATGAGCCCATGATTGATGCAGCAACCACCACGGTTGCTCCACTTTCCATCCCATCCGCGGCAGTACCTTCGTACGACCAATATGCAATTGAAGCGCTGAAGGAATTGCTCAATAACAGTGCCACGGATGAAGAGCTCCGTGATCTTCTCACGAGATCTCATGGAAACGTCAGCGAGGCTGTCGACTTGCATTTCCTTGACAAAGCAAGTCAATGTGCTGACGATTCGATACCCCTTGCCGCTCCGAGTGCGCCCCCGCCGCCTCCAGTGCCAACTTCAGTACCCACAGAAGTTCCACATAAGGTGATGCATACGAATGAGGAGTACGAAGTCGAACTCACTGACGGCGCGCTCAAGTGGACGATTGGCAACGTCCTCGGCCGCATCGTCGTCCAGGACGTTGTCGTTGGGGGTGCAGCGCACAAAGCAAATATCCAAAAAGCTGACGTTCTCATTGCGTGCTCGGGGCACGTGATCAAAGAGTCGAACGTTGCCCCGATCGTGACACGGTTGTCGAAGGAGGTAGTATGAGCCCATGAGTTGTCGACACTTCTTTGACGTCATTGCTTTCTTTGAAGGTTGTCAACGTCCCAGTGCTGCTTCGCTTTCGCCGTGCTGACCACACTCACAGCGGCCACCACGTGGCACCGGTGGAGGCTCCTCCCGTCGCGTCGACTGTCCAGTATGGGATCCACATCATGGCAAATGCCCTGAAAACCATGCGCCAAGCTGCCAGCGACGTGAACAAGTATCCGCCAGACCTTCTCTTGCAGCATTACGTGTGGAGCGAAGGCAACGTTGCGCTCGCGATGGACCAACTCCTGCATCCGATTCCGCTCTTTCCCAACTTTGACCGTGTCGTCGGCTATGAATGGTATGCCAACGACGGCAAAGTGAACCACGCCGACCCGTCCTGGCCTTTGTACGACGCAACGTTTCCAGCAGGGCCGATGGGGATCACGGTCGAAAACGTCCACGAGGTGGGTCTGCTTTGTGACGTGTTGAGACGATGCCTCACAATGTCCCCCGTGTAGCGCACAATCATCGTGAACGTAAAGGACGGCGCGTCTGGCTCCCGCGCCAACGTGACGGTGGATAGCTGGCTCGTCGCGATCAACGGCGAGTGCATCACCCACCTGACCCACCACGAAGCTCTAAATCGCATCCGCCACCTCCCACGCCCGCTGCTCTTGACGTACGACATTTGCTCGACGGAAATGTAGTTGTTGTCTACGTGTAAATGTTTGGTCTGCAGGTTTTGCGTGACACCGGCGCCGTGGCTGCCCGCGTTGAAGCAAATGATGGGCGTCAATGTTCGCATGGTGCAGCCGAACGATCGCCACGAATTGGTCATTTCGGACGACGACAGAACGAGCTTTGGCCGGTTTCAGCGCAAGTTGTTAGGGGTACGCAGCATGTCCTTGCCACGTGTGCGACATTGACGAGGGCGTTGCCGCCAGGCGCTACGGATCTTCCCGTCCGTCGCGTGCGAAATCCTCCATCTTGCGGGCCAGAATCCCGCATATGACGACGACGTTGAGTACATTCCGGATCTGGACGGCACAGAGACGAAGGACGGGGCCGCCGCACGGCGCGCGCTCATTTCGATGATTCACGGCATGGGGATGCATGCGGACAAAGGAGAGAGCGTTGTGCTGAATCTCGTGCGGGGGCTGACCGTGCTGGGCCTGTGGTGTGTGCGCCACCACTCGGACACCGCTGACCCGACACAAGACCATCTGTGGTGGATCTTGCACCTTGTGCTCGACGTATTTGAAAACGGTTCTGTCATGGAGAAGAGCTCGACATGGGGTACGTGGCGATACTTGGCACGAAAAGTAAATGGGTCGGATAGACGCGATCGTGGACAGCCTCAAAGTTCTCGGGGCGGCGTTGTCCCCGACCGCCTTTTTGCGGACGTTTCCGCCCCTCGTCGCCCGCCTCAGCTTGTACTCCAGCCCAAGCTCCCGGATTATTCCGCTAGCCCTGATGCCCCTCGTGTACTCCCGCGTGGATGGCGACCTCCGCGTCCAGTTTCGCGGGTTGTTTGACCGGCTGACCATGGACGACGCGCCACTCGTCCGTCGGGCGGCGGCGTACATCTTGCCGGCGCTGGCGCGTGCCGTTGGGCCCGAATCGATCTCGTGGGTCGTCCTTTTGATAGAGAAAATGTGCGCCGACCACTCGGACCTCGTGCGGCTCTATGCCGTGCAAGCGATCGCCGAGTTGGCAGACTCTGTAAATGCCGTCGACGACGCGGCGCGTCGCCTCGTACGGTGCGAGCTCGTGCCACGAGTGAATGCATTTGTCACCGACACGGACTGGCAAATTCGCCACCAAACGGTCACGTTGATTCCCCAGTTTATTAGTGTTTTGGGCATCGACTTTGCCGACGTCTTGATCGATCACTTTGTCGAGCTATCGAGCGACGCCAACATGGAGGTGCGCATTGCCGCGGCGAAGGCGTCGATTCCGATCAGCATGGCGCTTTCGGCCGACCTTGCTCCGCTTCAAAATGCGCTGGACGCGCTTGCGTTGACGGAAGGCGAGACCAAATCGTCACCAACCTCGATGCATGCAAAGGTGCCGCTGTCGATCTTGCCCGCGTTTGAGTCCATGTCGCGGGACACATGTGCTAGCGTCCGCCGCGCCGTGGCGGCGTCGCTGACCGATGCGATGTCAATGTTGGGGTCCAATCGAGGCGACGTGTTGGAGCCCATGATCAAGCAACTCCTGGCGGACAAAGACAGCGTCGTCGCGCAGAGCGTCGTGGAGCAGCTCATGGCAGCGTCGATGCATTTGTCTGGTGATTTGGAAGCGTTGGTGGTAACGAATGTGGAAAAGCTGTCCAAACTTCGGCCGTGGAGGTCCCGCCTCTTGGCCGTGGAGAGCATTCAAAAGTGGGCCAAGTCCCCTCCGCCATCGCTCGTCATGATTGCTCTCGGGTTGCTGCATGACGCAGTGTGCCAAGTGCGACTCGGGGCAGTCAACGCCCTCGTGCACCTCACTGCATCGTGCGGACCGGCGTGGTTCCAGTCCACAGGCCTCGCGCCCGTCGTGAGTCTGTTGGACCAGTCGTATCAGCTCCAATTGACCGGCCTCCACGCGTGCTTGGCCCTCGCACGTCAACACTTGCTCGACGCGTCGGTTTTGGATCCACTGTTTGACCACGTCGTCATCGCTGCCACCACATCCAGAACGAGCAACATTCGCTTCAAAGCCGTGGAAGTGCTGGCCGCGTTTGGCGCGTCGGTGCCGCCTGCCAAGTGGAACGCAGTCCGGCCAACGTTGCTTGCGTCGTGCGGCCTCGAACGAGACGACGACGTGCGGGCAGTCCACCGCCTCTTGGCAGCGTTTGTGGGCCCACCAGACGCCACTGCGGCGGCGGCCACCGACAGCACTCGCCTCGAACGCTTGAGGAGTCCCCCGACGTCGACCGACTCAAGTACACTCGAGAAAGTAGATTCCACCATGTAAACGACGAATGCTCTCCCTTGACGTGTGTGTCGGTTACGTGCCGTTTCAAGGGACCTCTCCATGCGTGCGGGGATGCCGCCGCGGCTACAGCCCCTCGCGTCCGTGTCACATGCGCAGTTTCCGCTCCAAGAGGCGGAGGAGCTGACCGTGCTCAAAGCGATTGTGTCGAGGGAGTTGAGTCTGGACCAGTTGCTCCAGTTGGTCACGTCGTTTGACGCAGCGCCGGTCGATGTTCTGGCGTGTGTGCTGCGCGTGCGCGACACATCGCTCGCCGTCGTCGAGGCAATTGCGACGTGGCGCGGCTTCATGGTTCGCCCCGTCCCATTCTTATGGCACGACGTGAACTATCTCCATCGCATGGCAAGCGACGCCGATTTCCTCTCCAAGAGCACCGTGCTCCACCATGTGCTCGGGCTCAAGCTCAAGCGCCGCAACCCGTTCTGCACTGTGCCTGGCTTGGACGCGGGGTGGATGCAGGTACCCCGCGACGACCCTGCCGCGGGTCTGTCGGCCAAAACCGACACGAATGTGGGAGTGCGCATCCACGAAGCGTCCATGTACGTGCTCGAGGAAGAGCACCGCATGGGCGGGCCGTACAAGCCACCGTGCACCGACCCAAGGTGGGCGTACATGGTCCAGCGAGAAGCCGAGCACATCACACAGCTGCGATTTGGTAAAGCTCCCACGTCGACACCATCGTGACATTCTCTCGTGCAAAAGCATTTGCGTTGATGGAGTCGTGTTGCTTCGCAGCTATCACAGCAGCGCATAGTGCCCTGATGGCAATTGGTAAATCACGCCATCGACTTGAAGCTACATGCACGTTGTCCAAATGAGTGGCTGGGGCACGATCAAGAGGTTGTACCTCGTCGAGGATGCTTGATATGTCGGGAGCACCGTGCGCAGGTGCCAGTCGAAGCACGAGGTCGTCGAACGTCATGGAAGTCTCCTCCAACAGCGCTTGGACCGCAGTTCCTGGAAACGTCCACAATGGATGCGCAGCCCATGGTTTCCATTTCGGGTCTTACCTGGATCGGATGGGCATGCCGCGGCCCTCGACGACTCGGCCGCTGATCGGTCTTCGAACTCAAACACAGCAACTCCAAACGCGCGGACGTCGGCATCACTGGCTAGAGACTTGAAATGCTCCAGCGCTACATGCGAACGATAAAGAGTCGGGGATTGCCACCTTTGGACAGTACCGTGACTTGCATCGACGCCGTGTGGGAGCAATAACGCGAGGTGTTCGGCTTCAAGGGCAGTGGCCAGGGTCGCGTAGTTGCGAACAGCTTTGACGCGAAGAACATGAACACCGTTGAACAGAATGGTGTCGCCCTGAACGATGACAGAGTACGGCGGCTTGTTGACTCTATTCGGATCGCTCAGTGACTTGGTGAGTCGACACGTCGGCCACGCAGCACCTCAGTTCAAGCCGCCGAACGCCTGTGGCCAGCCGGGCCGCTTCAATGTCAGGGACAGTAAAGAAATACTCGTCTCCGCTGTTGTTTGGACTAGTGCGATGGTGCTTTTGACTCGTTCCACCATCGAAGAGGTATTCCAGGGCATGTGTGGCGAACTTGCGCTTGATACCCGCCACGACGGCGGATGGCACCGCGGGGAGTGGTCGGCCCAGCTCCGATGCCGTCACGGGGGGTTGTCCAGAGAAGTAACTTGCTTTGTAGCTGCATGTACACGTGAGATGGGCGGGGAGAAGTATTGGCATACAGGTGAATAACTTCGAGGAACCGAAGAGTCTCCATGTTGGGGTCTTGAACTGGGAGAATGCTAGTAAGTTGTAACCATGAATCCATGGGGAACATCGGATGATACGCACTGCGACGCTAGAACGTAAGTAGACCGCAAGGCCTGCCTCGACGGCTGCAGTTCGCCCAAGCAGTCCACCTGCATGGACTTCGTGTGAGTCGTTGCGACGCCAAGATCTTCTGACCAAATCGCCAGGACGAAAGCGCATCTGGGTTGAAAACTGCACTGCGATTACAGCAGTCCCATCATCTAAGGCAAGACGTCAGTCCGTCTGCCATTAAGTCGTCGAAGAGTTGTGCACCGAGCTCCAAGGCACTTGTCCCACAAGCGCGGACTGTGCCCATGATGCGCACACGTGTGAAAAACTGGATCGGGTTCCCAATGCAGTATTGCTTCCTTCCATCGTCCCAGCGGCATCGGTTTGGCGCGAACACATCCCGAAGAAGTAGCTTCAAGTAATGGGACATCCCGACGCCGTCGGCTTTCCCGCGCTGTGCCGCTTGGCTTTGTCTTGCACGAATTGCGCACGGTCTTCCGCTATTGGGCAGAAAAATACTCTTAAATTAACTACTTTATGTGATTCGACGGGTTTATCCGGATGTCGAAAGGGCACTATTTCCGGAAGCGCGAATTCTCGACCTTCATGGCGAGCGACATCTTCGAAATAACTAGGACAACTGGACGGACAACATCATGGACCCTATGGCGATGCTCGAGATGGGACGACGGTCGGGCACGTCGAACCAAGACGTGGACGAATTTGTGCGCAAAGCCGATGCAGTACGCTGTCCAACTGGGGCCATCCGTTCCTGACGATAACGGTGGGTATAGGTGGCAAAGGCGATCGAGCAAATTAAGAAGGGGACATTCGACCCCAACAACTGCGACGTACATCACTTCCTTGTCGCTCAAGGACCGTACGACTCATCGTCGCATGTAGATTCCAGGGTACATGACTCCTGAACAAGAGGAAAAGGAAGCGCAGGCGCGGAAGAAGCGAGAGGAAGAGCGCATCAAGCGTGAGGTTAGTTTCTGCATTAGAAAGTTCAACATGACACAATGCTACATGTTTTTAGGAAGCTCGTAAGCAACAAGAAAAGCAAGACGAACACGATCAGTGGTGGAATCGAGCCAAGTTGCGGTTTGCAACCTACGACGACGACGAGGGAACCGAGACAATCGGAGATCCTGAAAAGTGGGCGAATCGAATTGTTGAAGCGTACAAGGCACGCGATGGTGTGTATGGGAATTAGCGGAGCAGGAAGCATCCAGATCATCTGCAACATGTCGACTCACCCGTGCCCCTGTCATGCAGCGAACGACTACTCGATGTGGGACAAGTGGGAGCCAAAAGATCCCGTAACGCTGGAAGAGAAGGCGCGGCAAGATGCGCTTGTGGAAAAGATGAAAAATGATGAATTTGAAAAGGCCAACCCCGCCTTTTGCACGCAGTTCAAGGAAGACTTGGAGAAACGCCAGAAGTCGACGCGGGACAAGGAGCGCGTTGCTCAAAGTTTGTCGCTGCTGCATGCTGTCCAATCGAGTTCGTGACGTTGTTTTGTGTAGAGCACAAGGCCCAAGGCAATGCGTCTTTCAAGCGGCGCCAATACGCTGCAGCGCTCACATCGTACATGGCTGCGTTGGTTGAATCTCCGTACTGTCCACTCATCCTGACTAACATCGCTCAAGTCCACCTTCGCCTCCACGCGACGGACGACGCGCTCGAGTTTTGCAATCGCGCACTGTTCGTCGCACCGACCCACATCAAAGCGCTATCACGCAAAGCTGCGATTTTGCACGTCCGGGGCAACCTTCAAGAAGCGTACGATCTCGTCCGAAAAGCAGTTGACTTGGACCCGACATCCAACCCCGACTTGATGCAGCAGCTCGTCCAGATCAAGGCGTCGCACGACGACGACGTTGGTCGCGCGGCGCTGCAGCGTCAAATGGATGGTCCCAAATCTCTCGACAACTGGCACCTCCATGCCATGCAACACTTGCTTGGCCAGCTCAACCTGATTGAGTGCACCTCTGAAGCCAAGGTGGCACCGCGTCAGGATACAACGAACAACGAGGCATGTGCTGAGCCTGCCGCTGACCACACACAAAAGAAGAGCGTGTCATGTCTAGCCACGGACACGTTACGCGCATTGCTTCCACTTCTGCAAGCGGACAAAGACTGCAAGCTCCTCTTCCGCACGTCGGGAGCACTCACTCGCCTCTGCGACCGCCTCCTCGTACCTGAAACGATCGACGACACCGAGGTGAACGCCATTCTGGAGTGCCTTGTTGCAATGGTGCACGACGATGCCGCCACTCAACACCACCTATTCCTCCTCGTTCCATTCCGTCAATGGGTTGTCCGAACGGTGGCCGACACTGTGGACAACGCATGGAGCAGGTCCACTATGTCTTTGGTCCTTCAACTCGTCGACGAGTGCATGGCCGTGAATCTGTGGAAGTCGCTCGTCGCGACGTCCACACCGATGCTCGCAGGGCTACTTGGCCTGTGGCAGCCGCATGCTTCTCCAGTCACACAATATGCGACAAGCATCATCTTCCACGTGTCGGAAACCGAAGCGGGACGGCTCACCCTGACAACGGCGCTGATCCAGCCCGTGCTCAAGCAAGTCTTGGCCTTGTTACATACACAACTTGCAACAGAACAGTTGACTGCGGGACTGGGGGTCGTGCTCAACTTGACCAACCATTGCGTGTTCCGGCAGATTGTCGCCTCGGAGGCGGACGTCCCTCATGAGGTACCGATCGCTCGTGGTCTGGACCTGTTCATTCTTTTGGGTGGTTGTAGATGACCAAGGCGCTCGTGCATCTATTGACGTTGCCCGACGCCATCATCGCGGAACGGACCTTGGCGATTCTGCTGAATTTGTCGCTGGACCCCCAAACATGCATTCGACAGGACATGCTAGCCGCTCACGTCCACGAACGTGTCCTTGTGTGGCTGGAGCGAGATACACGTACGTGCTCTCGGACACGCACAGCTTTCTCTGTATACTGCACCCTGGTGTTCATCATGTGCGCATCAACATAGGCGAGAAATCGGGCAACGTGGTCCTTTTGTCTCGGCTCGTGAGTGTCCTCTGTCGCCTGCACACGCTCGAGAATGAAGCGCGCCGAGTCGCGGGCACGACACCGTTTCTTCTTGCACTGTGGCGTGTGTTTGAATCGACTTTGGATCATCCATGCGATTGCTGGCAGCTCCGCGCCCAGCTGCTCTGTCACATGGCTTGGAGTTTCCCCGCGACTGCGCAGTTCATGGACGAACACGCATGTGTGCGCCGCATGCTGCAGTTCATGCAAGGCAAGCGCGCAAGTGTTCCAAAAGACCAAATCGCCGCATTCGAGCGCACCGTAACCAACTGCACCAAGTGCTGGATCGCAATGTTGGCGGTCGACGGTGGCCGCAGTACCGTGGCTGCCATCATCGAGTCGAACGGGTTGGAACTCCTCGTCGACTGGATGAGTCACATGAAGGACGAAAAGATCGCTCGAAAGAACGTCGCGATCCTCCTCGCCAAGTTGTGTCAACGCAGCGACGCCATCAAGGAACGTGTGCGTGCACTTCGAGGGATCGAAATGATGCTCTCGATCTGCCGCAACCTCAAGGGGTAGTGCACACCAACCGTCCCCAATGCAACCGAGTCAATGCTTACATCCATCCTCCTGCCCTCCATCTGCCGTCGCGCCGTCACTGGCGATTCTTCAGCGTTTCTATGCGGGGGGATTCTCGTATCCGGATGGCAACACTTCTTTGTTTCGATTTGCTCGGGCGGAACATGTTTTATCGAAGTAATCGGTCGTTTGTTTCAAGTTGGAATAAAATACATCCGCAGAGGATTTACGTCAAAATATGACATACAATATCTAATATGCGGAATTTTGGAGTTGCGGTGTACCCTCCGACACGTTCGTGAAACCTCCGAAACTCAATTGCATTTTAATGAAAACCTTTGAATCAATATAAAAACAAGTGGAGGCGGTTGAGTTTGCATTTAGCCTTCCTAACGGCGAGACGAGATGGTGTTGTTCGAGTACTTGACCAAGATCCCCCCTGCTCAAGCCATCGGCGTGTCCATCGTTGGCGCGCTCGGCCTGACTACTCTCACGTGGGGCACCTTCCGCTACACGGGTATGTGATGGATTCAGTTTGTCGACGCATGGACGACTGACGACGACGAGTGTAGGTGAAGACTTTGGCGGTGCCTTGCCCGGGGAGCCCAGGACGACGTCTGCAGAATGGCAAGCTGCCACCCGCGACTACATCATTGCGCAAAAGATGAACCCCATCAGCTCGTACCGTAAATAAATGAACCTGTATGGCCAAGAAACCGTGCGCAAGGACGACATGCCGACACCTCGTCTAGATGTCGCCGTCCTCGTGTAATAGACTGGTTCGACTCATTGCGTCATGCAATGTCTTTTTAGTTTAGAAACTCCTTGTCTTCAAGTTGCACGAGAGTCGAGTCCTGTCCAGGTCGATGCTTATGCCTTCAGCAGAAAGACTGTTAGCTACACCATCCCGCGTTGCGGGGTGCTACCATACCTTTGCCGCCAGGTCCTTCTCCGCCTGCTCTTTGTTCCATGCGTCGATTGCATCTTGAACTCGCTTGGCCTCGACCAAAGCTTCCTCCCGAACTAACTCGCCATCGTCTTCGTCGAGATGGCCATAGTAGTCAGGCTCAATGCCTTGGTAAATGTCCTTCCTGTGCGCCACCATGTACACAAATGACCACACTACGATGAGCACGTACCGAGATCGTTTCGGTTTCGGGGCATCTCGCTTTTCAAACAGCTCGCGCACGCCGGGGAGGTTCTTCGCTGCCCCAAAATACTTGTACCCGCCACGCTTCAACGACGTGCCGTCAGCGTCATATCCGTCATTTCCTGACCCCGTCGAGTATTTCACGCCACCAAGTTCGACAATGCGCTTCTCCCATCGAATCTTCTCCCCAATGCGTTTGTTAATCTGGTCGTTCAAGTCGCGAAGAACGTGTTCACCCAGCGAAGCTAACAAGGTCGTCCGTCCATTGGACGTCATAACGCATGGAGAGTTGAGCGATACGTACCATTCTGGATCTCCGACACCTTGCGCGAGATAATGCGGACCACTTGATGGCGATATCGCTCGGCCTCGGCCAAGTTTGTGCACTCAGACGTCTGGAACGGTCGTCTCCTAGACACGAAGAGTGCTATGAGCAGTGGTGGTCACCAAAACTCATGGGCGCATGTACCCCAGAAAGGACTTGGATAAATCTGCCTTCATCGAAGTCCATCGATTCATCATTGAGTTCGCCTTCTCTTCATTACGTGCCATGGTCGCCGCGGGTGGTGCTGATGGGCGCCGAAGATTTCGTGCGGAATTGGATTGAAGGAGGGTCCTAATTAGGATGACTAATTGTCTATATAGGGTGATTTCCCTGTTTTATTTTATATGTATCCAATACATTTTGCATATAAACATTTTGCTTTATCATTAAAATCTATTGGCGAGGACAAGTTGAGCCATTTTACAATTGAGCGCCAAGAACGCAGAGCCCAGCGATCGCCACCGATGCGGCTCTCGCCATCGACGAGAATCCCGACAGGAACATGATGACAACTCTTATAGCTACCTGATGGAGATCTCTCCATGGAGGAGCAAGTTCTACATGAGATTGCTGATTTCCTGCTGCGATTGCATCTTCAACGTCACACAACTTCATTTGATGCAAAGAAAAAGAGTAGATTAGGTTGTCCTGGTACATGAAGCTCGTCCAGATAAACGATGCTGGCGCGTGAAAGGAGGGAAGGCAGCAGCGGGACAGTTGAGTTGCGTCCTCTACGACGCAATCTGTTCGACCAGTTTCTGAAACACCGGGTTGAATGCGGCTTGCTCGCCCTTGACACACACCTTGGCCGTGTTCGATCCATCGAACGTGACTTCCAAGAACGCCGACACGTTCGTCATGGTCTTGAATGAAAAGTACCCAATCTCTTTGCCGTCCACGGCGCGCTTGGCGACGTAAAACACATTGCGGCTCTTCAGCACGTTCGCTAGAGCGTCGACTGACGCATTCGTTGGCTTCAGCGGGAGCGCAAAGTATGTTTCGTTCGCCTCGGCAATGCCCTTCCACAAATTGATAAAGTCCGCCTTGTCGACAAGACCCGCTTCCGTGAAGAGCACACTCACGTCGAGCTCTGTGGAAAAGTACACAATGTCGCCCGACCCCAAGTTCTTGAGCGCGGCTTGGACCACAGTGTTGGGTGCGACGGACGCATTGACGAATTGGGGGCTCACCGTCATGGGGATGCTGACACTGGTGCGCTGGCCGGGCGCGAGGGGCGCGGCGAAGTTGACTTGAGGCTGCGTCGGTACCACGCCGAACGTGCTCTTGTTGAGCTGGATGGCAACCCCCGGGACGACCACGTTCGACTGGTTCTCGACGTCGAGCTCGAGGGCAAATGTCGGCTGCTTGCGGACGTACGCGCCTTGGATGACTAAACCCTTGCCGGTTTGGGCATTCGTAAACGGCGTGAGCTTCTTCACGGGAGTTGCCGCCGCAGCGACGGGGCCGCCACCACCAAAGATGTCAAATCCAACAGAGGGCGCGGCGGGGGGAGCGGTCGCAGGTGCGCCACCGCCGACGGACAACCCTCCCATGTCAAGGAGATCGACGCCGCCGGACGCCCCACCATCCGACGTTTCCGCGGCAGTTTCGTACCGTTCGTCGCCTTCTGTGTCGCGCTCTTCTTCGTTTTGCTTTTGAATCTCGGCAATGTTGGATCGAACGACAAATGCTGACGGGAGCTTGTGGTAAACACTCGCCAGCGTCGAAATCTTGCCGATGAGGTCGTCGAGGAGCGCCGGCTCGAGTGTAAACGTGTCGTCGTTGATCACGGGCTTCTCCGCGAGGACGACAGCTTTGGCGGCTTCCGGGTTGGCGCTCAACAAACGCCAGTACACGTAGCCGCGGTCGCGAAGGTCCGGGTTGTCCGATTCTTCCGTTGCCTTCTTGAGGACGGCCTGGACCATCGCTTGGGTTTCGTTCGGGCGCTTCAAGAACAGCTTGACGGTCGCCGTGAGGAGCTGGAGCTGCACCAGGGCCGTCTCGTCTTCGAACGAGTCCAGGAACGACTGAAGCAGCTCGTCCGCGTTGTCGATGCGCTCGGCGTATTCGCCGATGATCCACACCATCGACGCCTTGGCTTCCGGCTCGTCGAGTGTGTCCAAGTTTTCGCAAAGCGTTGCAATTATGCTTTCGTACTGGTTCGGGTATTTGCGGAAGATGTCCTTGATCACGATGATGGCTTCCTGGACAATGTAGTTGACTTTGGTCTGGATGAGGTCGAGGAGGACGTGGATGCACTTTTCCGCGGCGTTGTTGAGCTTGATTGCACACCGCCCGATGGCGCGGACGCTGCGTCGGACAAAATCCACATCCACTTCGGTCGCGTACTCCTTGAACTCGAGCAGGACCTGCTCGACGTTGCGCTCAGAGACTAGGCGAATGATGATTTCCAGCTTCTCCATCTACGCATGCCACAACACGCCCCGTGCCGTGAGTCGAATTCGACGACGACGGGCTCACAGATGACCAACCTTGACGTAAATCGGGTCGTTGTACTTGCAGAAAAACACTTTGATTTCACTCGAGAGGATGTTGGGCCGCTTTTGCACAATCAAGTTGATGTTGCGCAGGGCAACGTATTGGATCTCGGGCTCTGTGGACAGGAGCGTCACGAGCGGCGGCGCCATCTTTCGCGACAGCGTGCGTTCCGTGTCGGCATTTGTCACCTTTTCCAAGAACCTGACCATGCGTGCGATGTGAGTCAACTGCCATCGGACATTTCATCGTACTTCATGATGACTTTGACCGCGGACAGCACGACCGCCGAGTTGGCATGCTGGAGGCGCGGCGTCACACGTTCGATGATGCCTTCCGCCTCGCGCGAGTCTGCGGGAACGTAGTTGGCCAGCGCATCCAGGACAAACACTTGACCCCATTCGTTGCACTCGTTCAGCGCCGCCAAAAGTTTCTGCAGCACCGACTTGGTGATTTTAAAATGCTGTTGGCCGCCATTGTCGGCGATTTCAGACAAGGCGGCGACGGCATTTGCGACGACTGTGGGGTTCGAATCTGAAATGAGTTCGCGAAGCATGTCCAGGAATCCTTGTTCGTCCACCAGTTCAGGGTTAATGTCGTATAGTTTGGCGACGCAGATCGCGGCCGTCTTGCGAACGTACGGGTCCTACACGGCGACGGGTAAAATCGGACGGCGGGCACAAGATGAACGGCCGTACTTCGTCAGTTAAGCATTTGCGCAAAGGTTCGCACAAATATTCAGTGATGCGGTCCACACGGATGCAGCCCATGGTGCGGACGGACAGGGCGCGGATCAATGGGTTCGGGTCGTTGGCGTCCTGTCCACAAGAGTGAGACCGTCGGATAGACACGCGGTCGGACGCACCTTGACGAACGTGTTCACAGCGAGAATGGTCAAGTCCGGGTTGCTCTTGGCGTAGTTGATCAGGTACAAGTACACGAGTTTCTTGAGCTGTGTGTCGGCCGTTTGAATGCAATTCACAACGTCCGTGAACAACATGGACACGTCCTTGCCGACTGTCATGTTCGCAATGACCTTCTTCACAGCGTCCTTCTTTTTGTCGCGGCTTTGGTCGGCGAGTTCCGTGCGTAGTTCGTGCGTCTCCCCTAAAACAATATCGATGAGCGGTGCACGCCACGCGTCATCCCACCTTTCTTGCTCGACGTGAAAAACTTGGAATCGTTGCCTTCGCCACGCATCTTCTTGGCCAATTCCGCCATGCCCGCAGGCATGTTCGTGTTGGCGATGTTCTTCATCGTAGCAGCGAACGACATGGTACGTTAGGCTTGACCGGCGGCGTCCGTCCTTCCCTTGGCTTTTGCTCCTATTAGCTTGTGGAACTCTCGTGCGCTTGAAACACATGGTATACAAATTCCAAGTCTAATTCGTCGCCCCCTTCGTAACTGACGTGATTTCATTGGTCAAAATTACATCTTTCTCGTCGCCTGATTGGATACGTCGGTCGAGATCTTTCATGCGTTTCCACGGCTTTGACAGGGAAAGATTTCTTCGCATTCGAATTTTTCTTACAGCGGTCCCGACGCCATCTATGTCTTGCCGGTGCCACCGACGACGAGCGCGACAGTGGGCGCCGCAAACGCGTCTTCGAGGGATTGGCATACTCCCGTCAAACTTGACAACGTCTGTTGTCGATACACGAACCGAGACGCCAAGTCGGCGAGCGCGTTGTTGTGAAATAGACCATCCGATGAACTCCATGCTCCGCACTCCTACGCGGAGAACATGTCGATTCACGTGAGGGTTCGATGGGGATTTCGTCGCCTAGTCTTGCCAAGGTGGTGCATCCTACCTTGCACGCATGACCGACGCCAGATCCCCGTGTGCTGTACAAGCACGACTCGCAGTACGTGTGTCCACATCCAGTGAGCGTCACCGGTCGAACAAAGATCGACATGCACTTCAAACAAGTGAACGCAGTCTTGCGACAACGCACGCATGTTAACGAACGCATGCGGGGATCTAGCATGCAACATACATACCTCGGACGAAGTCTCAGCTTCCACGAGCTTGTTCACAGTGTCGGTCAAGTCGAGTTGGGCTTGCTTGAGCATGATAATCACCGACGGATCCATTGCGACTTCCTCTAGCGCGGCACAGCGCTGGAGCAACGTGTCGTGGGCAATACGGAGTGTCGTGTGGGATGTCGTGAGGGTCGTCAGTTCAGCCTTCATCTGGTCCATCATCAGAAGCAGCTCGTTCTTCTTGTTTAGCATGCTCGCCAGCTGCGTCTGGAGCGCCACGACGTCGCCCGATGGCGCGCCCTTGGCGAGTTGCGCAGTCAGTTTCGCCACCTCCTCCTTTGCCTTGACGACCTCTGCCTTGAGTCGTTCCTTTTCGTCGAGCACAATCGCAAGTGCTTCATTCTGTCCTTGGCGCCCCTGTTGCAACGTTCGCAATACCGGCTTTCCATCGCAATTGGAGCGTACCTGTTGGAGCGCTTGGACAGTCGGATTCTGGGACGTGCACGCCGCCCACACGTCCGACACCATGATGAGCTTTTCCCGCATGGTGGCGTTCTCTCCATCGAGTGCGGCAATTTCGCGCATGAGCCGTTCGACGTCGCGCTCGTGCTGTGCAGCGAGAGCCTTGGTCTGGTCCAGGGCCAGCTGCTTGTCGTCGATAACTTTGACTTGAAAGTCGAGCTGCTTGCGCACACTGGATGCTGCCTGCACACCCACCCCAGTCATCCAGGGCAGAACGACGATCCTCCACATGGCGTTCGAGTCAAGCATACCTCATCCAACGCGATGCACTTGTCGGTGAGATCCACGACCTGCGACTCGAGATCCGCCTTGTGCTTTTCGTCCTGCAACGCAAGTCGCCCGTGAGGAAATCGCGACAACGGCCACGCCGTTGGCGACGTACGCGAGCAATGATGGCCGTCAGTTTGTCGTGCTCGAGTTGGCCATGTGCTCGCGCTGCTGTCCATTCGTCCCTCACGTGCGAAATTTCTCGCAGCAACGCGTCCTTCTCCTGCGCAAACTGCATCGTCTTGATTGTGAGTGTGTTGCGCGCGTCGCGCTCCTTAGCGTGAACGTCATCCAAAGACTGGTTCAACGCCACGACTTTGCAACGCAGCGCTTCATTTTCGGCTCGGGCTTTCTACGTATATATTTCGTCAGCAACTGCGCAAATTCGTCCATTGACACTGGACCAGCGTGTCGTCCTCAGCCAGCTTGGCACGAGCGATCGTTTGCAGCTCAAGGCGAAGGGCAGCAACAGTGGTTTCTAGGGCTGTGACGTGCTCGGCGGCGTCGGCCGCCTTTCGCGTCAACACTCGCTCGTTATCTTGCGCCCTGGCCAGCAATTTCGCCAGCTGCTTGTGGTTGGCACTGATCTCTTGGCACCGGTTCTCCCATTTGAAAATCTAGACATTGGCACAGTGATCAGTGGCCCAGGGATGGCATTTTCACCTCGACTTGGTGGTTGTCCTCCAACTGCTTCTTGTCAACGTCCGACTGCCGCTTTTGGTTGGCCTGGATAATCGCGTGCGCCGTGGACGTCTTGTCGACATGAAGCTCGTCGGACAGTCGCTTTGATTCGCCTTTGGCTAGCCCAAGCTCGACTATATGCAGTTGGAATACAACCCGGTCGTGGCAAAGTCGTGCTTACTCTTCAGTGATTCGATTTCGACTTGCGTTTGCTCCAATTGTTGTTTCAATACTTGCACGCTCTGCTTCTCCTCTGCGTTAAGTGGCGCTTGAGCTCATGTTGGGGCTCGACTGTGCCACGTACTCAGGTTGAACGACGTCAGAGCAGCCATGTTGCGCTGTAAGCTCAACGTGGATTCTTTGAATGTTGGACTGTTCGGGCGGAGCTTGTCAGGTTGGTGATGTTGCAGCATTTGAAACTTCGCTAGAAGACCAGTGTTCTTCTTGTCGAACCGAGGGGCATGTGATGGCATGGTGCGCTACAGACTCTGTCGTCCTGGTGTCATCGTCTCATTCCAACTCTTACCTCTGTCATCGCGCGCACAGGAGCAAGTGTAGCTGCAGGTAAAACGGAGGTTAGCTTTGTTACACTCGAAGCATCTTCTTCTATCCTTTCTGCCACACTGGGGCGACGCGGCGCGGGTCGCTGTGGCAACATCCTGCTGTCGACAGGAGGCTCAGTTACGAACGGCAGTTACACCTTGTTCCCCCGGATAAACGTGTATTATCCGGAAACCATATACAGCAAGCCACAGCCAATTATATTGATCCATTCGGCCACGGCCAACATGGATTGGCCAAAATCTTCACACGAAATCTCGATGTGTGCAAAGTCAAGGTTTGACTCCAGAGGACCATTGTCGCATCGAACCAGATGAGTCGCGTGAAGGCGATCCGATCGGCGGCAGCGACGTCCCTGAGCCGCCACTTGTCGACCAAGGCTGTCAAGCTCCCCGAGTACCCTGTGGATACGTCGTACTTGGTCTCCCATTACACGGCACCCGCGCTTGCGGCAGCGTTCAGTGACAGGTACGACTTGAATCGCCGATCCACGGCTTGAACCGTCCTGGATACATCTGGACAGGGAGCAAACGTTGCGGCGTTGCGCGCAGTTGCTTGCTGAAGGAGACCTTGACCAACTCTCGCAGCTCCTCACCCCGTTCCGCGGCCAAGGTGTGTGCGATCGCATCATATTCGTGGAAAGGAATCATCTGACTCGACCGGTTCGATGCAGCGGTGGTCAGAGATAAACCGCCAACGACCCCACTGGACGACGCGTTCTCGACGCGGCATTTGGATCGTATCAAGAAGCGTCTGAACCGTTTGCCCCGCCAAATCGCGAAAATGTCACACAAGCGCGCCGCGGTGGTGATACCGCTGTGCACGATCGACGGTGCGCCGCACGTTATTTTCACGCTGCGGTCGTCGCACATGCGTTTTCACCGCGGCGAAGTGTGCTTCCCCGGCGGAATGGTCGAAAGCGGCGATACATGCATCGAAAACACTTGCTTGCGGGAGATGGAGGAAGAGCTCGGGGTGCCGGCGTCCCAAGTGAACGTGTTGGGAATCTTGCGCTGCGACTGGTCCAACGTGGCGTCTATTACGGGCGTGGCCGTGACGCCGGTGGTCGGGCACATTGACCAGTTCGACGAGTCGACCTTGACCTTGAACTCGGACGAAGTTGAGAGTCTCTTCACCGTGCCGCTGGCGCTCCTCGTCCAAGACAAGTATTGGATCCGACCAAACAACGCCACGCCCGTCTTCACGGCGGGGCCGCACTTGATATGGGGTCTCACGGCATACGTGTTGGACATCTGCATCCGCGAAGTGCTCTTGGTCGAAGAAGGCGACAAGGACACGGCTCCAGCGACCACGACCCCCACTGCCCAAATTGTTTAAGTATATTTAACATAAGTCCTGCTTCGTTGTGGGGACGCCGAGTAGGACGGACTGATCCAAGAGCAAGTGGTAAACTCACGTGGACGACTCCACTCCACCATTTATACCTCAACCTAAGTTTCCAGCACACGGGAATTCCACTACAGTCGACGGGGAGCACACGCTGTGGAGCGATTTGTGGCAATGTCGAAGACAGTGCCCGACGTGCGGTGCCTGACCGTCACGTTGAGTAGACGACTGCGATGTATTTGTAGCGTGTCCTTCGCTGGTTGAGGCTTGCGAGAAGATGCGTGAGAGCTACCGCATTCCCTCATCATCAGCTAACCACCTACACGTGTGCAGGACAGCCGAGGCTGCATGCTGCTCGACGCTGGTGCAGCTGGACGAACTGGCGCGTTGCTTTTGTAAACATCCGGATACGGACACCTGCTATCCGAATTCCATCAGGTTGAAGAAGGTTGCCAACTTCGACGGACTTCGGATCGATCCCCTGACGACACGATGGCCGCGACCGAGTACGTGTCTCCGCTTGAGCGGAAGCAACGACGAGAGATTCGAAAGGCGCGCATTTGGGCCAGCGTCTTGGAACGATGTGACCTCGGACTATCCTTGGAACGACATCGCATTCACCGCCCCTTGCATGGGTTCAAGTCTCGAGGACTGCGCGGCAGTGGACTCTTCGCCCATTTAACTCAGCGCGAACGACGTGGCGAGTTGCGACCTGCCGAGTTTCTTGCTGTCAACGAAGCATTCCTCCCCTTGAGGGAGAATGGGAACGCTTGCAATGTGGATGACCTTCGGTCCAGGCTGTATTGCGGCGAGTTTAGTGCGGACGGCGACTCGTTCATGGTTGCGGGGCAGAACGAAGAAGTGTTCATTTACGACACCAACTCATGGAAACGAAAGGACGCACTGCCAGTGCGCGATGTCCGGTGGACTGTCACGGACGCGCACTTCACCCCGAATGCGCACGCTGTCGTGTACTCGTCAATCACGAGCATCGTCCGCATGGTGACGAAGGAAGGCAAAGAGCGCGTTCAGCCTTGCCGAGTCGCAGTCAACTTTTTCGAGCGGGTCCCGCGCGCAGCGACGCCGCATGTCCATCAACTTTGGCGTGGCGTGAATGCAGCTGGGACCGAATTCCTCGCGGGCACGACGAACAACAGCGTTGTGCTGCACGACATGACAACCAACACGTCTGTGTGCCATTTAGTCGGCCATGACAACGACGTGAACGCGATCACGTTTGTGGATGGGTCGTCGAATGTGTTTGTGAGCGGGTCGGACGACTGCCTGATCAAGCTGTGGGACCGCCGCGTCATGGCCGACGCCAAGCCCCAAGGCGTCTTCGTGGGTGGGAGGCGTGTCGGCGGTCGTTCTGTCATGACCATTTGTTTTCGTAGGGCACACGGACGGTATCACGCACATGAGCTCGCGCGACGACGGAATCTACTTTGTCTCGAACGCCAAGGACCAAACCGCCAAGCTGTGGGACGTTCGCAAGTGTTTAACGGACGAGTCCAAGATCCATCGCACGTTGCCGCAGTTCCAGTGGGACTACCGGTTTGAAGAATACCCTGGCAACTTTGAAGGCGTCGACGACGAAGCGCATCCGCAGGACCAGTCCGTGTTGACGTATCGAGGGCATGCCGTCAAGCAGACCCTCATCCGAGTGTACTTTTCGCCCGTGCATTCCACCGGGCAACGGTACATCTACTCTGGATCGGCGGAAGGCGAGGTTGTCGTGTACGATGTCCTGACGGCGAACGTCGTCGACCGCCTCGAGCTCCCGTCCCAAGGAGTCACTCGGGACGTGCGGTGGCACCCGCACAAACCGATCCTCGTCTCCCCCGACTTTTATGGCAAGCTGTGTGTGTGGCAAAAGGAGCATCGGACGGACGAGTCGATCGCGAGCCCGACCAGTGACGACGACGACGTCTAGAGCCATGTACATGGTGACGTGAACACGCTGTTTTGTGTGTGCGTGTAGCATTTCCTGCACATGTCTTGTTGGGATGGTGTGCTTTTTGCATGCTGAGTGGATCGATGTGTGGAAGCGGACTGGTTTCGAGGCAGTGGGACACCCGCGCGTGCGTGGTCACGTTTCCGGGCCGACGAGCTTGGTCTTGGACGAGTCTCGCGCGAGCGCGACAGCGTTGTGCACGACTAGTGGCGACGGCGGCGGCTCCGCGGCCGACAACTGGTTTGGACAGCTCATGCGCTTGGTCAGGGCAGGCGGGCCCCCCTTGCTCGCCAACCATTTCGGCTACAACCACGTGAAATTGTCCCGCTTCTTTTAGGAACTCGCGTCAACACTGTACCTTGGGTGTAGACACCCCAAGTTTATCATCCGTGGCGACGGCTTTCTTTTCCCGCTTCAGTCGGTCCTTTTCAAGTCGGTCGAGTTCTTTCTGCTTCGAGTACTCGGCATCCACCCGTGCGATCGTGTCCAGGTACCGCTCGCCTGTCGATCACGAGTGCGTGAGGACCATTCAATGCAGTCGCGCATATCCAGAGGAACGACGGCCCCGACGACAGAAGCCCATTGGAACAGGGCATACCACGGACTAGAAACGGCGAGGCGAATTCGCCCTCCCACGCAGGCAATTTATCGAGAAGGAGTTTGGTCAGCTTGGGCAAATCGTGCTTGATCTTTGCCTGGAGCTTCTCTTCACGGAGGAGGCGCCCCGTGTCGCGAGTCTGGCGTCCGATGAGGCGGGTCGGGCCCTTGAGCGATGCTTCGTACTGGCTGCGGTCGTCGATAATTTCTTCGCGCTTTTCAATGTACTACGCGACAACGATGACGGCAACGCCGCCATGAGACGACTGCATGCCTGGTACCTTGAGCAGCGCCTTCCGTGCCGTGGCCTGGGCATCCAACCGCTTGAGCTCGTCTTCGTGAATGACCAAGAGCTCATCGGTCGCGTCGGTAGTTGCCACTTGCATCGCTGGGAACATTGTGGCGGCGGCCAAATCATTCACTTCCAACACCGACCACAGCTCACGAATGTGACCGCGCACGTCGAGGAGAAGGTCTCCGAGCCGAGCTCGTTTGAGCTGCTGTAGCCGTGCAAGCTCGTCCTCGGCCTGTCCACCGTTATCCATATCTGCGACGCCTCGATCGAAACGAAGCGAGTATTCAAACCTGCCGTAGGTTGTCCGCGCTGATGCCTTGGCACGCATCCAGAAACTCGTCGCGCTCGTTTGGCGACACCTTCAGCCACATGAGCCAAATGGATTCGAGGCGCGCGACTGTTCCTCACCTTCAATCGATCCCACAAGACCCGAATTTGCGCCATCGCCGATGTCTTCGCCGCTTCACGTTCCGCCTATTTGTTGCATTGTCGTCGACCGAGTTGACATGCGCGCAGATGACGCTATCGTACTCGAAGACGTGTGAGGTCGGCAATGCGGGCCGACATGAGCTCGATGAGGTTCAGCGACTGCCCAAGCGCCTGCTCATGACACTTGAGTCCACGTCCTTCAGCAGAGGCTGCCTCGGCTAGCGAGAACCCACCCACCTCGACGTTGGTGATGATGGACCGGTCAAAGTCGGTCAGGTCCACGAGCTTGAGTTGGTCTACCAGGCTGCGATACTCTGTCGCGACGTGGAGAATCGCTTGTCGGCGCTGCGCCTGCATGCCGGCATGATATCACTCAACTTGTCGAGACGCGGGACTCACTTGCTCCATCTTCTTCATGCGGAGCGCCTCTTTACACTTGTCAAGCACCGTGGTCGTCAAATCCAGCGGCTGCGGGGGTGCCTGATGCGTGCATTATCCTCCGTGAGATCCCGAGGAAGGGAAAAACGATCGACGGGATGCACCTCGGGCGCTTCGCCCATCAACGCTTGGATGGACGAGAGCTCCTTCAACACGGCCGAGAGCACCGTCGTTCGGTCGTCCACTGCCTGCCGCCACGGCATCATGAGGATGGCCGGCTCCGTATCGCAGGCGCACCCACCTTTTTTAGCACGTCGTAGTCTCGGCGAACATGCGCCTCCTGCTCCTTGAGCGTGCCAGGAGGTGGTCCCTTGGTTGGAGCCTCGAACGGTTCTCCAAGCTGTCGGACAAACGTCGCCATGTCTTCTTGCATGGACGCAATGTCGTCGAGGTACTGGCCCTTGGTGTTGTTCGCGTCCATGAGCTTGTACTGGTAAAACTCGTGGAGCTGGCGGTCGAGCTCAGCCTCTTGGTCGGCCACGTCGAGTCCAATCTCGGCCCACACGGCACGCAGAGCATCCAGCATGCTGCACACGGACAGACTCAATCGCTCCAACCAAAACGTGATCTGGGCTCGATGCTGGTGCTATGGCGAGCTAAATTTAACACTGAAACGGCCAACATGACTCGTTCACTCAAAGGTTACACCCGAGAGCGCATTCCAGCACACGTCCGGCACGATGTGAAGCCAACGTGCGTCGCATCAAGCACGCATCGACATGATGGCGCAACAAACAACAACGGTAAATAGATTGGGATTACAGCATGTCCATAATGTCCATGGCGTCGTCCTCGTCGTCGTCGAGAAACCACTCGCCGTGCGTCAAGTTGCCTGCCAACCGCGGCTGCGTTTGCACGACACCTCCTTCGTCGTCGACATCCATGTCGACATCCATCGCATCGTCGTCGTCATCGTCACGTTCCTGGCCTTCCGGAATGGTGAACGGGGGAAGCATATACCGTCTCAGCGGGGAAGGAAGAGCGGACGGCGAGTTGTACAGCACCATGGTACCAAGGGACGGGTCGCGGGGTAGTGGGGATGGCGTGTCCTTCATCTGCCGCCTATGCATCTCGTCAATGGATGTCGTGAAGACGAGCACAGTGTCGAGTACATGTATTCTGAGTAGAGACTGTATCGATTTCGCCTCGGATAGAGGTATTGCCGCGGTCCGTTTGACGAGATGAACGTGGACGCGTTGGGTTTCTCCGACGATGTTGTCGAGTTGGTGGAATTCATGGAGATGCAAAGGTTTTCTAGCAAATCCACGAGCGCTTTCTTGTTTGGAGGCATTTCACGGGTGATGTCGTCGTCGTCGCTTGCATGACGCCGCCGGACGCCCCGCCGAGGAAGTGGCCGCTGCATCATCGTGCTTGACGCTCGTTTCTTCCTCTGTGCATTGGGGAATACTGGCATCCGGATACGTCGTCCGGTTTTGTCAAGAAAACACCGGCAACTTCTGGATTTGGCAGACGGTTCCAGAAACGTCGACACCTATCCGGATTATTATCCGGATAGTCCAAACGTTCTCGAAACGTTCATTCGTAGGACCGACTGCGCCAACGACGTGATAATAATAAAAAATGTTCGTTGGAATTCAAAGTCTCGACAATGCAATCTTAAGATTTGTATGGTGTCGAGGTGGAATTCTCGAACGCCTTTAAAATACAGGATAACAATTCCACCAATCGCATTTGAGTTCCCAATTGTCCAAGTCGAGACTGGCAATCGAGCCATTTCCGAATTCCTGGTGCCGCCATGATGATGTACTCCCGCGCCGCCGCCGCCCCAGCGGCAATGCGCCACCACCTGCGCCGACGTCGTGACGACGAGTATGACATGTCATTCATGCACCCTACGCCTTTCACCTCGTTCAGTCCAACGTCATGCCCTCAGCCGCATAAGAAATTCAAGGTGTCAATGCAAGACCACCTTGGTTACTCCTCCCGTTTCCAGCAGCAACCCGCGCCAACGATGCCTAGCACGTGGTACCAATCAGCAGATATCAGCTCTCCTGATTCAGACGACATGGACACTTCGATGGATGTGGATATGTTGGATGACAACGACTTTGATGACGTGCCCACGCCCGAGCAGTGGAACGAGCGCAACAACGATACGCAAGTTGTGCAATACACACAGCCGAATGGTGCTTCAAAGCAACACACGACCCTTGAAGTTATTGGCAGCCATAAGACGCCCTTCAAACCCCGACCTGTCTTGATCCCGTCCACACGCATCGAAGAAGTAAATGACGAACCCACCCCGTGCAATGCGTTGGTAGTGTATCGACCTCTACCGCCCGCTGGGTCATGGAAGGTGGAGCCAGAGTCCGAGTCGGACGACGAAACTTGTGGAGGGACAGTCGGCGATGTCGATGACGGTGAAATGATGGAGATTGATTGATGCGTGCAACGGCATCGATGGAACCCTATTTATAACCTACTCCTGACTACAACATCTTTGCTCAATCTCGTCCTCGTTTCGTGACATATCCACCAAGGCGATGGGAAGGACTCATGACATCGCACGGGATGTGAGTTGTAAGCTGGTTTGATCTACTCCCGCCAAGCACCGCCACTTGCGGCCGTCCAAGTCGGTGGAATAGCCTCATTGCGAACCTCGTCGGACGATGATATCTGCTCGTCGGGAATGGATAACCGACCATGCCAAGCTGAACCTCGACGAATTGCACGCTTGCATCATTCGGTGTGCCTTTCAACTTCCCAGATCCGACGCTCCGTGACGTCACTGGTTGCAACTGCACTCTGTGTAGTCTCGGCGGCGTCGTCTAGCCCTGCTCTACGCCCTGCTCTACGTCAAATCTAGCGACGACAAGCCTTCATAACGGCACCCACTAAAAAATGCTCCTACCCAGTCTTCTTAGTCTATTTTGTGCCCACAACGCTGCCAGGTTTTATTCGACATTACTCTTGCCTTCCGCCTTCTCTAACTTTTGCCGCTTCGCTTCTCTCTGCTTCTGCTTGCCCACGTCGCGGACTTGGGCTGTGCGTCGACGCTCTTGTTTGCGCGCGTTCTTGGCTTGTTCTTTCCATGCAAGGAAACGCTTGCTGCGTGGAGTCGCCCTTGCGCTGGAGAGCCACTCCTTGGGCACACCCCATTCGTCCAGCACCAACTTCTCAAGCATCGTGTCGTTCTAGGCAGGTATGCGTGAACAATGCTCCACGAAAGGCTGTTTGCCGAAGGTACATACCAATAATTGCATGTCAGTGAACCCGGGCTTGATGAGTGCTGTCACACGCGACTCGCGCCCGATCACGTCGTAGAATTTGTCGATACACCGCTATGAGGCATGCAATGTATGAAACCGCAGACGAGGATCATATTCATGAAGCTATCGGAGTCTCGATGATGCTCGTACCTCGTCTCGGGCATTCGTGTCGATTGGCTCCGTCTCGAATCGAGCCATCAGCGTGTCGATCCCCTCGGACGGTCCTTCCGCTATCAGGAGATGCAAATCACCCCGACTGACTAACCTTCCATTGAGATGTGCCTCTTGGAACCACGTCTTGAGCGTCGCCACGTACGTTCCGCGCGCCTTGAGGTGGTCTAAGCGCAGCGCCACGACATCCATTGCATTTCGGGATCCGTTGGATGAATTTGGCGGTGGTTGGGAACTTCGAACTACGATTTTGTAGTGCGAAGTTGGTCGAGAATGTAACGGACACCAACCTGACACATTGTCGTCGCGAAGAGGACGGTGACCGCTTCGACGTGCTCGAGCACTGCGCACACGAGCAGGCCAATTCAGGTGATAACCTAGCTAATGGAGCCTGCACCATTTATCATGGAATGTCCATGTTCCGCTTGTGTTCGCCGCACAATCACTGTCCTTGGAGGTCATTGACTGCCATGTTGCACATGTGCTCAAACGAAGGGAATCACGTCGTGATTTGTATTGGTCGAGATGTGCTTCACGACCAGGCGATGGTGTCTCGGCGTTTGTGTGACAGGATTCGACTTTCATTATAAGGTATTTGATATATCTTGGAGACTCGACAGAACTTGGTCCATGGCCGGTCGCAGGCGTGGGTCGTGCTGCAAGCACAGTCGAATGAGACGATTCAGACTCGACGGACACGCCGGCGACGGCGTCGGTCGCAACGTGCCCATAAGAATGGCATTGGTCAAATCATTCCTGGTCATCGATTTGCTCTCTTCTTCAAATGGCTTCTGGCCCGTCTCGAGCTCCACAAGCAACACCCCGAACGAGTACACGTCGACCTTTTCGATGTAGTCGCCATCCGTCAGCATTTCTGGCGCCGACCACTGGATGTCCCCGACTCCCACCGTCAGAGTCTGATCGTACGACCGGTCACGACATGTCCCGAAGCCGCTCAGCACGGCCTTCTTCCGGTCAGTCAGCATCACGTTCTCTGCTTTGATTCCTCGATGCATCATACCAAGCTGGTGCATGTACACGAGAGCCATCGCGACGTCGATGGCGAATGCAAGCTTGTCCTTCAACGTGAGCCGCGACCCCATCCGCTGGACGTACTTGTGCAGCGTCGGGGGGTTGGCTAGCGCGTGGTTCGTGATGCAGTGCAGACCTCCTTTCGCCTGGTCAATGAAGAACCCGACAAAGGGCAGGATGAGGGGGCAATCCACTTTGCTTAATGCGATCACTTCCTTGATCAGCGCTTGGCGCTCCGCGGGCACTTTAGCGCTCGTGATCATGACCTTGTCACCGCCGTAGTGGCCGAGCTGAGTCTTCATGTAGTCGGTTTGGATGTAGTCCGTGTGCACCTGGCGAATGATCGAGACTTGTGACGAGTACACGTAAAACTTGGCGTACGGTCGCAATTCTTCGTAGCCGGTCCAGTCCACTTCGTCCTGGGATAGCGTTCTCCGCAACGTCGAGCGTAAAGCAGATGGGGGCCTGCTTTGACGGCTAAAGTCGTCTCTTGCGGACGTACCGCGTGTGTACAAAGTTCCTTCGTCGTGTTCCCCAGCAGAGAAAGCATTCTTGAGTCGCTGCGGCGATGTTGGAGGTAACTGTGTGCTGGAGTAGGTTTTTCGTCGCGGTGGAGGATGGTCCGACAGCGAGTTCTCGGTAGGTCGATGCGAATCTGTGAGGGAAAGGGCATCGATTTTTTCGATGTACGGCGGAGGCGCGTTTCGCACGTCAAGGCGCAAGCAGAGTTGCCCCGCATCCTTGCCTGCTTTCTTGACATTCTTGAGCGGACACCACACCTTTCGACCAGTGCGGCCGTCGAGCATGGCTTGTTCAAGGGATATGCGAAACACCCCCAAGTGCGTCTTGGGGATGTTCGTGTGGTGGCCTTTGACCTCGATCTGAAAGTCGTCCTTTGGCATCACGTTGTGTATTGTCAGCTCTTGATTGAACACGGGGTTGCACCCACCGTCCATGTGGACGTTTGTTTTGAACTTCTGCCCTGCGATCTTGATGGTGCAGTACGGGCTCTGCTTCATGAAAGGCCCGCCGCGGTCCATCAAGCCCTTCGCCTCGTACACGTGCACGCGCAGGTCCCACCTGATGTCCATGCCGCGATGTTTGTTTTTCGCCCAGTGCCATGGGATGAAAGTCCGTTCGGATAAATATCCGTAATTCCGCATGACTTGCCACTGCGAATCTCCATTCCCGTCGGTTCCACACATCGTCCGGAACGGCAGGGCCGTCGGCGCTGGGGCCAGGACACCGCACTCGCTAACTGCATTGTCTTGCAGCGCCTTTGATGACAGCGTGTACCGACGAAAGAAGCAACGTGTTTACGCGACACTTGGTGCGCATTCCTGGAGAAGACCTCTCACTGCAGCGGAGTTCCGGGACTGTCTGGCATTTGTATTCCCAGGAGTGGGCCATCACGGCGACCAAGGATTAGTCCGTATAAATCCATGTGTCAATCACGTCCTCGCGTGTTGAACGAGCTCGAAGGTGGCACGCATATCAATACCAGCCCAAACGCAAGTTGAGCGGCAAGATCCTTGATTCGTCCGATATGATATACTACAACGCGGTTCGACTGCCACCCTCGCGAGCCAGCGACCAACTGTTACCCACACTTCCGCCTTCCCATTTCCTAAGAAACACCATGGCTGGGGTGCGCTAGCCCCACGACGGAATCGTAGTGAGGGTGTGCATCGGCCGCATCGTCCTGGCGGGAGCGCTGCGCTAACTGTCAAGGGTCATGTAGACCGTTCGAGTCCGCCCTGGCACGAATCATGACCTCCGGAATCTAACGGTTGACAATGTAGAATGTTTGTAAAATACTCCCGAGTGGCAGCAAAGGACGCACACTCTTTCAATCATGAAATGTCGATGGTACAATTCAAAATAATCTGAATAATTCAAAATAATCGTATCCACGAGTGAAAGGGCGTGGGAGTTTCGGTGCGCGGTTTGGCGCAAGTACAGCAGTGATGGAGAAGGTGGCGCCCAAGCTCAAGGGCCGAGGTCGGCCTGAGAGCAAGGGGACCGAGAGAGACGACGTCGTCCCACCGCTTCCGATACCGACCGTCCTGCCTCCGTCCAAGTTCAAACAGAGAGGGATTTCGTTCAACATGTGGCGACAGGCCGAAGTCATACCAGCCGTGAATCGTGTGTCGTTGCAAGTGTCGGCCGAGGAGCGGAAAAAGCTTGAGCAGGGTCTCGAGGAATCGGCGAATCGGTTCATGTGGACTCCAGGTACGTCGAGACGCATCCTCCCGTGCCACTGTCGACTTTTGACGGTACCTCCAGATTCTCCAATGCGGTTGTCATGGGACGCTCTCATTGCCGTCGTCACAGTCTTCTTTGCCTACCGCCTGCCGTACAGTTTGGCGTTTGAAGCGGACGCGACCTTCCAAGAGCAGCCGTGGTCCATCGCGTTCAACTCGATCGCGAACGTTCTGTACATCCTCGACGTGATCGCAAACTTTCGGTACGGGAACCGCTTGACTTGCCACTACGTCACTCGACGCAACGTAGCACGGGGTACCGCAGCGACGTGGAGGTGATTTTGGACCCCAAAAAAGTGGCCATCAATTATGTCAAGGTGCGTCGATCGCTCCTTCGATCGCGCGCCATGACGCCATGTCCACAGACATGGTTTCTCGTCGACGTGGCTGGATCGATTCCGTTTGAGCTCTTTCTCAAGACAGGGGACAGCGGCATCGAGCGCAAGGCCGTCAAGACGTCCCTCAAATACTTGAAGATTCAGGTACGCATGACGACAGCGCGATCCCGTCGGTCAGGCTCGTTCGATAGAAACTGTTTCGACTCGCGCGCATCATTCGGTTCGTTCGGTAAGTTGCTGTGTCTGCCTTCGGTCGTCGATTGACGCCATGTTGGACAATGATGCAGGAAGCACATGCAGTTCATGTACGCGTTCCAGCTCTCGTTCTTGTACATCTCGGTCGTCCACTGGGTGGCGTGCCTCGGCCCGAGTATGCTCTCCCTCGACGTGTCGTCATTCGTGCCGTTCACGCGCTACGGCATCTTCCTCTACATTTCCGTGACCGCGCTCTTTGACCTTGGCAAGTACGTTCTGCGGCCGCCATGCTCGATGCCGCTGCACGGAATGCTCATCGTGGTGTGCACAGAATGGACGGCTTCCCCGAAGACGAACAGATCGTGCTGGCCGCGTTGTCTGTGTTTGGGTTCTTCCTCGTGTGCCTCGTATCAGCCAGCATCACGGCAATATTTGTGAGTCAGACGTCGCGCGCGTCCGAGTACCAAGAGAAGATTCACTCGGTCATGTCTGACCTGAAAGCGCTCCAAGTCCCGAGGGTACGTTGCCTGTCGGTGCGCGCGACTCATTCGAGCGAGTAGGAGCTGCGCCTTGCGGCCAAAAACTACTACGAGATGCTCTGGCGCGTGAAGAAGACATCCGATCGATACGAGAAGTTCATCTACGAAGACCAGGACCTGTCTCCGACGATACGCGCCGAGATCGCGCTGCATATCCACCGCCGCGCGATCGCGGTCGTCCCGCTCTTCAAGGGATGCACCGACGACTGCCTCGCGACCGTCGTCATGCGCCTCAAGACGCATCTGTACATGGCGCACGACGTGATCTTCCACAAGGGAGAGCCGGGCAGGTCCATGCTCATCATCATCCGGGGAAAAGTCAAAATCATCGGCCCCGACAACCGAACGCTCGTTGCCGTGCTCAAGGAAGGAAGCTTCTTTGGTGAAATCGGTACAACCATTCAATCATATTCCGTGGTTGGCCATGAACCGAACGAGCAGGACTCCTCCAAAACACAACGCGATCATGCACGGTCGTCGCTGCCACGTTTTGCGAAATGAAGAGCCTCGCCCAGGCCGACGCGGAAGATATCTTTTCCCTGTATCCACACATCTTGGAACGGCTGTACCGCGAGTCGGACCGCCGCAAGCGGGACAACTCGACCCGGAACAGCTTTTGCTCGATCAAAGTGCTCGACAACGCCCACACGGTGAGCAAGGAGTCGATCGACCAAATCGACACGGACACCAGATTCAGCGGGTCCCGATCCGGTGGCCGCGAACCCAAGTCGCACCCCGAGACGAAAACGTCGCTCATGATGAACTTGGGCCCCAACACCAAACCGAACTGGACCATCTCCGAAGTCGACGGGGCCATGCGCCACGAGCCCCCTGACAGTACGTCATTTTCTGACAAGCTCTGTCGTCCAAGTGTCGACAGTGTCAACGTGTAGTGAACCTGCGAACGATGGAGTCCCTGGCGAATCTGCGCATGGACTTTGACGATTTGAAGGTGGGCGACCGTGATTCGTGGTGGAGATTCATGGGCGTGTGGGGTTGCAGGATATGCTGACGACGGTGCTCGAGAACCAGAAGCTTCTCGTGGAGAAGCTGTCGGAATTGGAAGCGCGGTCGGTGCACACCCACCATGCGCATCGAAGACGGACCAAGGAATCACCTGAACACGTTGGTGGAAGTCTGAAGAAGGAAGGGTCGTTGAAGCGGCGGGAATTGCTGCACATGACTGGTGAAAGCGATCGATCCATCAGGTTGAACGGGACCGGCAGCAACGGCACGACAGAGGAGGAGCACAAAGTCGTGAACAGGCTTATGGTGGAGCCCGAGCGACCGAAATCATAATTATCCTATTGTACCGCTCGGTTTATACTCCTGTGTGTCTGACAAGCCGAGGAGGTTCCAAGAGAGATCGAACGAGATCTCCCTTGCATTTCTTTGCGGCATCAGGGCCAAGCCGCGACCGTCTCCCCATCACCATCGACCCCCTCTCGAAATTCGAACGATGGGTTCAGCCGCGGGAAGGACAATGTGCCTTCGACAGTCCTTGGCTCATAAGGGAGCTCCCTGTGGCTGTCGAAGAGCGTTGGCAAGGAGCCTTCGCGTTGCTCGCTGCCCATGTAGCGGGCAACAATGTCGATCTGGTGCGCGGTGGATGCGACGGCAAGTTGGCGTTGCTCACGCATGTCATTCGGCTGCTACGAAAGGGTGCGTGCGACATGTTGGGCACATTTAGACACGAATGTACGATGTACGAGAAATTTCGTATGGCTTCTTGGACTTACGACGCCTTCCCCGCGCCACATTCCTTGCTTAGCCCAACAGGACCTTTCATACATCGTACAATTCCGTGGGGTAATCCGCCATTCCCAGTGCCCGATCGGCCGCCGCTCCCTGGAAACTGCGCAACACTTGTTTTGTCCATGCCCTGAAGCCCAAACAACTTGGACATTTTTTTTCTGATGGACGTGACGTGTCAATGCGGGGCAACTGCTATGTCGACAGATTTGTCGTGAACGATACGCTAGTACGTACGTCGTACGTATTGTGCTTGTGCGATATCTCGTTGTGGATTTAGCACGCAATAAAAACATTCCCCGACTTGCCAATACAAATTCCTAGTGAAATGCGATGTCGCAATCAGCGGATCGAAAAAAAGTTTCGAGGCAACTCAGAAAACCCTTGGAGAATGAATATGATGCACTGTAACGCCTCAGCCATTCCAAGCGCCGACCTCTAGAACTTTATACCTTCCCCTACGAGGGGAGTGGCCCCATTCATTTCGAATTGTCGGCCCGACCGTAGGAATCGCTTCCGAAGTGGCCATGCTGTTCTTGACCATCCTGCTTGTCGTGAGCTCAGAGGGTCTTCGCGGCGTCCTTCAGGATACCTTTGCGTACCTGGCGTCGTACCCGTCGCTGTTCCTGCTCTTCCTCTTGTTTGGATTCGGCGTCGCCGTGGCGAGCTCAATCATTCACTTTCACCTGGCGAAGCGCGGTAACGCAACCACGACGCCGCTCACATGCTACGACTGCGAACAACAAAACAAAACCAAAGGCTCTACAAAGAACAACAAAAAAGCCAAGCGCCAAGCCGACAACGTTGGGATTCTTGCCATGGAAGTGTACTTCCCTGCCAACTACATTGATCAATCGGACCTCGAGCAGTATGACGGCGTCGGCGCTGGCAAGTACACCAAGGGTCTTGCACAGGAAAAGATGAGTTTTACCGGCGATCGAGAAGATGTCAACTCGATTGCTCTCACCGCCGTGAAACAGTTGCTGGAAAAGTACGACATTCAACCATCTCAAATCGGACGCCTCGAAGTCGGCACGGAAACGATGGTGGATTTGTGCAAGTCGACGAAAACTGTGATCATGGATCTGTTTCACGAGCATGGCAACTACGACTTGGAAGGCGTAACGTCTGTGAATGCATGCTACGGGGGGACCGCGGCGCTCTTCAACTCTGTTGCGTGGGTCGAAAGCAAGGCATGGGATGGACGATATGCCTTGGTTGTGTGCGGTGATATTGCCGTGTATGCCAAGGGTCCGGCGCGTCCAACTTCTGGCTGTGGCGCGGTCGCGATGCTGATCGGGCCCAACGCCCCGTTGGTCATGGAGAGCGAGCTTCGCACGACCTTTTCCGAAAATATGTGGGATTTTTACAAGCCGGATCCGCACTCCGAGTACCCGACCGTGGACGGCAAGTTTTCCCAATCGTGCTACTTGAAGACCCTCGACGACTGCTACCGCCGCTTCTGCTCGAAGAACGAACTCGCGGGCGTGACCAAGAACGGCCAGTTCTTTGACGTAGCCGCCAACGACTACGTCCTGTTTCACTCTCCGTACAACAAGTTGGCGCAGAAAGGCTTTGCGCGCATTGTGTTTAACGACTTCTTGCGCAACCCGACCTTGCCCCAATACGAGAAGCTCAAGAAATGGCACGGCGCCGCGCTCGAGGAAACGTACTACGACCGCGAACTCGAAGCTGCGTCGCGCGAAGTGTCACTTAATATGTGGAACCGCATGGTCGAGCCATCGTGCTTTGCCTCGCGACACATTGGCAACTGCTACACCGCCTCCGTTTACATCAACCTGGCGTGCCTCGTAGACACGGCGCGATCCGCGCTTCACGGCAAGCGCCTCATGCTGTTTTCGTATGGCTCTGGTGCCGTCGGGTCGATCTTTTCGTTCCGCTGCGTCCGTCCCGAATCGACCGAAGTCGCTGTCCCCGCCTTCACGGTGGAACGGATGAGCGACTGCTTGAACCTCGCACAACGTCTGAACAAGCGCCTCAAGCGCACGCCGGAAGAGTTCAATGCCCACATGGACCTGCGCGAGTCTAGCCATGGCATGAAGAGTTACACCCCTGTGCAATCCATCGAGTCGCTCTTCCCTGGCACGTACTACCTCGTGGGGGTTGATGACAAGCATCGCCGCAAGTATGCCCGCAAGCCTCTTAACGCTTCGTTGTCGTTTGTGGCTCTCCCGTCCCCAACGGTGGCCGTAGAGCCTTCCGCGACGAGTGTGGCGGCGCTCCCCACATCCGTAGTCCCGGCCAAGCCTGCGCTCGTCGAGGTCTTGGTCACCGGAGTCGCCGCTGGCGCCCCTGGCCTCAAGTCAACTAACTTGACTGCGCTCTTGGAAGGTGTAAACTGCATAGAACCCGTGTCGGACGCGGCAAAGACTGCAATGGTCGCTAAAAACGTCGTCCAGCTCAAGAAGGATGGGGCGGCCGTTCGCCGACTGCCTGTGACCAGTGTGAACGAGACGATTCAACTCGCGGCTCCCATGGCCGTGGTGGACCTCGTCAAGGACTTTGGCTTGCCCAAGAGCTTGGTCGAAGGGATGGACGATGCGTCCGCTTGTGCGGTTGCGGCGGGTCTCCGTGCGTTGCAGCAAGCGGGCCTCGTTGCCGGCACAGTTGAAAACGGCTGGGGCAACTGGCGCTTGACAGATGCGCTGGCCACTTCCACGGGCGTCTTGTTCGCCGCATCGTTCCCTGCCCTGGATGCGTGTGTGAAGGAAGTGTCTCGGTCGTACACGGATCCTGCGTACGAGTTTGACCGTAAACTGCTCTTCCGCCTCCTCGTGCAGGCCAATGCGCAATTGGCGCAGATCGTGGGTGCCAAGGGCCCCAATGCGCATGTGAACGCTACGTGTGCCGGGACGACTGTAGCGCTCACAATGGCGCAGGACTGGATCCGCTCTGGCAAGTGCCAACGCGTCGTCGTGATTGCAGGCGACGTGGCCGCGAACGAAACGCTACTCCCCTGGATTGGTAGCGGCTTCCGTTCGCTCGGGGCCGCGTCCATTGCGAGCAACGTGTCCGATGCCGCGCTTCCGTTCGATTCGCGCCGCAACGGGATGCTTCTGGGCAGCGGCGCCGTTGGTTTGGTCTTGGAAGCAGCGGGCGCATCCACGCTCCAGCGCTTCCCGGCTGGGTCGCCATCGGTTCAGTTGGTGGCCAGTCAGCTCAGCAACTCGGCTTTCCACGGCGCGTCGCTTGACAAGGAGCACATGGCCCAAGAACTGAACCGCTTCCTTCAAGCTGTCGAAACCGAGCACGGCATCCCGCGCGCCGTGTTGGCGGCGGAAGGGGTATATTACAGTCATGAAACGTGCACCCAGGCGACGCCCACCTCGTCGTGCTCGTTCACCGAGCTGTACATGCTCCGCAGTGCGTTTGGCGACGCCGGCCTTGACACGTTGGTGCTGGCCAACACGAAGGCGTTTACTGGTCATGCCATGGGTGTGAGCTTCGAAGAAGTGATTGCCGTCGAGGGCCTCAAGCGCGGGGTCCTTCCCCCCGTGGTCAACTTTTCCTCGCACGATGCCCACTTGAGCCCCCGTCCGCTGCGTCTTAGCAAGGGCGGTGCCTACCCCCACGTCAAGTATGCGCTGCGCTTTGCGGCGGGCTTTGGTTCGCAGATTGCTTTTACGTTGTACATGCGCAAGTAAAGCATATTCTCCGTGAATCGAATGTGTGTCGACAACATGGATGGTTTGCGCAATGCCATGGCCGAGGTCTCGCGTGGAGCTGCGCAGATGAGGCAGAGTGCAGGAAGAACGGACAATCTAGCAATGCTTCGTGACAGGTTCTCGTGTGCTTAGCAGATCCAGTGCCTTGATTTCCGCGCGTGGGGTGAGTCCCGCGGGTTGAAGCTTCCATGAAACATGATTGCGGTCTGATATCCCGACTCGGTGGTGGCCGAGTCCGGCCACCAGCGACGTCGCACAGAACGAAAGAACTACGTCGGACGGGAACGATTTGCATTAAGTGTCCATGTTTTGCATGAGCGCTCTTGTGACGTTGCCAATGGGGTTGTTGGCATACGGGTGAAATCGAGCCGCGCCACTTGCGTCACCTCCGTCGTCGTCGTCCTTTTTGCTGCTTTTCTTGCTCTTTTTGCTCTTTTTCTCCTTCTTGTGCTTCTTATGCTTCTTTTCGTCCTTGGAGTGTCCGCCGGGGGAGGACGCACTGACTGCTTGCGGCAACGACATCCATGATGGCTGGAATAGTTGCTCGAGGATCCCTTTCGCAGGCGCTGGAGCGACCACGTCCTTTTGCCAAAACGACTTGTTCGCGTCGTCTGTGGACTCGATAGCAGCCCGAAGTAGAGACGCGACCTTTGTGTACTCGGCCATCGCGGCTGGGTCGTTGATGAAGTCGCGGCCTTTCTTTTCACCGACCCACACGTTGATCTTCTTGACGAGAAGGTCTTCCAGCTCTACCGCACGAAGTAGTTGCGGATGGGACAGCAAGTTTCCCGACCGGTTTGAGTTGCTGTTCGTCGCTAGGATATGCGCCTCCTGGTTGCACAGCGCATCGTGGAGCTGCCTCACCACGGGATGTCCGACCGCCTCCCACTTCTCCGCGTTGGCCATGCCACACTAGTCGTCCTGACCGTATCCGGATACAGACTGAAGCGTTTTAAGTGGCTAAAACACAAACTTTTCATCCAATCATTTCGCTTGTTTCAAAAGTCTTTCCATGATAGAGCTTATTTTCCACTTGCCATGGCATCTTCCCCTGAAAACCCAAAGGAAAACGGCGCAGCTCCATGGGCATTTCCATCTTCGGCCGGAACAGTTGATTGCACCAGCGATGCCCACGTCGCCTTCTTGGGGTGTGTCGGGCGTCTCGATTCGTCGAACGTCGCCACAAACTCGGGGTGGTGTTTTTCGAGGGCTGCGCGGAACTTGGCATAGAGCAGCGGGCGCTTGGTTTCGTCGTCCAGGCCAGACACTTGGTCGGGTTTATCGTGTAGGAACGCCAGCACGTGCTGGACGTTGCTGGGCGATACGTAATTCTGCGTGATCGCGAGCGACTCGTCGAGGTTGAGCACAATGTGCCACCACCCCCGGGGAACAAAGATCATTTCACCGGCTTCGCACACGCCTTCCAAATGCCGTACGCCACCGTGAACCGGGTCCTTCAGCGACTTGATCTGGGGGTAAAACGTGACGAACCATTCCATGAGGGACACCGGAGTCGACACTTCCCCGCCGTCCACACTCGGATGCACCCCCGGCGGCACAACGTCCGGCGGAAACATGATCCATTTCTTTCGCCCACGGAGTACCGCGTTCCAAGCACACGTCGAATTCGGATCAATGTGGAAGGATGACCCGGACCCTTCCGGTCCAAAAATGAGCCATCGGTAGTCCGGCCGCTCGGTTTCCCCCAACAGCGGGAACAGGTCGTCCTATTCACAGACGCAGGGTCACTCACGAACGATGACGACGTGCCGTACGTGGAAGTAGGCCGGGACTGTGTAGTCTGCGGCGAGTTGCGGCACCGTCGAGGCAAAGTGCTTGTCGAAGATGAATAGAGGCTGGTCGTCGCGAAGGGTGCGAGCGTAGGCCGTGTATTTGGCAATCGACATGGTGAACCCACCAGCGTAGAATGGCGTGTCCTTGCATGTTGCCGCCAGGTATGCGTCCGTCCACCGCGACAGCGCGGGCCACTTTGTGACGACGTTGGTCAGGATCACAGGGACGTTGGGCTGCTCGTATTTTGCCTTGAAGTCGGCGACGGACAACATGGACCCGTCCACGCGGGGAATCGTGTTGACTTTTAGCATCGCGTGGGTCGACAGGAGTGTCAATGGCGTGTGCGCGCAGTAGAACGGTAGAAAGAGCAAGTCCGAGTAGAACCCTTGCACAGACACCCGGCGTGCTGAAGGCGGCGTGAACGACGGCGTGGACGTTGCAATGTACGCCTCTCGCCACGTCGTTCGCTCGAGAAAGGCACCGCCGTACTTCTCCAACACGAGGGTGCGCCAGAATTCGTCGTGGTAGCAAAACACGTACCACGCTCGGCTGGTCGAAGACGTGATTCCAAGTGAAATGGGGTCAAGGCTTCCAAATATCGCATGCAGAATCGTGTCCGGCAACGTGTGCAGACGTCCAAGACCTTTGGGGCGGCACGGCTTGATGCCGTTGTCCATGTCGTTGAAGCTATTCCCCCAAGGTTTCACGCCAAGTGGATGCTGCATCCTGGTTGACATGTCCTTCCTTGAATCAGCACCACAGGACGCGCCTTGATGCGAAATCGTCGCTACGTCGCCGTCGATCCGCTGGCGCTTGAAGACCATCTCTCCTCTTGTTTGCCTATGCTCACCATGCCACGAGCCAATCCCCGGCGTCATAGAAATGTTCGCGCTGAAATGATTGGCTCTTGCAATACTCGTGCTTGATTGGTCATTCAAAATCTGCACGAGGCGAAAAGTGTCGCGGCCGCACAGACCTTCGTCGCCGGTTCGCGCGTGAGGTCATCTCGCAGATGGATGCTGTCAGGCGCACGATCATTTTAAGCTAGATGTGTATTTGGTGGAGGAGATGCATGTATTGATACACCCCTCAGAAAGGTTTTCAGCTTGAAGAGGTTGATTCACAGGGGGTAGATGCTGCATGACAAGTCGATGGGGTCGCCGCTGGTCGTAATTTTGATGTTCAAGTCGTGCACCGCCATGAATTCAAGAATGCTCCAAGTGAACGGTCATTTAATTCATGGAAAGGCTCTCGAGTACAGGTCCATTGCAAGCGATGGCGACACCACACGCATGCAAACACGCGTCGCTTTCAGCACGAGCGCGCACCATTTTTTCACGTCGACGATGCACATGGTGTTGCAGTACTCTATGTTGACGAGTCCTGTGATAACGGCCGATGCCTGATCCAAGTAGTGCATGCCACCATACTTCCGTCCCTTGGTCTCAACCGCTAAGCGCGCCGGCGCCGACAGAAACGTGGACCGCGTCGCAGCAACGTTCACTGTCGTAATAGCCACTCATCCGTGGCGCTTCAACGTACTTTTCCAGCGTGTAGCACTCGACGCCACACACTCACGAGATCCCGAGGAATCTACAGAATCGAGCGAACGACCTGGGCAATTAGAACCACCGCGTTTGTATTCACAAAGTCGACAGCGACCTCGACACACGTGCGGTCCATGACATCGCGGTACCCGCGCTGGGTGCGCAACGTCCCGTCGGCTGCAACCTCTCACGCTATCGTGGGGTGCATCCTGCTGTACGTTGTCGTGGCGTTCTCATAATTTGAGTGAAAACAAGTTGTTGATACGGCAACAAATACCCAACTTCACCGGACGGGTAGTTAGCCACGACGTCGGCGCGGACAGGATCCTTGTTGTTGGACCCTGTGCATCTTGAAGCTGAGATCGTTGGCGTGTGCATGGCAAGTTGGCGTCAGCGATGTAAAGGAAACACGAAAACATCAGTCGCAACAGCAAGCTATGGTGGTCGGTCGCGATCAACGCGGCGGCCTTGGCCAAGGCCAAATGAGTTGCCGACCAGAACAGCGAGGCCGAGCTATACAGTGGTTGATATCATCGAGAACGACGGCGGGCTCATGAAGCGTTCCGTGCGTACCTGGCGTATGCCAAAACGACGGCGTCACATTACTCGAAGGAATAGGGTGAGAAGATGGACTTCTTGTCGTTGCCTTGGCATAGCATGCGAACAAGACGGATGTGCCGCTCGAGGCGAACCTCGTTTTGGACGTGCACCCGTTTGGCAATCGCAGCGTGTTGTGAGCTCAGTCTAGAACAAAGACCAATTCGTCGAAGTCGTGTTGTGCAAGCCCAACACACGGCCAAGAAGTGCTGCGTCGGGAAGGAAGCTACGTCGCCGTCGGCTCACTAGCAAGGACTCAGCCTTGCATGTCAAGAAAGATCCCAATGTGACTCTTCGCAAAACGTAAAGGTGTTTCCATGCATCACGTCTTGGTGTGACATGCGGAGAGAATTTCTGCACAGTTAGCGTTTTCCTGCACGGCAAGTCAGCGAGCACCTCACCAGCTCCTCGGTCGAATGGTGTCGTTGATTTGTTTCTCTCATCGCCCGCCAACGGCTAGGTCACATTCGTGTGCAAAAAACTACGAGCATGATCAAGCGAACGCTGAGGTCACATCGCCGGTGCATTGATTGGTTTCGAATGTAGCCATGGCGAGGAGTATTGGGCGTAAAACCAGTGACCACAAACGAGGGTGTCGGTCACATGTCCATCAAGAAGATGGAGCAATTGGCATCTGGTTTTCAGAGACGGTGGAAATGACTTCAAAGGAGGACTGGAGGATCGATTGGAGATGGTTCAATGCATCGTTGGACGACGTGGCGCCGCGGATGCGGATGACACACAAATCACAGCGATGGCCAGTGACGCGGTCAAGGTCTGCGCTGGTTTTTCCAGCACCTTGCGCCGAGCTCGCACATCACAGCGTGTCTTCAGCCACGTCCGACCAGCGCAAACGGACTGCCCACGCGATTTCGGGGCGCCAGGTGTCGCATTGATTTAGCACACTTTGCACTATTCAATGGAGACTGTCGAAGTCGAAGGCCCACGACGCGGAGGTGACCGGGCCATGCACCGACGCTGCATAAACCATGTCGCACCGACGTGTCCAGGTCGGATTGGGGATGGGGACGTATTCTTTGGACGTGCATGTCGAAGTTTGCCGAGATCTCAAGTCAAAGCAACCGGATCCGGAAACGAAGAACATGACGAAAGGTCATGGCGGGGATTGTGTTTGCATAGTTGCATTGATGATGAACACCAATGGCCCGAAACCCCGAAACCCGTTGAAGGGCGAGCTGCAAGCTCGTCATGCATGCGCAAGGAAAAGAAGAACTGGATGTAGGAAAACAAGTCTATTAAAGGATCAATTCACTTCTCGATTTCCCTTCTTGGTCTTAAGTCGCCGGCTAACCGCGTGCCGCCTTTGTCTTCCTCGACCAACGATCTTCCTACAAAAACACGTCAGTTCAAGAATGCAAAGAACAGAACTGGCATGGGTAGGTCGTTGGATGGGCTATGTGCCGCGCCGAGAGGGTCCCATTAAGTAATTCAAAGCGTCGCCAACTCGGCCGAAGGATGAGTCCACCAAGCCTACGACGGTCTCTGACGACCGGCATGCGTGATGCAAACACACCAAAGGAAGCGTGCGTTAAGCCAGGGCTTCGTAGCAATTCCAAACCGCCGTTTGCAGCTTCGTGTTAAACGACAGCCAGCTCAGAGGATGGTTCGGCCTTAAGTAGGTCCACATGCAAAACAAACCATTCCACGAATCGAAGGGAAGGAAGCATCACACAGCCTAAGCGGATGGCGGCGAGAAACCGCCCGAGCAGTCATAAGCAGTGATGGTCCTGTTGTAGCCGGGTAGCGGAGCTCGCTCGATGTTGGCTGCTTCTTCCTGCACGAACGCGTCCCACGACCGTGTGACATTCAAGAATCATGGCTCTTTCTTGTTATTTTGGTGATTTTCGCAGCATTTTAATTTTGATCGATGGACGTTGCTGTTTCTTGTTAGAAATTGCTTCTCCAATTGGAATACAATCATTTGATTGGTCAGGCCTTGGTCGAGTACATGCAAATATGCATACATTTCGTGATTCTGCCAAAACTTTCCATTGAATTCGACGTGGCCCATTGCACCAATCAAAATGTGACTCGTCGGACTGGGGAACGTTGATTGGTTCAATTTCTCATGTTCGCTATCGAATTTCACGGACCTTCATCAGTCCTCGGAATCCTCGGCATCCCAGTCGGCCTCGAGCTACCGTGCGACGCCGCCGCCACCGACGTTGGCGATGGATGCTCTTTTGAATGCCGATGTGTTTCGATTGACAGTGCAGTTCCAACAAGGCATTCCAGGCGTGTTGAACGAGCGTGTGGAGGAAGCCAACGCAATGACCTTTCGCCACACTAGGGTTGGCTACGACACGAACAGCCAACCCATTGGCATCTATTATGTGCCAACAAAGTCCCAAAGTCGATTCCACAGCTCCATGCTGCTCTTCCACGGTGCCACTCACAACTGCGATATGTACATCAAAGCAAACGACCTCTTCCTCAGCAATCACCATCGGGACCCGCGTCTTGCATTGCATCTGGCAATACACGATGGAGACTTGTCACTTGTACAAGGACTTCTTGCTTACCGCCCAGCATGGGTTTCGGAGGAAGCTCTTTCGTGCGCGGTGAAGTTTGGCCATGAAACGCTGGTGCAGTTCCTCGTGCAAGCCCGATCGAAAAATCCTCAGCTCTTTGCACGTGCCAATTACTCAGTCCCAGACTCGCACCTTGTCCTGGACATTGCCGCCATGCACGGACACTTCGACATATTGAAGTACTTGCATCCGCATGCACCCCATGGCTGCTCATTTCGTGCAATGGACCACGTCGCCGCCCTTGGAAACTTGCCGATGCTCCAATTCCTCCACACGACACGCAGCGAAGGCTGTTCTACTGCCGCCATGGACACTGCAGCGACATGTGGGCATTTGAATATTGTGAAATTTCTGCATGAAAACCGAACAGAAGGTTGCACAACCAAGGCTTTGGACGGAGCCGCCCGAGAAGGTCACCTGGACGTCATTCGATTCTTGTGTGAACGCCGCCGGGAAGGGTCGACCCCCGCCGCCATTCGCCTCGCTGCAGAAAACGGACATATGGATGTTCTTCAATATTTGCACGTCCGCCACCGTGTTGGGTGGTGCCCCCATGTGTTGGATGCCGCGGCGCGCCACGGCCACTTGGACATCGTCAAGTACTTGCACCATCGCGGTGAACGGTGTTCGCCGTCCGCGATGGACTATGCCGCAGCACATGGCCATATGCATGTTGTCCAATTCCTTCATGCGCATCGGCAAGAGGGGTGTACTGTGCACGCGATGGACTTGGCCGCTACCAATGGGCATTTGGAGATTGTGAAATTTCTCCACTCCATGCGGTCCGAAGGATGCACGGCCGCCGCGATGGATGGCGCAGCATGGCACGGACATCTTCAAGTTGTCGAATTCCTCCACAAGCATCGCCGGGACGGATGCACCCGTGGGGCCATGGACTGGGCGGCGACGGCAGGGCACTTACAAATTGTGCAATTCCTCCACGAGCACAGAACAGAAGGGTGCACGACTGTCGCAATGGACGGTGCTGCCTGGAACGGCCACCTTCACGTAGTCCAGTACCTGCACAAGCACCGCAATGAAGGTTGCACCAAGGCCGCAAGGGACAACGCTGAGCGGAATGGCCACATGCATATTGTCCAGTTCCTCGACCTCACGAGGCTATACTCAACGACGAAGAAACCGCTGCCCGGCACACCGAAAACGAATCCCTCTGTCAAGCCGAAGAGCTCGAAAACAATGTGGCAAAAGGTCACTGGCGCACTGCTTCCCCGTCGACGAGTGACCGAACTGACGCGCTGAAGGCGTCCGCCGTCTGTGTCTCCATGCGATAGCCGGAGTGTTTGCACTACAGAGAGTTTGGCAATTGAGTACTAGTATTGTTTATATGTTTTTCATTCGTAAAGCAGACTGTATCAATTCGAGATTTTGCAACATTAGCACCTGGCCATGGCGATCCCAGAAGACCTGTTTGCATTGGAACAGTGGCTAGCGGCGCCCTCAATCGGATTGGCCTCACCACACACAGGCCCCCTCTCTTTCAGCCTACATAAATGTACGAAAGGTGCTTCGGGCTTCACGTACAGCAGTGGTATCGCTGAAGTCGAGCCCGCTGTGACAACGGCAGCCTTCGAACCCATTGGGCCGTACTTTCCAACGTTTGGCAAACAGCGAGTCGTTTGTGGAATAAAGCAGTTTGGGTTACATCGATAAATACGAGATCGCAAGTGAATGGAGTGGCCACAACTAAATGTTGAGGGTGCTCGACGGCTGGTTGGCGCTCACCCCCCCCGGAACAGCGGCGGTGGGTGGCGCGTCCTTGGAAGCGCGATGACCGGCAATCACATGCAGTTTCTTGTGCCTGGCAAAGTTGGAGACTTGGGTAAACTTCTTCTGGCAGCCTGGGAAAGGACACTCGTAGGGCTGCACGCCTGCGTGCATCCAAATGTGCTCCTTCAAACTCACACTGTGGGCGAATCGCTTGCCACAGCCGTCGTAGTGGCACACGTACGGCTTGATCCCTTCGTGGCTTCGCTCGTGGGCGCGCAAGTTCGAGCTATGCGCGTACGTCTTGCCACACCCAGGATGGGAACAAACCAGTGGTTTCTCGCCAGTGTGAGTTCGAATGTGATTCTGTAGCTCCGACCGACCACGGAACTGCTTGTGGCACACTTCACACGCATGCCGTTGAGAAGGCTGGGTCTTGGATTTGGCTTGCTTCACCTTGGAGTACATTTCAACTTGTTCCATGAATTTGATTTGACCGTTGCTCTGAAGTTGTTGACGCGTCGCGTGGTCTACTGCGGCCGAAGTCACTGTATGGCGCCGCTTGCTGTTCGGAAGATCGGAGGTGTTGCTACTTCCAGGGAGACGAGGTGCTTCGTAGTTCTCAATGCTTGACAGATTAATGGGTTGAGCTCCCACCTTCGATCCCATCCCAGCGTTTGTCAAGCTCTTGACATATTCGTCCAATTCCGAGAATGCGTCGCGCACGTAGTCGCTGATGGCCCAAGCCGTGTTTTCATGCATTTGCTCTAGATCGAATACGTATTCTTCATCCAACTGGCGCACCTTGTCGGGTTGATACTTGGTGATGACATCAATCAATCCACGCAAGTACTGACTTGGAAGCATCGTGATGCGGTGGACCAACCTCTGCTTGTCGTCGAAGGTCATGGGCTGGACATCGGCGGGATACATAAAGTCGGACGAAGTGCTCTTGACCTTGGGTCCGACATCCGTTTGAAATGTAGGCATGCTCATCATGTGCATCGAATGTTGCATCGGTAGCATGCTGCTGATGGAAAATGTCGACGACGTGCGATGTTCCAGCGAAGGTAGAGAGGTTGGCATAGAGTACATGTTGCCCATGTGGAGCCCGACCATGCCGTTTGAGGACAGTCCGGAGGATTCACGGAGCGTAGCGCTTCGGGTGCGCTTCAAGCCAGGATGGCTCGGCGGCAAGCTGTTGGACGACTCATTATGCGCGACCGTCTCGTTGCTAGGTTTTCGGGACATGAGTCAGATCCACGATCGGTTGGGGGGTGAATTTGAAAATGGCGAATGTGGGTAGGTTCCGACCACCATTCTTTAACTTTTACTAGTTTTCAGTATACTCTCCAGCGCCCTTGGTCGCCCACACGAAATTGGCGTGAGAAATAAAATAAAACCCACCAGGAGCATATATTTCCTACAATAATTTCAGGATTCCGATTTTATTTTCAATGTCGATTCATCCCTAGAAAATCCATCGCAGGTCTGACCATCTGATTGGTGGAAATTCACATGCATTCCCTTGTAACGTTCCACGTACATTATTCGGCCAATCAGACATAAATTCTATTGAAAGACGGCTCTTGGATTGGTGGGATTTGAAACAGTCACCTACCCCTTCTTTCACCATCACTCACTGTCGACCAACCGTCATTCGACTCGAAATGTTTGTTCGCTCGTGATCTTTGTACCCCGGGGCACAGTTTCTGTCAACCACAATGGCGCCACGATGGACATCGTTCGCCGCCGCTCTGTCGGCGATTCTACTCTATGGCATTGACGCGTCCTCTAATGCAGCGGTCCTGTACCCGAACCGAATGGAAACGCGCCAAGTAATTTACCCCAACCAACCTGTAATATTTGAGCTCCGAACAGACCCCGACATGTCATACGAAGTGAAGCTGTCATACCGAGCGACAACGCCGAGCAAGTTTACACTACGTATCCTCGACTCAAGCGAATCATTGCACCGAGACCGTGCACACTACACGAACATGCGACGCATGTTAAACACCGAAAAAACGTTTGTCCGCGGCGTTGCTGGCGAAGTTGCGTTCGTGGAGGTATCATAACGATGCCCACAAATCCCATTGATGACGGTGTGCCACAGGTCTCAATGCAAGTCGAAGGTGTTTCCTACATCCTAACACAAGCAGAGTTGGATGCCCGGCGGACGGAGTTTGACATCCTTCTCGAAGAGGTCGTGCTAAAAGTCTTGCCCCGAAGCGCAGTCCCATTGATTGTTGTTGCCATCGCTTTGCTGTCGTTCATGCTGGTGTGCATCTATCCGCGTGTCATGTCCCTCCTGTCTCCAGTTGGCGACATAACGAAATCCCATTGAGCGTACACAACTTGTGGATTCTTTACAACAGGAGGAACTCGGACAGTGGCTTGGGGCTGGATGCGTTTCGAGGAAACATGCGCTGGGCCTTGACGACATGCAAATGCGTCTTCAGTTTTGCATGGTGGTCTTCCAACAGCTTGTTGAGCGGCTGGAGGTCATCGTACGACGTGAGGTTGTTTCCGCTGATTGTCAGCGATTGCAATGTGGCGTTGCCAACGCCGTACATGACACCGTCGATCGTTTCAGTGTCAGGGAGATTAAGCTCCTTGATCACGTCCGCGCGCTCGAGCTTCTTCTTTTGCTTCTTGGCAGCGTCCAGCTGTGAATCGTTCTTGAGCTCCATACATGCACGAATTTTGGCACTCACCGCGGCCTGGATTTGGACTTCGACGTCGGCCGCATGCTGGAGCTGGTCTTCGCGAAGTACGTATCGCGTTATGGCGCGAATCAACGACATTGCCCTAGGTAGTAGAATTGTTACCTATGCACGAGTGTGTCGGGAGTTAGCACGATGGGTGTACCCCGTGGCCGAGATGTTGTTATTCGCAACAGACAGATGCATGAGGGTCTTGTTGTCCGGCAGAGCGTACGCGAGGGCGGCGGCGCCATCGTCTGCCAAGTCATTGCGGAAGAGATTGAGCACGGCGAGCTTGGTGTTGGTCTTGAGTGCTTCAGCGATCGCTGCTCCGCCTGGACGTGTCGACATTGAGAAATAGAAATTGACGGCGGATAGAAGTACCTATAGAAGTGATGCCATTCGCGCGCAACGACAGACTTGTCAACGACGACTGAGGCGACAGCAACTTTGCATAGCTACGACGTGTGGTAGCTCTTGCCCCGCGTCGTGAGGAACGTACCACGTCGTGAGATCGGGAGAGTCGGGTGAAGCAACTAACAGTGTTGGCGCAATGGAATTCCACTCGATCTGGAGTGTCTTGATGGACGTCGCGGGGAATTTTTCGCACACGAGCGAGAGTTGGTCCACGGACAGCGCGACATTAAATAGCCTGGACCGATCGTCACATGAAGCGGAAGTGTAGAGGGATGGGACATTACTTGACTGTGTGAATGGCAGTGCTATTGTGGAGAGCTAGAGACATCACCTTAAGACTGGCGGTGTCGACCATCCAGTTGCGCACACTGACAGTGTCGACGTCGGATTCGTCATACCCTTGGACTGCGCCAAGAGCCTCGTGACTTGATCGACGTCATGTAGCAGAGTAGAGCATCGTACCAAGTAAGTCTTTGTCCTCTTCATCGAGCCGAGGGCATAGCTTTGGGTGTGGGGTCACGTTGAGGACTTTGCAGTACGCCAAGTAGTCCTTTCGAAACGATTTGTGGGATTGGACCTTCTGAGAAACTATACTCTCGTGAACACACATAGGACGTGCATGTCAAAGGCAATCGTCGTACCGTCATGGAGCTCTTTGTCGTCCAGAACGAAGTGCGCGTCGTTGGTCTGTGCGGACCATGCCGTCCCCAGCATCTTCCTTCACCTGAAGCAGTTAAAAAACAACCGTTTCACGATATACGTTTTGACAGGTTGCAAACCTGTATAAGATAATATCGACGGTTGCTGAAAGATCAACAACAAAATGGCAACGATGGCGGCAGGGCAGCGCACCCGCCTCTTGGTGGGCACATATACGCGGAAGGAGGACCACGTGGATGGCAAGGGCAACGGAATCTACACTGTTTCGATCGATCATGCAACTGGAAAGATGGCATTGAGCCACGTCAACGAAAACGCTGGGGTCAACCCTTCTTTTGTCGTCGTCAAGGGCAGTTCCGCATACGCCGTCAACGAACACTCGGACGCGCTCCAAGACACGTTTCCACACGGATCTGGCATGGTGGTTTCGTTTACATTGGATGAACAAGGCAGGTTGCACCGTACATCGGAGCATCCTTCGCGAGGAGGCTTCCCGTGCCACCTCTCCATCGACCCTTCTGGGTCGTTCGTCGCCGTGGCAAACTACGGTGGTGGCAACGTCAGTGTATTCCCAATCGATCGTCGCAACGGCAAGCTTCACGACAGTTCTGGCTTCGTTCAAATGACGGGGGCGAGCTTGGCTAACCCACAGCGCCAAGAAGCTCCGCACTGCCATAGTACGACGTGGTTGTCTCCTACCACCCTCGCCATTGTAGACTTGGGGAGCGACAAAATCTCGCACCAGTTTCTAAGTCCTGGGGGTACATGCCTGCAACTCAAATAAGCATCCTATGCTTATCCATTCCTAGGCGCATTGACTCAGCATCCTGACGCCGACGACATGACGTTGCCGCCTGGGTCGGGACCGCGCCACTTGGACATCCATCCAACCCTGCCCCTCGCTTACGTTGTACACGAGCTTTCAAACAAATTGTCTGTCCACACCATCGACGCCAACCGCGGGCTCTTGTCGACGCCGCTGCAAACTGTCTCGTTGGTCTCTGCAGCCTTCAAAGCAAAGTCGTCGGTCGAAAGCATTGCGGCCGAAGTCCGTGTATCGAAATGCGGCCACTTTGTCTTGGCATCTGTCCGTGGTATCGACCAACTCGCAGTATTCCGCATCACGTACCCCGCCGGATTGTTGTCAGCGCCGCAGTATGTGTCGTCGCAAGGCACGGTGCCGCGGCACTTCACCCTCGTGGGGACCGACCTCGTTGTCGTCGCGAACCAAAACTCGCACTCGATTGTGTCATATCGCTTGTCTTCGCTTGACGGAGTCGTGCCGACAGGTCACTCGTTGCACATCCCATCGCCGTCGTGTGTGGCTGTCGTCGTTTCATAGCGGTTGCTATATTTCGACCACGAACAAGGTCAAGGCGAGAAGGCGGGTCCGCGTGCCGTCGGTCGAGCGATTGCCTTGTAAATTCAATCGAACCAGCGAGAAATGCTTGGCTTGAGCTTCGATCATGAGCATCCCTTCTTCGGTGATGTTGTTGGCCGTGAGATCGAGTTTTCGCAAGCACTTGTTCACACACAGGCTTCGCACACACCCCTTGATGCCGTCGGCGCCAACTACATTGTGAGCTAGGCACAGCTCCTACGAGACCTTGACCATGAGGTCCATGCGATGCGCATGCCACGTACCACAAGCGATGTGTTGTGTGCCAACTGGCTGAACAGCACCAAGCTCGTCTCCCCATCCAGCTCTGAATACGACAAATCGAGCACTTCTAGCCGCGTCGTCGACATGATTTTAGCAAAATGTTCGCATCCTTCCACGTGCATGCGGGTCTCGCCCACCATGAATTGCACGAGTCTAGCGATTTATGTCACAAGATGGCCATACCCTCGATACGACGTACGTTTGGTTGTGATCACGCAGCGAGGCCGCGAGCTGCTGCGCGCCGTCAACGCTGATGCTCGAAGTTGGGTGCACCATCAAGTCGCCCTTCATGTTCAAGTGCGTTAACGACTTGTTCACGCGAAGCATGTCCGCCATCGCGACAGCACCATCGGCTTCCATGTGATGCCGCTCAATGTCCAGAAGAAGCAGGGTCTTGTTGACGCGTAAGGCGGTCGCGAGTGCCCGCGCGGCGTTTGTGCCGATGTTGTTCCATCGAAGATGCAGCTCTTCCAAGCACGCATTGCAGGCCAAGCCGTCGCTGATGGCGGCGATGCCGGTCGCGCCGATGGCATTCCCGCGCAAGTCGAGGCGCTTCAACCGTCGATTCGCTCGCAGTGACGTGGCAAACGGCTGGACGCCAGCGTCGTCCAGGTTGTTCCAACTCAAGTTGAGGTGCGTGATCGAGTGGTTGTGCTCCATGCATTCCGCGATGGCTTTGCCGCCGAGTTGATGCAAGTTGTTGTGCTCGAGCGACACCTAAACCAGCAGATTATTCAGGCACCACCGCTACAAATCGTCAAATCGTTACCGAGAGCAAGATCGGGTGGTTACGAATGGCATCTGCGAGGCGAATCCCTGCGTAGTAGGTCAAGTTGGAGCTGTTGATCAGCAGCGTTTTCAGGTGCACGTGATGGCGGATGCGGGTGCACAAGTACACTGACTCGTAACTACAAGTCGATGTCAACCCCAGTCACGGCCTGCATGCGCGCCGTACACTCCCAGCGTTAAGTGGCACATATCCAATGTCTCCGATGCCGGAGGGACGTGCAATTCGTTCAGGACGGCCGTTCGTCGGTTCACGCCAAAGAGGACGGTGACGATCCAGTTGTCGAGGGGGTGAGTGTACTGGTCCTTGGCGAACGATATGACTTCCGCCTGACCGCTCCATGAGAATGCACTCAAGTGAAGACGATCGATGGATCCACTGTCGCGTACCGAGCCGGTATTGCCGCGGAGGAGCTGGACGTCGAGCTCGCACGTGGCAACGCGAATTGTCTGGAGCGTTGTGTTGGGTACAAGCGCCAGCCCCAAAGCCTCGCCAATGACATCGGTCACGTCGTTGTCATGCACATCGACACGTTCCAAGCTAGGGCAGTCGACGATGGCGGTCACGATGGCCAAGACACTCTCCGATCGCAGTGCATTCGAGCTCAGGTCGAGCTCCAGCAGTATTTTGTTCGCTGGCAGCAACGCCTGTAGCAACCGATGGCACCTTCACATGAGTCACAGTATACATCCACGTACCGCTAGGATCATCCCGTCGAGCTCGTTGAGGTTCTCGTTGGCCATCTTGACCCACCGCGATGTTCGGAATTTTCCCACTGGGAGGTCCACACCCGTGAGGTTGCACGTTTCAAGAGCGCAAGTCGACCGCCGAAGTGCTTCCATGATGGGTGGGGCATGGCTTCGATTCAAGCGATCGCGGTGGAGGCGGCCCGATGGATTTTGTTCTGGATCTGTGGCTGGCGACTGTAGCTGAAGCGCGATCAGCGTATAGTTGCGACGGAGAGATGCGAGAATGCCGACTTCATCAACACAGCACCCCGCCAAGTTGAGCGACGTGAGCGACTCGTTTACCTGGATGCAAGACGACAGCGCCTCGGTGCTACCTTCTCCAAGCGGGTTAAAGCTTAGATCCAATTCAACGATCATCGAGTCCTGGTTATCTTGGAGCGATTGCGACAGGACCTTCATGCCTCGGCCCGTGATCATGTTGTGGTGCAAGACTAGCTGGGTCAGCGACGTGTTGGTGTGGACCATGGCAGCCAGGGCGAAGGCGGCTTCGTCAGAGATGCCGTTGCGAGCGGCATTGAGCTGCAGGATACTTCGATTCGATCGCAACACTCGAAACAGCACCTTGGCGCATTGGGCATTCAAGTTCGCGCCCTCCATGTCCAACGTGACCATCGTCGTGCTGTACGCGATGCCCAACGTGGCCATGAGCTCCCACGACTTAAGCTTGACACTGCGCAAGGTCAGTTGTTTCGGCGACTCGACGCAGTTGGACCGGAGCAACTTGACCTGCTTGGCCATGTGCAATCCGAGCCGTACGTTATGCTTGAGGGTCACGCTGGGTGGTGTGTCCGGCAGATGCATGGACAATTCTGCCCGAAGCGCTTCTTCGTCGGTTAGCGGCGGCGGTGCAACGACGACTTTGCGGAGCTGAAAGCGGTGAGTCATCGACTTGGAAGACTCGACTTTCGACTTCAATCGCTTGGCCAAGAACGAAGGCGTGGACGGCACTTCGTCCGAGAAGCGAACATGCTTCACCACGGGGGGCCTAAACGCTTGTACTGGTGGCGCTGGCACAGCGACTGGCAACGCCGTGGGAGTCGGCGCGTCTGTATTTGCAACGGGCGGTGGAGTCGATTCAATTGTTAGGGCCACGTGCTTTGTCACATCCGGTGAAGCAGGTGCAGCGCCCTGCACAATGTTTTCGATGTCGCCACCCTCGTCGACACGATTCATCATCGCTGTTGTGGTAAAAGCCGTGGTACCCTCAGACGCGACTGTGGTATCGACGAGCGGACTGCTCTGTTCCATGGTGGCTTGTTTAGTCACACCAACCGACGGTGTGTCCGCGTTTATCGACGGTGGCAACAAGGTCAGATTGGAGGCGGTTTGGATCTCTTGGGATTCCTCTGTCGTGTCGGGAGTCATGGCCAAAATGTCCGCGGGTCTTGCGGCTTGGATGGCATTCGCACTTTCTGTCGCTGGGTGGACGAACCTGGACCGTTTCACCGACCCGGCGTTTCATCGTAACCGATTCGGTCACAGCGCGCACAGTTCAGTTTGTCGGTCGAATCTAGGCGCCGCTTTCGTGCCATCCACGGGTCGTCAAGTTCATGTCGTTGTCGGCATGTCTAGTGTCTGCAGTGCATGACGAACTCGTCCATTTCACACGTGATTCGATAATCGCTTAAGGGATTAAAGCTACTGAGGCTCCGACAGCACGCATCTCTCGGACAACACTGTCGATGCCACCTTGGTGGTTCGTTCGTTGACGGCTTCTTCTAGCCGGACTTGCATTTCAATGGACGCCAGGACTCGCTTGGCTTCTGCGAGCTCCTTCTCCTTGTCCACGACAATGTCCCAGAACATGCTGTACCGCGCCAGCTCGGCGCGGCGGGTTTGAATCGTTGAGTGCAATTGCTTTTGCCGTTCTCCGAGAGTTGCCTCCTCAGTCTTGCCGTCTTGGGTGCTTGTTTCCATCGCTTCAAATTCGCGCTGCCATGTTGTCAGGTACGTTTTTTGCCGGGCCGTTGTCGTGTTCAAGTAGGCTTCCAACGTCGCTTCATCCCGAATAAACACGCCATCTAGCTGTGCTTTAGGATTTAGAACGATAAAGGGTGAGTCGTACCGATCGACATATTGTCCTGAGAATACGCGAGTCGCTCCACCTCACGCGCCGCCCGCTCAGCCACAATCGCCCGTTGTTGCGTCCGCGACGCTAGGTTCACGACGGCCATGCATGCTTCGATAGATTCTGCCGGCCCTAAATAGTCGTTCTGGCGGAATTCCCCGTGCACGATCGAGCCGTTCCACTCTGTCCACTCGCCCAGCCCGTGCTGGGCGTTGTCGTGCCACTGGCCGCGGTACTTCTCGCCCACTGGAACCATGTACACCCCATGGCCGTCGCGCTGGTCCAATTTGAACTCGCCTTCGTATCGCGAACCGTCTGGAAACCCGTACACACCGACGCCGTGGCGCATGCCGTCGACGAATTGCCCAGCGTAGAACCCGCCCGAATGAAAGTACATGCATCCATCTCCATGGGGTATTTTGTCTATTCATGGACATCAAATGTTGGAGAAGCATTCCTGAAGGACGGAGCCTAGATATCCTTGCCTTTTCATACCAGTATTGAGGTGACCATGGTACGTGGACTTGTCGGCGCGGGTCGTCATCCCAACCAAAAGTGTTGGTGATGGGGACGATTCCATCGTACCAAGGCCCGACTCATGTTGCACACCATTTGGATTTAACGCTTCCTTGGCAGATTGGCTTGGTGCGCGCGGGCTCTTCACTGGCACCTTTGTTCCACCGGCATGAGAGGGCACTGCTGCGTCCATGACATCAACTGCGTATGAATGAAACTGTCATTCCGTCAACCAGGAGTCGCACGAAGCCCCCACATTTCCTTCGCACCTTGTACCACGCGGCCGCGATGGACACACCGCTCGCATCACGCAGACACGGCATCAGGTGAACGTGGCGACCTCGTCCATCGCAATTGTCATCTTTCAGAAGGTACAACTACGACATATCCGGATAAACATCCGGATATCCGTCGTGCTGTACAGTGTATCGCACGTGACAGAAATCTTGCTGCATTTGTGACGACGCCGGCAGTCGGACAATGGCCGGAGCGACTGTGGCGCCGCCTCGGAAGCGTGTTCCATCAGAAGACGTCGTGGCAAACTTGTCGAGCTCGTTCGACAATCTCCGTCGGCGCTTCAACATCATGACGTCGTCCGATGCGACGTCAAACCATCCAAGCAGTCCACTGACGGCGGCGGCATCGCCTCAACTGCCTGAACCAGCATCCGAGTGCAGCGTGTGCTTGTGCAGCTTGGGTCTACTCAAATTCAAGTATGTGTGCAAGAACTGCGAGAAAACTGTGTGTGGCGCGCACAGCAAGAACCAGATACCATTGCCTGACCAGGGTGTATGGAAAGAAGTACGCGTGTGCGATGTGTGCTACGAACAGCGGCTCAAGCGCCGCGCCGGTGCCATCGAACCGAGCACGAGTACACCCAACGACGACACATCGCTGTGTGGAATTCTTTTCAGCGGGCTTGTCGAAGAGCAAGACGACACACTCGACGAAATGCTGTACTTGGGGTCGTTCCGCATGGGCAGTCGGTCGCTTGCGAGCCGAAACTTCAACCCGAACATGGCTATCTGGATCGAGCGCATGGTCATGCTCACGCCGGCGGAGCTCTTGTCCTTCAAACCACAGCGGGACAAGGACAAAGAAGAGTTTCTCCTGGGGATTGGCGAGGTCCGGTCGTCGATTCACATGACCGACATCTTGCACATCGACGTGGACGAACACTACCCCCGCATTTTGACTCTTGTGCGGTCCGACGGCCGGTTCGTGCATTCCTCTTCTGTATTATATATTGGAAAATTGCTGAGCTGTAATCTTCTACAGGATCTACCGACTCCGCGCCAAGGACAACGAAACATGCGCCGAAATCTCGAAAAAGCTCCAAGAAGCGATGCAAATGTTCCAAGCAGCGCTGCACAAACTTCAGCGAGGGCTCCGGCCCGAAGACAACGTTATCACGTGTGTCACGGTGCAACATCACCCTGACTTGGACGAAGTGGTTGCCCACCCCACTCAAACGGCCACCCATCAAGACACCAACCCCCGCCAGTACACGCTGCAGCTGTACCCTGCATCCGTTGTGCGACTGTACGCGAGCAGCCCCGTTGTCAGCGCTGTTGCCACGTACTCCATGACAGATCTCTTTCAGCAAACCAAGCGATGCGACGCCATTGCGTTCCACGATTCAAACGAGTACCAACTCGTCACGCACGTTAACATCGGTATGTCTCTCCATGGCAAGTTTTTTTGTGGCCAAGCTGACACCGCACGACTCCAGAGCGTATTTCCACGCGAGTGTGGGCCACTTATCGAGGACTGTGGCTATGTTTGGCGGGAGGCGCGCTGGTGTACGCAGCGGCCCAGCGCCGGTGGCTGCCGTCCTCTTTGATGCCGTGGCTCGTCGTTAGTCTCGTGGCGCTGACGGCGCTGTCGCTGGCCAACCATCTGAACGTGGTGGGGCGAACATGGCAGTTGTGGGTACCCCAGTCGTTCCGCCTTCAGTGTGTCAAAGTCGACTGCGTCAAGCAGACGCGCCAGGCGCCGTTGTTGGGCAAGGACGTGCAGGTGGATCCTCGATTCATTGAAGCGTGTCGAGGAGATATGGACGAAGCCAAGCGAAAGTACGCCAAGTATTTGCAGTGGCGGCAAGACAACGACATAGACCACCTCTTGCTTCGGCCGCATCCACACTTCACCGTGGTGCGACGTGGACTTAATAGGCTTGGGTTGATCTATCTCATGCGGGCCACCTAGATCAAGGAATCGTACCCCCAGACGACTCACAAGCGGGACAAGTTTGGCCATCTTGTCGCGTACGAACTTGCCGGCAACATGCGAAAAGGGATGCAGGTATGGCATTGTTTGGATGCACCAGTGCCCTGAACGAACGCTCGGTAGCACTTTTTGTCGCGGGGGGTGGTCGAAGACGACGTGATTGCGCACTTGGGCTTTTACAACGAGTTTCTCTGGACCGTGCTGGACCGGCGGCCATACCCTGACGGCGTCATGTTAAAAGTGATCGACATGCAGGGGGTGTCGATGAGCGACTTTGGCGGCGATGTCGTCAACTTTATGAAAGCTTGCTCGAGCGTCGGAGAAGCGTACTATCCCGAGCGCCTCTTCAAGATCTTTATCGTGAACCCGCCGTCGTGGTTCAACATGGTGTGGAAGGCCGTGTCGCCGTTGGTGAACCCCAAGACGCGGGACAAAATTCACGTTGTCCGGGGCCAAAAAGAGATTCAAAAGGCTCTGCTCGAGTATATCGACGCCAGCAACTTGCCTGACGTGTACGGTGGCACGTGTTCGTGTCCGGGGGGATGTCTTGCCAACTCGGACGACGAGATCGTCCTGCGAGAGTATGTCGCCAAGCTCAATGCACCCCCTGGAACGTACGATCTCGAGTCCGAGCTGGCGGCCCTGCAAGGCACCGCGACACCGCCGGCTGCCCCCACACCCAAAAAGAGCTAGACATGTGTGGCTAGATTTGTCGCGGATGGACTAGCCAAATTGCGTAAACGTTTGAATTCGTTCGTCCAACGATTTTGAGATTCAACGAACAGTTAAGACGGCAGCATCGAGTGCATCAGCGCCAGAATGCCCGTCAAGAGTGCCATGGGGAGTGCGCCTACAACAGTCACATCATGAGTCAGTAGGCGTCGTGAATCGCTCAACCAGGGGATGCGCGGCTCGAAAGGATGGGTGTCACCCTCGTTTGCACCGAATCAATCGAGAGCTGCGTCGCGTTGAAGAGCACGCCCGTTGCCACGAGTGCGACGGCCAAATTGTTATCGCTTGCGCTGACGTTCATCAAGCTGCCATAGAATGATGCGGCGGAGTTCAAATCGTCGAACGTGTCGAAGAGCACGACAAATTCGAGCGCGAGCGTAGTGGGCAAGGCGTCCGCTGCCAACTGCCGATGGTCGTCGACGTTCGGCGCCACCACGTTGCCTTCGATGTCCAGGGACACTGTGGACGCCTCCAACTGCCGCGAGCTCCCCGCCACGATATCCTTCGCCGACGAAATGAACACCATGTCCACCGTCGCGCTCAAGTAATCGTTCGACGTGATGTTTGCCACAGCCAGTGCAAAGTCGTACTCATACCCTTCAAACGAAGCTGCTGTCGCGCCTTGGATGGTCACGGCCGTCACGAGCGCGTACTCCTGCGATCCGTCGTCGATTTCCCATGACGGATATGCCCCAGGATTGCATGTTACCACGCACCCCGTAACTTGGGCCTTGGCAGCTTGGCATTCGACCATGGCGGCATTGAATTCCACATCGCAATTTTGCTTTGCACACGCGAGCAAACCCGGGTAGCATGTGCACCCATCGTATATGCCCATGCACACATCATAGTCCGATATGCACGCGTCGTGACTGCAAACGTTCTCGTTCCAGTACGTACTGTGCGTGTACACGATGGCAACGATACGATGCCGCGGGGATGCTTGTGGCAGGACATATACGTACTTGGGCGACGGCGTGGCCTTGGGTTTGGGAGTAGGAGGACGAGAAGCTGGTACAGGCACTGGTCTGGCAGTTGGTGGACGGGCGGCGGGGGTGCCCGGGGCTGGTTTGGTTGCTGGCTTCGGCGCAGGCTTGGGGGCTGGCTTCGGAGCCGGTTTCGGGGCTGGCTTTGGAGCTGGCTTCGGAGCCGGTTTTGGCTTCGGCTTGGCTTTCTGTAGGGCGCTGCTCTCGCCAACTACAGCGCTAACTTCGTTGTGGTCAAGTCCATGGCACGTGGCCAGGAGAATGGCCACGGCGACGACAAGGACGAACGAGACGACGCGCATGGGGTGCACCTCTGACTGATGCAAAGATCCGAACTTTCAACAAAACGTCCCATGAGTCGTTACATCATTCGATGCAAAGTTCCGAACTTTCAACAAAACGTCCCATGAGTCGTTACAACACTCGCAATGGTGGCGGCAAGTTGGGTTGTCAACCCAACGACCAGGCATCTTGCATCCCACGAGAAAGGGGTCTGGCGGTGGGGAGAAGGCGGCAACTCGCCAGCATCGCAACCCGTGTGCGGCGGTAGTGTGTCTATGCCACCGTCGCGTCGTGACGGTTGGACAACCGGAGGTTCCATTGGGTGACAGAAGAATCCATGGATAATTACAACATTCCTTGTGTATTACTAAAAATCCCATCGCCACCCAAGTCGCATGTCACTTTCCTTTTGCCCGACATGTTCCATCGAGTTGTTGGGCCACGTTCGGCGGCGCTGTGCCGTCGCTCCATGACGCATGAAGCACGGATCCGCAACAAGGGCGTCGCGCTATTGTCTGGTCTGGACCTGCAGCTCGGCGGCCACCTCAGCGAGGTGAAGGTCACGTACGAACAGTGGGGCGACCAGACGTTGGACGACGATCGCACCATTGTGATCTTCCCGTCGTTCTCGCATTCGTCCCATGCCGCATCCAACCGCGACGACCCCCGTCCTGGCTGGTGGGAGAACATGATCGGACCTGGGAAGGCCATCAACACGTCGGCATTCCGCGTCATTTGTCCGTCGGTCCTGGGCAGTCCGTACGGGTCAACGTCACCGTTGACGGACGACCCCACAACGGGCAAGCCATTCCGCGGCACGTTTCCTCAAATTACCCCCGCCGACATGGTACATCTTCCCTGATCGTGGGGCATTCTGACGCAATCGGGTTAGGCGAGGGTGCACGCCAAGTTGTTGGACCACCTGGAGATCGGCCGCGTCCATGCCGTCGTCGGAGGTAGTATGGGAGGCATGCAGGTACGTCCTGTCATTCCTCGCAATGAACATGACGAATCGGATTTCCACAGGCTGTGCAGTTTGCGTCTCTGTTTCCGGAACGGTTGGACCGGCTCGTGGCCATTTCGTGCACCGCGCAAACGACGCCCGGCACGGTTGCATTCCGCCGCGTGCAGCGCCTCGCGATTCTCTCAGATCCTGCCTACAATGTACAAACGATCTGTGGCGCGGACTGGTCGACGCATGATGGTCTGACGATCGTCAACAGGACGGGAATTACGAGCCCGGGACGGTGCTGGCCGGGATGAAAGTTGCGCGTGAGTTGGGCATGACATGCTACCGATCTCGGGAAGAGTTTGATTCTCGCTTTGACTGGAGACCGTCCGGGTCGCCCCACTTTCGCGACGTGACATTTGACGTGGAAAACTACATGGACTACCAGGTCTTTCCATCCTTTCTTTGTTCGTTCCAGGGTGGCCCATTTGTACGTTAGGCCAACAAGTTCGCCCGCATCTTTGACCCCAACTGCTATCTCGTTCTGTCGAAAGCCATGGACCTCACCAACGTTGGCCATGGCTTCTCCAACTTGGCCGAAGGAGTCGGTCGCATCAAGAGCGACACGCTCGTCATCGGCGTCAACCAGGATTTGCTCGTGCCCCCCACGGAGCAAGCCACAATTGTACGTCGTCGACGGCTCTGTTTTTGAAGCATCTTTGGCATCGTCATGTGTAGGCTAACATCCTCGAGTCGTTTGACGTGCCGGTGACGCTCAAGCTTCTGAACTCCAAGTATGGCCACGACGCGATGTTTCATCCTCAGGTACCGACATCACCCAACGTACCGGTCGTTTGGCTGAGTCATCGGTCTAGATGCAAACCGTGATCTTTGCGCCGCTTGTGCAAGCGCACTTGGAAAAGGGACTGGAAGCGACGTTGGACCACGAGCAACAGCGATACAGCAACTTGTAACAACACACGCCTTTATTTGGATCCGTCGACAACGCCGTGGGTGTGGTCAAGCAGTCGCCACAGTTCGTCGGCGACTTGAAAGTCGTCGTGAGGCGCGCGCAATTCGAAACTGGTCAGGTTCTTTTGCGAGGGGGCATGGATACCTGACATATCGGATGAGAGTGAGAGGAAGGCGAATTGTGACGTACATCCAGCAATATGGTCGCTCGATAGGTCCCACTTAATTCCTGTTATGGCTGCATACAATGCAATCGTTTGCCTAAGGTCAGAACGTGAAGGTGCGATGCCCAGTTATGCAGGCTGGCCTACTTCAGTCGTGGGACGTCCTTGTCACGGGCGGCGCATTCCTCTGCGTACTTTTGCTTGGAAATATCGTATTGCAGAATGAGACTTTCGATGTTTGCTTCGGACACAAGCTGTTCTTCTTTCAGCTCATGTAGTTTGTGCTGTAGCTCGAGTTTGAGACGATTGAGTTCATGAATCTGTTGTTGCATCTCCGCACTGTTGTCTCGCTCATCTTCATGTTGCTGAATGCGTTGGATCTCATTCACCATATCTGCATGTCCGTCAGTCATACCGTGAGGCCGTGCCACGACGCACGCACAGACCTGTGACCGTTTGTCGTGCGGACCGTTGTTGGTCCTGTAGAATTGTCCTCAAACTGTGAAACTCACTCTTTAGCTGGCGCAAGCGCTCGCCGTCCTTGAGGCCTTTATCAAACGCGACGCTTACTTCCTCACACATGGCCTTTGCTTCTTCCCAGCTTAGTGTTGAGACACCATCCGTTTCCATGTCGTGGTCCATTTTCGCGATGTCTGAATTGAGAAATTCGAATTCAAATAGGAAAATTCGGATAATCCAGGTGTTATCCGTATACTCCGAAAGTGAAGGCAATTGGGTTGCATACATGTACAGGAAATTCCGCTTCAATAGCTCAGATGACAACTCCGTCGGTTCTGGTGTAGCAGGCCTATGGAAAAATATATTGGCAGAACTCAATAACTGTCTCGATTACTCCGCTTGCGAAATGCTTCCTCTGTTAGCTATTACTGCCACCATTTGAAAAACCCCTTTTTTGTATTAATACCACTTCAATACAATTGGATGTTTGAAAAACGAACATATTTCATTGGTCATAACCTTTATTGTTGAATTCTTGGGTCTGACTGTGGAAGGTGCATCCGCATCAAAGAGCAACGACACAGGACAAATTCATAGGAAGGGTGCCCGTACGCCGCATAAAAGCCTTTTGCAGATGAGGCAACTTAATGTGGTTACCACCACGGTTCTCGAGGACCAATAGCATTACGACCTCTAGGGTGAGAAAAATTTTGGCCAACGTCTCTCCAGTGAGAGTGTCAAATGCCATCACAGTTTACGCAAAAATTAATGTCATCAACTGTGCGACTCACCATCTTGTACCTCAAAGTTTGTAACGACGCAAATAATCCAAGGTCGAGCACGTTCGAATCCGGACAATTCGGTGGCTGCCGACGCACAACAAAGGTCCACCCGTCCGTGGAGGCTTCCGCTAGGATAGCGTCGTCAATTGACCCATGAGGGGTAGCGTTGTCGTGTTGCAGGACGATACGCTTGTTGGAGCTTGGAAACATTTTCTTGATGGCCGGAATAATGCGATTGAGAACGTAACCACGGCGGTACGTGGTGGCGGCAACATTGATTACAGTGGTAACCTTTGTACCAGCGCGTCCATTGCGCGAACTTCTAGCAGCTGGACCTTGCTTGACAAAGGGCAACAAGCCACCATCGAAGCCTGCATCCTCATGTGGACGAGCAACGGCACAAAGGAACATGA